CCGCTGCCCTTCTTGAGCGAGAGCCAGTCGGAGATCTTGCGACGGTGATTTGCGGCCGCCTGGGTAGGCTGAGTTTCCGGGCTACCAGCACCGGCTTCGCGCGCGGCTTCTGCCGAAGCGGGCTGCGGAAGGTTGGTGTTGCAGGCCCTGGTGAACAGCGTGGTGAACCACTGGATGGCATAGGATGGCGTGTCGATCTCGAGTTGTCGCTGATGGGAGTGGAAGAGAAGGGAAGGGAGAGGAAGGAAACATGGGGAGCCAAGTCAGCGCCAGGACCGAAACAAAGCAAGCGTTGCAGTCCGACCAGACTGCATGTGTTTGCCCTCTCAAGCGATTCAGCTACCACACTACTGCCTTCCCATTCCAGGCATCGGGGAGGGGATACGTTACAAGGTGATTCCAGGCCTTGGGCGACCACAGAGCGAGGATCTGCTCGTGCAGGTAGCACAGCTCCATCAGACCAATCATCGAGGGGTCAAAGAGCCGGGTGAGGTTGCAGAACGGGTCGGCGGGGGTGCTGGAAGGCTGGTGGAACAAGTGGATCAGCGACAACAGTGCGCGCTGAATCCACAGAGGAAGAAGAGCGGGAGGAGAGGTTAGCACGTATCCTCAAAGCAAGATGTGGCGCGGCAAGCTCTGTGATATACTGCGGGGGGGGGACATTGCCCAACGAACCTCTTCTTCCATGTGGAGAATCAAAAGGGCGCCAATATCAGCCATGCCATGCGAGTATGCAATGTCAGGCCGAATGATGGCGAAGCACTTGAGGACACGATAGAGACTCAGACAGCTGCCACAAGCACGAGAGACAGGCACGGTGAGAGGGTCGCAGCGCTCCAAGTGCAACAGAGACAGACAGAACAATCGACACCATCGACCGAAACGACATGATCGACACCATCGACACTGTCGACACTTACGATGGACTCTTGTGGTCGGAAAACTCAATGTGGCCCTTCATGGTGTTGGCACAATCCTTGGCAATCTCGGTCTCGAGGGCGTTGCCAATGTTGCTGTGCAGCGACTTGTAAAACCTGTCGAGGAGGCTCGCCTCGAGGCTGTCGACCTGCTCGGGCTTCAGCTGCTGATAAAAGTGGCTGTACTGCGTAATGAACTGGTACCAGACCTGTCCGCGCCAGGTTTGCGGCACGCCCTTGAGCAGCCGCGAAAAGAACTTGCTGTCCGTCGCAAACTCAAACAGCGGTGCGATGCGGACCTTGGGTGGGACTGCGAAAAGCCCCGAGGTGCGACGCTGCTGCTGCTGCTGCTGCTGCTGCTGCTGCTGTTGCGACTGTGGTTGTGATGGCTGCTGGGACTGCTGGGGGCGCAACGGGTCCTCATCGCTGGTCGAGAGGACATGGAACGGGTTGCGTCCGGCCCGGGTCACGACCTGGAGGACAAGGGCCGGGACCTTGGCTTCGACAGCCATCTGGGCCCACTTGCGATGGCGCTCCACCTCCTTCTTCTCGACGGCCGAGTAGGACCGCGGCTTGGAAACGGCGGCGGTGCGCTGCGAGTCGGATGGGTGTTGCAGCAGAAAGCCGTAAGGGTCTGTGATGGGCGGCGATGAAACACTAGGATACTGCGACGGGCGGATGGTCCACTGGCGCCCAGAGGACATGTGCAGCGAGTCCTGCGAGTGGTTCTGCTGCTGGATCTGCTGCTGGATCTGTTGCTGTTGGGCGAGCTCGGAGAGATTGGCGGATCGGCTGCGTGTGATCTGGAGCGGCTTGCCACGGGACGGATCGGCGCGGTCGTTGCCGCCCGAGAGCAGATTCCCAAGGAAGGACATGACGGCCTCGCTGGTCTTGCGCTTCATCTTGGGCAGCGTCGACGGCGTTGGGGAGCCAGTTGGGGGAGGCGGCGAGGTGGTCAGATGGCGAGGAGGCAGGTTGGACCGCTGTGGATCGGCAGGAGGCTGCTGGTGGCGGGTGGTCGCATCGGCTGGGCCACCGGCGTGATCATCGGGCCGCCTCTGGCCCGTGAGCTGGGTGATGTCCATGGTTGCTCGCTTGGGCGGGGGAGGAAGCTTGGAGACCTGGGTGCTCATGGACTGCGCTGTCTGCTTCATGTTGCCAAGCGACTTGGACTTGCGCGGCTGCGGGATATCGACAATGTAGTCGTCCAGATTGACGTCCTCGGGCTTGATGGTGGCGATGGGCGGGCCGATGATCAGGCCGAGAGGCTTTTTGCGAACCAGGCCCTCCGTGTCGATCTTGAGTTCCGGGCGGGACTTGGTTTTGCGCGGAGGGTCGCGAGAGAGATCCGTGCCGTTGGGCGAGAGAGAGCGCGGAGTCAAGGGACCAGCCATGTCCAGGGGCGAGAGCGTTTTGGAGATATGCATATTCGGGCTGGAATGCAGCTGAAGCAAGCCCTCGCCCGGGATGGGGGCTGGACGGGCGACGGCCGAGAGCGACGGGTTAGAGGCCGAGGGGTTGGTTGGGAGGCTGATGGTCAGATTGCTGGAGCCAGACGAGCGCTTGCTGGTGGCCGTGACGGCGGCAGGCAGACTGGAGGCAACCAGGTTGCGGGCAGCGGCAGCTTCAGCCGCGGCAGTGGAGCGACCAGAGGCAGCAGCGTAGCTGGAGCCCGATGCAACATTGGAGCCCGATGCCATGTTGGAGGGACCCGATGCAATGTTGAGGGTGCCTGGATAATTAGATGTTGATGCATGGCTGGAGCCCGATGCGTAGTTGGCAGCCGAAGGGTAATAGTTCAACGGACCGGCGTCCGGGATCGATACCGGAATGGGGGAGATGCCAAACCTGGACAGCTGCTCCCTGCGGTCGGAAACCGGGGGCAGGGGCGGAGGGACGCTTGGAGGAGCCTTTGCGCTCTGGAAGGTGATGGCAGCGAAGCGGTCCCACGAGTCGGGCGATTCGTCGTGCTCGAGGATCTCGCTAGCGCCGGCGGCAGGCACGGGCGGCTTGGGAATAAAGCGATACGAGAATGAGTCGTGCGAGCGACTTGGGCGGATGCGCTGGGAATGGCTGGGGCGGGCCGAGATGTCTCGCTGAGGGGCAACAAATGATGACTGCTGCTGCTGCTGCTCCTCGGGCGAGAGGACGGGCTGGACGGGGGTCTTGGGCGCCTGGATCGTCGACTTTGGCATCGGGACCGGCGGCGAGCGAGTGGGCTGTGGGCGTTCGAGCGGATCAGCAACAATGATCCGGGGGTGTTCGTGATCGGTGAGGACGATGCTGGTGCGCAGGGCACTGGCCTCGCTCGATCGACGGGTATCGGTGCGTGGGACAGAGTCGATTCGCTCGGGCAGAGGCAGATTGGAGAATGAGCCCGAGGCGTCGGCGCTCTGGAGGCTTTTGAAGCGGTCATGCAGGAACACCATGGGGTCGACAAAGCGGTCGGGGGTCTGGGTGTAAGAGTGCTCGGAGACAGCCGAGAAGTTCGAAAAGCCCGAGAAGGCGCGGAGGGAGGGGTCGCGGTCGTCATCGCCGGCCAAGTTGTCATGGAGGGTCTCGATCGATGGCAGATTGGGCTTTTGCTTTGGTTTTGTATCATAGTTGATGGGAGGGGCGGCTGTACGATGGGAGACAGTGCATGTCAACGCGATGGTCGACGATTCAATGTCGACGGCGATGTAAAGGAGAGATGAAACCCGTGTCGCCGGGGTGATGGAGCCGGTTCTCGGCGATTTGGGGCAGCAATCCAGAAGCCAAGCTCAGAGCATGCACAGCAGCGCCGAGAACTTACCAGCGCCTCGATCGTTGGCATTGGGTGCAGAGGGTTGCATGGCTGGTGATGAACAAAAGACTACGGCGGCTGTGATGGGGAGGTAGGCTTGGTCTCGGTCTAGATTCAGATGGAAGACAGGCGATACCCCTTGATGTTGATGCAGCCCGTTGGCTTCTGGAATGGGCGGGCTTGGATAGGGCAACGGCGGACTTGAAACAGGAGAGCGGATGAAAGCAGATAACCCGACGACGGAGCAGTAACGACGAGTCGATGTGGACGATGGAGCGGCGGAGACAGACGAGTTGGTACGGGGGGGCGATACAGATGCTGAGGCTATACAGAGCGATGCAGAGTGATGTAGAGCGATGCAGATGTCGATGGCACGGACGACAACACAGCCCAGCGATCGGGGGTTCAAGGTGGGATGCAGCGACAAGAACCGGGTATCAATCAGGGCTGGCTAATGCAGTGAGCCGAGGCAGGAGACGACACGAACAGACGACCAGGAGAAGAGCAGGGAAATGCAAGTCGAGGGGAGGGGATCACGAGGGACTTGGAGATGGGGGCTCGACAGCCAAAGCCGGCGACAGCAGAGGCAGAGCAGGAGGCGCTCGCTGGGAGAGAGGGAAGGAGGGACGCAGGGCAGGGACCGGGAGAGGCAGCAGGACGTCCGGGAGTGCGGCCGTATTTGAGCGAGGACAAGCAGGACAAGCAGGACAGGCAGGACAGGCGGGCAGCACGGCTGCGTTGTGCAAGTCGCAGATTCAGGCGGGTGGGTCACAGGCGGCTGTGGGAGGAGAGCAGCCGGCCCGACGAGACAGGAGGACGCCGATGGAGCAGCCGGAGTCGCGGGAGAGTGCTCTGTTGTAATGCTGCGATGAGATGGTGCAAGATGTAGTGCAAGGTGTGGTGCTGTCGGTGGTGATTCCGTAAGATGCGATGTTGTCGGCTGTGGTGTTGCGACAAGATGCAGAGCATGCACAGGCGATGCGTTAACGGCTGGGCGCAGGGGGGAGGGAACTCGCGGCGTTCCAGCGACACAATCGGGAGCGCAAATGGAGCGCAAATGGGGCGTGGCAAGGGCAGCCGTGTGCCGCCGAACGTTGCAGAAACAGATTTGCGGTGGGTGGGTGCGGCGGATATGTTAAGGCGGGCGTGGGGCAGATATGTTAAGGCGGACGTGGGCGGCTATCGAAGTGTGAGAATTGCGCCGTCGGTCTGCAGGTGTATCTGGTGCATCAACGTGCAAGCTGCAGATGTGCTGTGGGTCTTCCAGTGTGGTAATTCCACACCATCACGACCACGAATCACTCTCCAGCTGGTGAGCGAGTGCCAAGAGGACCGATCCAGCGGGCCATGGGCGATGAGGGAACCGCGGCGGGTGGTAACCTGATTGCAACGGGTGTTTGCCATGGGGGTGGACAGGCGGGCTGGAAGAGCAACCCGACGGCGAGTGCGGCAGATGTTGCAGCCGGCGACATGTTTCTGGCAGAGACGACATGAGCATCGAACGAATCAGGTAACCAGTCAAATAACGAATCAAGTAACCAGTCAAGTAACCAGTCATGTAACCAGTCGAGTAACCAGTCAAGTAACGAATCGAACAGCAACTCATGTAGCGAATCGAACAACGACTCAAGTAACATCTGGGGTAATGCGAACAGCACGATCGCGGCACCTTGTCGGCAGCGAATGTACTCGCCTGTGCACCCGTCCACGGAGGACAGAGCACCGCGGCGCTCCCGATTGGCCCGCGGCGACCTCGGCCGACCCATGTGCGCCCCGGCAACGAATGTGCTCTCTCTCCCCGTGCCGCCGGACAGGGCACATGGAGTCGTCGGTGCTGGGCGAGTTGATGGTTAACCCACTTGGCTCTCCGTGCTGCCCTTTCTCTCCATACTGCCGAGTCTTCACCCGGCCTTGCCTCTTCACTCACTCTCTCCGCGACACGCTGTCTCGTCTCGCTCGCCCTCGCTCTCGCCGCACTGCCACCGGCCGCCCGACGCGTCGCCCTTGCCTTTCCGGGCAGCGGCCCCGCCGGTCCCAGCACCCGTTGCTGCGCCTTGGCGTGCTGGGCGCGTTGTGGTCCCCAGCACGGCGCGACGCGCCATCATCCGCCGCACGTCTGTGCGACGCCGCGCACAGGGGGATCCGCGCTCCTTGTCGCGTCCCGCGTCCACAAGCGGCACTGTATCACGGGTCGCCGCCGCCACATCCCCAGCCATCGCTGTGACAGTGGCTTTGGCAATCGCGTCAGAGTGACTGTGAGTTTGTCCGGCAGCCCGGCCGCACCTTGTGCACACATACGCTGACGCAATCGCGCTGGCGCTGAGCAGCCCTCAGGGTGCCGTCTGGTTGGCGAAGGCGGATCTTGGTCAGGCGACGGACCTGTGGCGTCGGCAAAAGCTGGGCAGGGCGATCCCACACCACACCATCTCATGCATCTATCCCACTCAACCCTTAACACTCGGGTATACAGAAACATACGTGGTCGCTGGCTATTTTTCATTCAGCAATCTCGGTCAATATCATACAGGCAGGAGGGACATAATGACAGTGAGACAAGGACATGGGTACAAAAGTATCGACCAAGCAGGAAAAGAAAAGGAGGAGGAGTGAATCATGAGATTTGTTCAAGAATTCAAGTTGATTTTTGTTTCAAAAGTCCAAAGGTGGGGGGAGGATTCAGGTGAGTCCAAATGATCAAGGAGTTCAAACCAGGGAGAGCCAGCAGTGACTCCCCCTCGGAGAATGTCTATATGTGAGTGCTGGGGGAGGGTCAGGGAGCGTTTTGGGTGTGGCGGCCAGATGAATATGAAACAATAGGCCAAGATGGTTCGGTGCGATCGAGCAGAGAACAGAGGAGAGGCAGGAACGAATCGTGTGCTAGTCGGCGGCGACGGCAGTACTCCCTCCCACTAAAATACCGTTTAGACAACAGTAGCGCTGACAGCATCGCTGATGCTCTTGTGGATGAAGCGAGTGGCGTCCTGGGGAACCCACAGATGCTCCTGGGAGGCCTCGGGATCAGCAACGCCCGAGGTGTTGCCAACGGCAGCGACGACCTTCTTGGAATTGGTCGTCTGGAGGAAGTAATTGATGGGGCGGACCAGGGCGGGCTTGACGCGGCTGAAGTGGATGGCGACGTTGTGGCCGGCATAGCGGTCGAGCTCGTGGCGGAGATCGATCAGGGCCTGGATGCCCGTAGCATCGACAAAGTTGACCGAGGACAGGTCGACGACAAGCGAGCGGAGGATGGGGCGCTCTCCACTGAGATCGGTCTTCTTGGCAAGGCCAGTCGAATCGCTCCAGACCTTGTCGTTGCTGTGCTTGGTAACAACGCCGCCGTAGCGGGTGCGCTCCTTGGCCTCGTCGAGGATCTTCTCGGTGATGTAGCTAGCATTGGGGTAGGTCAGGGACTCTTCGGGGCGGAAGACAAGAACGCCGGCGGGGGGCTGCGAGGTCTCGAGGCCGTGGGACTGGCCGAGCGAGTACCACTTGCCGGCATGCTGGACGAGGGGCTGGATGCGAGGGCGGGCGATTCTGTACAGCAGGATTACGAGGGCAAAGCCGATGGACACTTCGATACCGGTCTCGATGTTGAAGATGACGGTGACAAAGAGGGCAACCCAGAAGGACAGGAAGTCGGTGAACTGGATGTCCCACAGCTGCTTGATGACCTCGGGAGGGGCAAAGAGCTCAGTGATGGCGGCAATGATCAGGGCCGAGAGCGAGGCCTTGGAGATCCAGAACAGGGCTGGAGTGATGGTGTACAGGGCAATCAGGACCAGGACCGAGGTGATCAGGCCAGCAAAGGGACTGCGGACACCCGAGGCAGACTTGATGGCAGTGCGCGAGAAGGAGCCGGTCGAGGGGATGCCGCCGATGAAACTGCCGAGCAAGTTGACGAGACCGAGGGCGACGAGTTCCTGGTTGGGGCTGACCTTGTAATTGTTGATACGGCCAAAGGACTTGGCGACAGAGATGTGCTCGATGATGGCGATAATCAAAACAGCGGGGAGCCCTTGGGCGGCGCGGGCAACCAAGCCAGCATCACCGAGGTTGGGAACAGCCACACCAGCGAGACCGGCTGGGACAGTCTTGACGAGGGAGATGGGGTACTTGCCGTTCTTGGCGTCCTTGCTGATGGCGTAGCTGATACCGGTGAAGACAACCAAAGCGACCAGATTGCGAGTGATGCTGACCCACTTGAGCCAGGCAAGCTTGGGGAAGCGGCGGGCCAGGATCAGGGTGGTGTACTTGACGAGGAGCAGGAAGACCAGGGCAGAGACACCAAAGGCTGTGTCGAGGTTGCTGAGGGTCGAGGCGTTCTTGATGGTGTTGATCAGGATGTTGAGCGACGAGGGGTCGTTGGTGTTGACGCCCTGGATGCCAAAGAGGCCGGGGATCTGGCCGATGATGACAGTGAGACCGGCACCGGTGGTGAAGCCCGAGATGACCGAGGAGGGAAGGAAGTCGACGACGATACCGAGGCGCAAGAGACCCAGAACGAGCTCGATGATACCCTGGAAGAAGGCGATGATGACAGCGATGGAAATGGGCGAGTACTTGTTGTCAGAGTTGATGGAGGCAATGACTTGACCGAGGAGTTGGGAGAGCACGGCAGTGGCGCCGATAGTGACATCTGCGATTGTGTGTGGGAATCACGGGTGGAGATGGGGTGGATGCCAAAGGAGTCATGGAGTAAGCATGGAATCTCAGACACAGCAGCGAGACACAGTCGGCAACACACCACCACACAGTCATGCGAGCTGCTTACCCTTGGAGGTGGCGAACAGGAAGTAGAAGAACATGCCGGCAACACCGGTGTACAGGCCATACTGGACGGGGACGCCAGCAAGGGTGGCATAAGCCAGAGCCTGGGGAATGATCACACCCGTGACGGTCACACCGGCAATGAGATCACCAGTGAACCAGGAGAGGTTGTAGCGAGGCAGCCAGTCAATGACGGGGAAAAGCTCCTTGAGGTAGGTGACAGTGTTGTGACCCAGGTTGTGGGTGAGGCTGCCGGCATTCTTGCGGATCTGGGTGTACTGCGAGTCAAAGACATCGTCAGGGTAGCCCTCGGGGGCCTTGATAGGGGCCTGGGCGGCAGCGTCCTTGGATCTGGCCATTGGGTGTGCGTGGCTGGGGTACGGAAGTTACAGAGGTACAGGGGGGGCGTGCAGAATGCGTCCGATATGGTACAGTGAAAGAAACTTGGTGGTTATAGAGGGCGCCGCAGAGCAAGGACAAAAAGCGAGCCAGGGAAGCAGCTCTGGGTGCGGATGTTGGGCCGAGATGAGCACCCCCCGAGGGATTTTATCCCTCGGCTCGGTGATTTGCATCGGAGATTGCCTCTATGCAAGGTTTGGTCGGTGGTCGTGTGAATTGCGCGAGCGCTGCAGGAGCGGCACGGCGATGGCGACATGCCCCTTGGAGCACCCAGGACACGCCCCCTTTGTGACCAACACGGAGGGACAGCCACCGACAACAGACCCTTGGTTTGTGGCAATACCGCTGCAGACGGCGGATGTGGGACGGACGAATAGGAGCGACAGGTGTGGTGGGGAGCATGTATATCGGATGGTGTGCTTGGCTAGCCGATGGCGAATCAGAGCCTGAGGGGCCCAGGGCATGATCCACCGACCCGAACACAGGATGACACCATCGGACACACCTCGCCGGCTCGTGCTTGTCGGGCTGCTTGCCGGCGACCAGTGAGATCAGGCGGGGCAGGTCACGGAAAAGCAAGATGCTGTTGGGGATAGGCGGCGCAAGAGGCATGGCAACGGCGGCAGCAAGCGCAAACAGGCAGGCGAGGTGCATGGCAAAGTGCACGGCAAGATGCATGGCAAGATGCATGCCAGTGCGAGCGATATCGTCCAGGGTGCATTGGCCACACTCCCGCACAACCGTATCACCAGCCAGAGCCAGAGCCAGAGCAGCCCCAAGCCGGCCGCGGGACAACCGCCACGAGGCAGCCATGCCTCGGGCCTTGGGCATGCAAACAGGGAGCCATGCAGTACGGGTCCACCAAGACAGCACGGCTTGCATACCATCATGGACGAAAGAGGAACAACTGCCCAGTTTGGACGGATTTTGGGTATTCGGCTCATGACCTGTGAATGCGATTCACGCAACACACTCATTCGCCAATTCTCGTCGACTCACATACATCTGAGGCAAACGGCGATAGAAACCCCCGGTCGGTCTGCGAATAGACCACAATCCATCCATATCTCGCTGCCAAGAAGCGTGTCAGATGCGCTTCATCATAGGAAGAGATATCGCTGTGGGCATCTCTGCGCAAAACGATCGGCCGGAGAACGATGAAGGCGCTGTCGAGAATGCAAAGTGCAAAAATATCTCCCAAACAGGGAATCGAACCCTGGTCGCCCGCGTGACAGGCGGGAGTACTAGCCACTATACTATTTGGGATATGCTGAAAATCCAAATTTTGATATTTTCACCGTTGACTGACTTGTGATCAAGACCATCACTCACTGATCATGACCATTCCGTGATTTGAATCAAGGACGCCATTGTGGGCATCGCTACCAGCCCAAAATGCGCTGGGTTTGAGGAGATTCACTCTTGCCCAGGGTCAGAACCAGCGATCGTCGTTTCTTTCTCGCCAGATGGCTCCCCGCAAGCAATGGACACCACCCAGGCGACGGCGATTCAAGCGGCTCGATCTCCAAGGGTGCTCACAGTGCCGTGAAGCCAAGCGACTCGAGAAGATCGAGTATCTTGATATCGAGTTAGTATGGAGCTTCAGGCCTCTGAAATCAGAAAGCGGCTATCCCGTTTCTTTCTGTATTGACTGTGTTTGGCATTTATTAGCAAATCACAGGAAAGTCAATTGTATACAGACATCAAAGTCAGCAATGATCCAACACCCATTAAGATACTGCCCATTTCTGCCTTGACACCGCAGTCTGCGATGGCCAGCGTCCAACAGGCCAATTGCAATCAAAGTTGTCGCCTCGCTAGCCTCTGAGTGGAGCCACCGGGTCACTATCCGGTCTCCGCAATCGACCTGTTGGCGATGACTATTGGACGATCCACCACATCGATCACAATCACAATCACACCGAGTCATTCAATCATCCAATCATCGAGCCACTTTGTATGACGAATCAGGAGCATCGCCCTGCCATTGCAAGCACATATAGATGCGCCATTGCCAGCCGCACCTCCCTTCCTCCCCGGCCAATCGCTCAATCAGATCCAATCAGTACGCTCTGCTCGAGCACTGGAGAAAGCATGTCCTTGCTTTCATTCGTTTTACTGCAGCGATCCTTACCCCCCTTTCGCCTCCGCTCAATCAGGACAACCCCTGTCTCCCAGTAGTGCACCTGATTCCCTGTCCAATCCAATCCCATCCCATCCAATCCAATCCAATCTAGGGACAGGCATGATCGAGTATGCGCCGTCACTCGGTCCGATTGGCCTCCCTTTCTGCTTCTGACAGCACCGAGACTCGACCGGCTGGACCTCCTGTGAGCTTAATGTATCATAAATGAGAGCAGTCCATTGCCTGCCCCATCTCCCATGTACTCAGTCTCCCGTTGGCCCTGGGCTGGCCCTGGGCTGGCCAATGTGGTGATTATCTCACTCTGTGAATGTCGACTCTGGCGGCGGGCGACAGTATGGTCTGTCAGTAGCGAGCGGTGGGAGAAAGGCAGAGGGAGAGGTGGTGTGCTGCATTATCTTGGACATGTTGCGGCAGGAAAAGTCTCCGAACTGCCTTGCATAAGAGCACGGCAAGGCACCCGCAACCGCTCAAGAGGCAGCTCCCTTGGATTAGCACCTCCACTTCCCCTACTTTCGTGCTCTCCGAGGTTGTTTGCTTGCATCCACCGATATCCTCCACCAAGCCATTGATCCCCCACCCTTATCCTCGTTGAATGATGAATATTGCCTTCTTTATTGCGCTCCTGGCCATCTGTGCTCGGCTGCAAGCGATTACCATTCCTTCCGATCGTGAGAATGCCACATTGAGTCGACGCGGCAGCGGTTGTAGCTGTATTGACGCTTGCACCATATGGATATATTGCTCAGGCAGCTATTGCTGCACCATTGACTCTACCTGTGGACGGATCGAGGGATATCACACCTACCCTACCCTCTCTGGGTCCGTATATTACGGACTCTGTACTCCCTCCACTGGGAGCTCCGGCTCGGGCAGTGGCAGCAGCTCCATCAGTCTTTCATCTGGCAACGGGGCTACTTCTGTCTCCTTGGTTACCTCGGTCACTTCCACATCCTCGCCTCGAGCTTCGGCCACTGCAAGCTCCTCTGGCTCCGGATCGAGCTCCAGCTCGGGCACAAAGGTATCTGGTTCAGGCTCCTCGGTCAACTCCGGCTCTTCCGGCACCACTTCAAGCTCGAACGTAGCCTCGCTTGCGTCGTGTACAGCATCCAACTTTCAAACATGGTGCAGCGCAGCGCAGAGTCTCATGAGCTATACCGGTCTTGCAGTCCTGAGTTCGGACTGCACAACGACTCTGTTCCAAAGCCCGGTTGCATTCTCCATGACAATCGACACCTGCAACCAGGATCTGATCTTCTCCAGCGGCTCCGGCTCGAGCCTCGTTCTCAATTTGAATGGGGGCAGCGGAACGTTCCTGGGCTGGCCTCTAAGCTCCCAAGGACTCCAGGTCACCACTTGCTCGGACTATGAGATCCTCAGCTTCACCTTCGGAAATGGTTCTTCTGCCGTGGCCTTGAGTCTCCCCGGAAGTACAGCCAAATGCGGCCTCAAACTTAGCACGGGCGCCATCGTCGGCATAGCCGTTGGTGCTGCAGCCGTCATTGGCATCGCTGCGGGCCTGTTTTTGCTCATTCAGCGAAAGAAACTCACCTTGCGAGGAGTCGTGCAACCCTCCAAACCCCCAAGTAAGACAGGCTACCAGCAACAAGTCGACCAGCCCCAAATGAGCCAGCCGCCAATGTATCAGCAGCCCGTGGCTCAGCAGCAGCCCATGGCTCAGCAGCCCGCTTATCAGCAGCCCGTTTATCAGCAGCCCGTTTATCAGCAGCCCGTTTATCAGCAGCCCGTTTTTCAGCAGCCAATGTCTCAGCAGCCAATCTGAACCCTCCCATCCATTGGATCCTTGGATGAGTTGCTCCTTTTCCTACTCGACAAAGTCAATAGGGCCCTGGTCGTGACCTGCAAGCCATTCCGTCAACATCGTCCGCTTTCTTCTTGGCCTCGTATTGCTCGATATCTTCAATTCACCGCTCATCGCTCGCACTTTATTCACTACCAATCCTCCATTTTTCCATCCTTCTTTCTCCATTCTCCATTCTCCCTTGTGCCTTGCATCCAATTTTTCCACAATCGCGATTGTATTGGACGTCTCTACATGTGCCGCGGACCAGACCGTACCGCATCGAACCCGCAGGCCAGAACAATGCCCGTCACGTCCGATACTCAATATATGCCATCTTGTCTGCTCCAGAAAGTGAGCTGAGGTTGGCCGAGCGTCGCCAAAAGACCGCCTCGGTCTCACCAGACCCGCCGCCGCCACCACCGGCGGTGAGTTCGTCCTCCTGTCCGAGCGCAAGGTAGTCCTCCGGAACCATGTCGTCGTCGGTATCGGTACCGGCGGCTGCCAGAACGGTTTCGAGCAGATCGAGCTGGCTTTCGAGTCGTTGGTAAGGAAATCCTTCCATGGTATCCAGCCCGTCGATCCGGGTGATAATCTGTCGGTGGTCGTTGGTAGGTGTTGGTTGTGGTGAGAAGATGGTCGTGGGACGGGATCAGTGGACGACGAGAAGAATCGCTCGCAACATCTCCGATGATCAGCCCAGACACTGTATCACACGGATTTTCCATTCAAGCCGTACGCAGTGCATTTGGAACCCATTCCACACTGGCCACTTTCAGCTCTTCACACCTTCTTCACATTATGAGGCGCTCCTTATCCAGATCGGCACGGCCATCCGTACCTTAAACTGGTATCCCTGATCCATCAGGAATTGCTGTCGCTTGCGCGCATAGTACATCTCCTCGGTGTCTTGGGTGACAAGGGTGTAAAAGAAGGCGTTGAAGCGCTGGTTGGATGCCTTGGCTCTCAGAATTCGCCCTGCCCGCCATGAAGCCACCAGAGTTAATCTCGCAACAAACGCGCATGTCCGCACTCCCACAGCGAATGTATGCTATCTCACCAAGTCGCTGTGCCTCCTGTCGCCGTGATCCATACTGCGACGATATCTGGATCAGACACGATGCCTCCGGGATGTTGATCGAGGTGTCTCCGACTTTGGACAGGAATATGGTGTTGACGGTCGAGTCGTACTGGAACTGCTGCAGGATGCGCATGCGCTCTGCCGGGCTGGTGGATCCGCAGATGAACGGCCGGTTGAGGCAGTTGGCGTAGTGCTGTGTCCAGAAAGCAAACGTTGCGTTATACACCAGTGTCGAGCGAAGATCATCACAGACCGAGCTATCGTGTGATCCGACCAGCAGCAAGATCCTGAATAGACCCATGAGCGTCGCCACAAGGCACAATTCAGATCCACGGCTCCACGGCTCCAACCTTGAGGGCAAAGATGCTGTCCGAGAAGATGATGGTTTTGTCGCCGCGGCTCTCGTGGTATCGAATCAGGTATTGGCACATCTGGATCTTGTACGGGTGCACGCAGTAGAGCAGCTGACGAGTCCTGTCAACGGCAATGTGCCAGGGAACACGATGAAGCCAATGATGGCGGTGGTGGTGACGACAGCGAGGTATTCACGGTCCCGTCAGAGATTGACGCGCTCACCTTGATTTCGCATTGAGATACTCCCGATAAAACGCAGTCGTCATCTTGCACCAAACTTCGGCGCACTGGGTTCGGGATGGAGTACAAGCGGGGTTGCTGCAGTTAGACAACGGCCACAACCAGCAACAGCAACACCAGCAACACCAGCAACACCAGCAACACCAGCAACACCAGCAACACCAGCAACACCAGCAACACCAGCAACACCAGCAACACCAGCAACACCAGCAACACCAGCAACACCAGCAACACTCGCAACCGCGGCATGTCGAGCCAACCCGCTCGCCACAGGTAGCTTGAGTCGCGGGACACCGACCTGCACCCGGGCGATGAAGCCGTTGGACTCGAGATCCATCCAGTTGGCTTCGTACAGCTTGGGTCCGATCAAGTAGTTGAGGTTCTCGATTTTGTTGTCTTCCCGGACGAGTGTGGCGGTCAGGCCCAGTTTTGTGTGCGCCGGCACGATCGTGAGCACCTTGCGGAAGATCTCGGCCGGCACGACATGGACCTCGTCCAAGAGAATAAAGCCCCACTCGTGCGACTGGATAAAGGACATGATCTTGGCTGCATCGTACGCACGCTTGCCGGAGAAGGCAATCATTGTGTATGTCGAGACGAGGATGCCTGTGGGGGTCGAGAACTGCAGGCGTTGGACAGACAACGTCAGAGACGAGTGCGACTGAGTGCAGCTGAGTGCAGCGGGGAATGTGGGCAACTGGCGAGATTTGCTCATGGCTGCGCTTGCGATCGCGGCCACACAGCCACTGTACCTGCTCCTTATACGACGACGTGAACTTGGCAATCTGCTCATCCCGGACCGTCGACCAGTGCCGGAACTCCTTGGCCCATTGCTCGACCGAAACGCTGAAACAGGACCCCATGTCAGTCGGCCAGCAGATACATCCAACCACCATACGACCGTATTTTACTTTTGTATCCGCTGGATTCAACAGCCCCATCGATGCAGATTTACATAGGCTTACGATGAGGTGCAGAGGACCAGACAGCTTCGCTTGATCGTGCAGGCCGCCGTAACTCCAACCAGGGTCTTGCCCGCGCCGCAAGGCAACACGATGATGCCGGATCGGCTGCGCCCGTTGCTGAACATCTTGCTGAGCCCCGTTTCCTGATAAGGTCGCAGCTTGGTGGTAGCCTTGAGATCAATGTCCAGTATGGGCATATCAGGTCCGTTTTCGGCATTGAAGTCGTACTCCTCCAGGATCGGATAGGACAGCTCGCTGCATCTGAGTTTGACATTCTCGACCTGGCCCTTGTCGATCTCGAATGAGTGAAGGTACTCGACTGGCGCAGGCGCCTGTGGTGGGTCCGGAAGATGATCTGCCGCAGCCCGGGAAGCCGAGGGCACCACAGCATCCGAGACATCATGGATCGATTCGGCTGGTGGTGGTAGCGGTGGTGGACCGGGCGCTCCGGATACTTGTGGCTGGGACAGCAACGGCGGCGGTGGAGGCGGCCGATTCGCTCCGGCCTCATCAGTGTCAAAACCAGTGTCGAGGTCAAGGTCGAGATCAAGATCAAAGTCCGGGTCAAGGTCAAAACCGAGGTGGAGGTTGAGGTCCAGATCCAGATCCAGATCCAGATCCAGATCCATGTCGGAGCGCAAGTTGGCATCCGAGTCTTGATTCAGAGGGCCTGTGGGCGGTATCCGCTCAGAAGAATCGGCCATGATCTCGTTCACTGGATCATCCGTGCTCTCGACGTCATCGTGTTCATGGTCTGCCAGAGCCAGGACACCTGGATGCTGGGATGTGGACCTATGACGCGGAGAAAGGGGTCGAGCATGGGACATCAGCACAGATACATGGGGATCAGGGTGGCGCACTGAGGCCCGAGGATATCGGGCGCGATCGATCGATGGCAATACTCAACTGCAAAATTTGCGATACTGGTGCTCGGTTGTCGGCAAAGACGTTGGATGCCTTGGGTGCCTCATAGACAAAGAAGCCGCGATCGGCTGGGGGCGGCTGCGGCAAACCCGGCTCGACTTCGCCTTCGGAGTATTCTGACAGCGTATCTGCCGCGGACCGAGTGAGGAGGGCATCGGGATGAATGCGGGCGCCGTAGATGACTGGATCACGCAGTAGCGTATCCAGGACGTTCGGGTCCTTGGACTCGAGGAAAAATCTGAAGGCGATCGATACAGGGTGAGTGGGGCTGGGGTGTGCTCTGTCAATGGCGGATGCTCGGACCGGACCACCCAGCATGGATGGTCCTGGTTGAGCGATCAAACTCGGGCGGTCTGGCTGAGACGATAGCGTTCGGCGGGCCAGGGAATGCAGCGATGCTGGTTGAGCGGTAGACGCATGACTCCTTACCGGTTCTTTTTGAGGACGAGCTTGACCCGCCCAAAGGATTCGGTGTGAAGGGTGATAAAGTCGACCATGCCTTCGGGCAAATCCGGCTCCTTGGAAAACAGCCGCAAGCAGCCGAGGATGTCAGCGAGCGAAAGCCCGTTGGAGACGGCGGCATAGAGCGAGTATTTGGTGATGGCGTATTCGTGGATGTGGGTCAGCCGAGAGACGGGCTCGGCAACGGTGGAGATGAAATCGAGGGCCCAGGACGAGGTTGGAGAGAAGGCCTCGACGAGGATGTGAAAGGTCCTGGGGTCGATGTAGAAGGGGCGGATGTGGTGGTCTTGTTTGAGTGGCATGCTGGGGTTGGAGACAGAAGCGAGCGGCGGCCGAACAGTGGGCTTTTTATCGCTATGGTCAGTTGCTGTGGTCGGTGGTATCGGTTGTTGCCCTCGGGTGCCGTGGTCGGGTGGCGGGGCGGCTGCATGCGATGGTGCGAGAACGAAGCTGTGTTGAGATGATGCAAGAGAGCAGCTGATGAGCTCAAGGGCAGATGGATGATTCAAGGGCGGATGGGCGTGCCCAAGGGATTGGCTGCGAGGGCGGGCTTCCATGAGTGCTGCGCACGGCGATCTGGCTGACGGCGAGGCCGACAGAGACCAACGGGCTGTCCAATAGGGTGTGAAGTGGATAATCCATTGGATAGCCTATTGAATTATCCATTGGATAGCTTATTGAATTATCCATTGGATAAACCATTGAATTCTCCAATTCTCCTTTCGGTCGATGAGGAGTCGTTTGATGCATCGCCGCACCGCCCCATGCATCGCCGCATGTTCATGGCCGAGCCCATGTCTCTTCTGGCGTCGTCGATCCAGGCCCATGTGTGCCCCATGCTGCCGGTGTTTCATCCCGATCGACGCTTCCGCACCGCTCGTGGTCAGGCCATAGCCCATGGCGGCAGACTCATAAGGCACGACCACCGCTCCCCGGCGCATGGGAGAATGGGGAGCCATCGTCGGCCGTCTCTGCGACACGACGGACACTGCCGAACAGCGCATCGCCCCTCGCTCTTGAGCATCCCTCCCCCCTCGATTCCAACCAACGAGGGATATGGACAAGACATGCGACCAAGAGACGTGATGTGGTCGGATACAATTCGCGGCTGCCAACTTCGTCCCGGGCAGGCCAGCCCCTGCGTCTCTCGCGAATCTCATGGCGCACAACGGCAATCCCCCAAGAGACGGCGCCCCCGCGTGTCCACCGCAGGTTGCGCCACAACCCGAGTGCCTTGTGCAGGCGACGCGGGACTTTGGCTTCCCACGCACAGCAGATCTAGCGCTTGTTGCGTCCCGATGCATGTGGGAAGCACAAAACGGTGTTCCCTCCCAGCGCAATGTCCCACGAGCCCATTCGCGGTATCTGACTGGTCCGTGCTGGAGAACACAACCCGGATGCGGTCGCTCCCCCCGTGCAGCAAGTCCAAGCCCGCGATCGTGTGACAAACAGTCGGCACAGCACACACAAGATGCCTGTGCCTCGGCAGGCACACCATTGGAGTTGCGGGAATGCTATTCCGATAATACAGCGAGAAAGGAGGCGATGCAAGGAGCGTCGCCATGGGGGTTGTTGTGAACCTTTCTGTTCGCACGGCTGCTTTGCACTCTTCGACGAAACAGTCGCTCGATCGCCCGAGGGAGAAAGTATAAATATCCGCCTGTCTCGCCGTGCCCTGGAAACCACATCTCAATCCCCGTCCTCAGAGCAACCAGGTCTGTTTCTTGCACCGAGGACAGAATCGCTCGCGCTCCTGCGCTTCCCACTCGATTACTACCCGTGCGACCACTTCTGTCGCCGTGCTTCTCGTCAACCCTCGGCTGGCCAGTACTGCTTCGACTCACATTCTTCTGTTGCTCCTTTGCTGTGCAGATCCCAAGTTTCCACTCGACACTCTCCTCATCACATTCAATATGCAGTTCAAGCTTGCTGGTCTCGTTGCCCTCGTCGCCGCCTCCGCCGTCCAGGCTCAAAGCACTGTCACCGGTGCCCAACTGTGTGCCTCTGCCGGCCTGTGCATCAAGGACACCAGCGGCAACTACTGCTACGACGATGTCATTAGCAACCTCCAGATGGCACAAACGGCCACGGATGCTGCCACCATCCAGAAGTACCTCTGCACCGAGTGCCTCCGCGAAATCATTTTGTGGTTCGAAGCCAATCCCACCACCTCCGCCGCTGCTGCTGCCCAGTTCCAGAGCCTGACCCCGCAGCTTGATCAGCTTTGCGGTGCCAACTTCTTGCCTACCTCCCCCGCCCCCGCTCCCGTTCCCATTTCCCCTGCTCCCGTCCCGATTTCTCCTGCTCCCGTTCCTGTCTCCCCTGCTCCCGTCCCGGTCTCTCCTGCCCCTGCTGTTGCCACCCCCGCCAAGAGCTCCGCTAGCACTTCCAAGTTCTCGCTGGGTGCCGCTCTCGTCGGTGGTGCTGCCCTCGCTGCCTTGATGCTGTAAGATAGTCCCGGCCACCTCCCCTGGTCTGGTGCTGTCTGTTGTGTGCATCCCCACCACAACGACCCCCAACCTCACCCGCACGGCCGTCCCTCGTCTCCGTCCAACCACTGTTTCTATGATTCAACGGAGCTCTACCTTCCTGTCGCCGCTATGAGGCTTTCGTTTGATGTATGGTGTAACTTGCCCATCCCGTCTGGATGAGCTAATGAACGCTATGAATCCTGCATCAGCACAATTCCCGCCGAGAAAAAAGTAAATAAACCGGGGACATTCTGTATTTTTCAGAACATGTCTTATCCGAGTATGTGGGGGTTGCATTCCAAGTGAAGCCTGTATTCAGCCAGATTCACCGATCCCCACCGGCCGATCGACATTGCCGTGACTGATCATGCGGACATGTCCCTGGGTTTTGTTGGTGCTGCGACCCTGGGCCGTGGTGTACCAGCCCCATCCATGCCAGCCGAGCCAAGAAAATCGGGTGGGGTGGGGGCGGTGACGATTGCGTGTCACTTGGCACATTCCACTTGCGTTTTCTTCCCCCCCTCTGAACTCACTCCCCGTCCTGCGAGCCCACCTTCTTCCCATCTTGCTCTGGGCTGCCCACATACCCCGCCCCAGCTCACAGTCTCTCGTCTCCCTCCCCACTATTCACGCCGGCCCATGGACCCCACCAGCAACAGCAGCAGCAATGGCGCCATCATCGCCATCGGTGTCCTCGTTGCTGCTCTGCAAAAGACCCTCAACGGCGGCGCCATGGCCGAGAACCTGATCTCCGTCGCCATCAGCATCCTCGGCTACCAGCTTCCGATGCTCCGGGGGCGCCTTCCCTCTGCCGACTGCGGCATATTCTACCGCAATATCGAGCGTGGCGAGCAACGCATGGTCCTGGGCTGGCTCAACGAGTGTGCCATCCTTTGCAGTTTGCATCGTGAGCAGCCCCCTGTCCCAAGCCCGGCAACGACCGCAGCCCCTCGTATGTTGGGTTCCTTCTCTCCTGCCAGCTGCAGTGTCCATCCATGCCTCCGATATGCTGCCGCCTCCGCCGCCGCTGTACGGCAGTGCTATACTCCTTCCATGTCGGCTTTCTGCTAACCTCGCCCTGGCATGGGGATTCCTATGCTCCAGCACAGGTCCGCTCTGGTCAAAGAACCACGCCCGACTTCAATCATGGTGACCCGGAACCAACTCCATTGCTCGACAATCGCTCCACCTATAGCCTTGTGCTCAACACGGGTGAGCGTCGTCTTTCTGCATCGTCTTTCTGCATCGTCTTTCTGCATCGTCTTTCTGCATCGTCTTTCTGCATCGTCTTTGTGCATCGTCTTTCCAACCAACTCAAACGCCTGTCTTTGCTCGGCTCTAACCCATCGGTGCTTCCTTTGGCCAGGCGCCGCTGCCGATGACGACGACGACGACGACGACTCTAGCGAGGATGAGCAGGACAGTACCGAGAAGGAAAACTCGGAGAGACTGGCAGCATACGAGGCTCAAGTCGGCCGCTGGGCGCACGCCACCTTTGGCATGATCAATTTTGTCTCGTCCGTCCCCTCCAGCATCAATCCCACCGGCTCGAATATAGTCAGCGAGTCCAGGACCACAAAAGATCAATACCTGGACCAAATCACCTTCGAGAACGAAAACAAGTACATGATCTCCAAGTTTGCCGGCAATATCCGCAAGATGACCCGCCGCGAGCTCATCACTCTGGTCGAGGGCCTATGGAGGGCAGCACTCAAGTCCCGCACCAACAAGATCGACATTTGGGGCAAGCGCTTGCTCAGGGACCTCCGCAAGTGGAAAGGCGAGGCACAGGAGCCCACGCCCGAGCCCGACTTGATCTGGAGAGCCAACAAGCGAGCCATTTCGGCAATGTCCAACTCCATCAACTCGCTTTCCTTTGATGAGCCTCTCGAGAGCCTCACTGGAGCTGAAAGGCAGGTCCGGCGGCTGTGGTTGGACTGTCTCTTTGGAAAGGATGCTCATCCCACTCTGGATGATATCGCGCACATCAAATCCGGCGACTTTTCTCACCTTTCCACCGACTTGCTCAAGCACTACACCGCCTACAAGGCAGCGGCGTACACCCTCCAGACCCTCGATCAAGCCAAGGAGCACGAAGACTACTGTGTCGTTGCTGGATACAGCCGCGACTCGCTCTCGAACCTGCTCAACACCCTGGGCCTACGCAGCCCTGTCAACGACCTCAAGAGCGCCCACGCCGAGCACACGGGCGAGGGCGGCCCCTTCTCGGCCCGAAAGACTTTCCACTGGTGGTCGGCGGCTCTGCGGTGCATCCTCGAGATTGCGATCGCGGCCATGCTGACGGCCATCCTCGGCATGGGTCCGCTGGTGGCCATGAGTACGTCGCGGCTGCTCCTCGTCCGCGCGGGGTTCTTCCCGGTCGGAGCGCCCTGTGCCGACCACTTTATCGAAGACGCCGAGGTCTTTTCGAACGGCAGCGGCCGCGACGAGTGGTGGGCTCTGATCAAACTCCGCCAGCCACTGCACGTGTGGACCCAGCTCGGTTCACTCGCACTTGCCGAGCTCAGCATCGTCATCAGCGTTTGGTTCCTGGTCGAGAACCAGCACGAGTCGATCGGCTATTACTACGTCTGCAACGACTCGCGTCTGAGCGTATGGCTGCCTCAGGCCATCGGCGCCATCGTCTCGGTCATGGTTGTGCTCGCGGGCTTGGCCATGGTCGCTCCTCACGCGATCCGTGACAAGTTCCGGCCGCTGTACTATTATGTGGAGAAGCATTCGCTTGCCGTCCGTGTGCCCGAGGACTCTTTCCCATCCAAGAGCGACAAACATGGCGACCACAGCAACCACGACAACCACGACGACGACGACGGCAGCAGCAGCACCCGCACCCGCTCGTCGTTTTCGACCGGCAGCCTCTACGAGAGCCTCAACCGCAGCCTTGGAATCAAGAAGCAAACGCGCCGGCCCACAAAGATCTTTAGCCGGACTATCCTCAAGGACTATCCCGCGATCTCGGGCTACGAGTGGGCCTATATGATTGTCTGTGTTATGATTGCAACAGTCGTGGCTTGCTATGCGTTTTTGTCAAAGGAGCGATTCAACCAGGTAAGCGACACACAGATGTACCCCTCTTGTTGTTGTTGCTTTGATTAGCTGGTGCTGTTGCTCCTAGGGGGATGCGGGGATGCGGGGATGCGGGGATGTGTGGTCCGTTGGCTCGGTCACGCCTCCGGCTCTACTTTGCCGCCGAGTGTAGGGAACTCACTCGCTCACTCTTTTGCAGACGGTCTACGAGTTTTCCGCCTTGGTCCTCTGGGGCTTTGGCGAGGCGATGAACCCGCACATGCGCCAGGGTCGGAACATTGTGACCCACGAAATCATTGCGTACATCATGGCCTTCATCAGTCTGCTTGTCGGGGCCACCTGTGGCCAAGGACGCAAGTTTACCTTGGGTGCTTGAAATCACCCCCTTCGTTCGCTTTTCGAATCGCCTCCGATCGAAACTTCCCTCCCCCATTCATTTTCGAAAGTGTCGAGTTGTACCTCTAAACTCCTGAATTGATCATGCTCAATCTGCCGCTTGTTCGGTCGCTACCACATCATGTACACGTAATGAAACTAGGCAGTGTATAAATGAGGGAGCGGCGCACCGCTTTCTGGTTCCTGAAAATGCATCTATTGATTTCAAATGAGGTGGTGGACTCTTGAAGGTATGGATTGTCGACATAACTCCAAGAACAACTGGACCTGGAACGACCAAATGTTAGGAGGTCAGGCAATGTTGGAGTAATAAAGACTCTCCAACTGGTTCAATATTGCGAAAGGCCAATGGTTGACAGCGGAGAAACGAGCATGTCTCTTGGTTGGATCGATGTTTGCGTTGGCGGAACCAATTGAACAGGTCATTGGACTTTGCGGGTTGACGGGGCGATGCGGTATGATACGGTGAACCGAACAAACTTGTCACCAAGCCATACCGCCTGTGGAAGGTTTTCTTTATTTCGAAATTCAAGCTATCAAGGCCTGGTCGGCCGTAGCAGTACATGATGTAGGAAAGGAAGGCAGTGATCAGCCTATCGAACAGCTTGAGAGAGATGAGAGCTGTATGCCCTCGTCTCTCGCTCTGCTTCGGCCATGCCGCCTATCGCCTGGGGGGTTTCCACCCCGCCTTGGCGATGATCAGCGTCTTGAACACTCTTCGGAGTGTTCGCCACAGGAGATGGACATCCGGGTCTTGCCAGTCGAACCTTCTCATGCGATTCAGCTCGTGGTAGCCAACTATGTTCGTCAGGTCCAGGAGCTTGTCGATCGGGCCGACCTTTTCGTGGCCGCTTTCTTGCCACTCGGGGTGCCGCAGCTTGAGCTCGTCCACTATCCGTTGCCACGAGCCGCCTCTTCCGACGCAGCTCTGGGTGTGGGTCCGGCACATCGCGACGAACTCTCCTCGGCTCTTCGTGCAGGAGACACACAGCCGATAGTGGCCATACGGGTGTCCGGGGAAGGCACCGAGGGTCCATCTTACCATCATGTTGTGATAGGGATCTGGACTTTTCCTTCCACACCAACATCGACGACGACCTGCCCAGCCTTGGATGGGATTGGGAGAGCGATCAGAGTGTCGACTTGCTCTCGGACACAACACCAAGCATCGATCTGATCGACGATGCCGACCTGAGCCCGGACCTGGTCTCGGACGACGACCTCGGGCTCGGAGTCACACTGCTCCCAGCGAGCAGCAGGAGAGGCAGCCCTCTCCCTACACCGAGCAGTGACAGAGCGACTGGGGCGCTGAGAGGCACGAGGCCACGACAGCGACCCCAACGAACAAAGCCGTGGATGGGCTTTGAGGAGATCCCGGAGAGGAGCTCCCATGGCCAGAGAGAGAGGATCCCCGAACGGGACCTGGAGACATGCGAGTCCCAGTGGGACCTCTTGGAGGAAGTGTTCACCCGCATGGCTCGCCGTGTGGGCTGGAGAGTCGGCGAGAGCCGCAACAGGGGTGTGTGAGCTTGCTTGTACGCCCACTGTTAGGTTCCGCATGGTGATGATGGCTTGTTGTCTTGGATATACAACTAACGATAACCTCAACCGATTCGCCAGTCGAGATCTCCAGCTCTGTCTGGAAACTCGGTGGTTCTGGCCACATGCGAGACGGGTTCATTGGTTCCGCTGCAACGACCACTGTGGTCGGGTTTGAGCCCAAGTTTGGCGGCAGAAGCGAACCTATGCCCGAATTCCCATGGCATAGTGACGCTGTATTTCGACCATCGAAGTTCAATTGTGATACACACTTGGACTGCATTCGGTTTCCGTGCAGTTTCAGCGGAAAAACTTTGTGAACTTCTCGACTTTGGCGGCTCTCTCGGCCTTCTTGGCTTCCTTGGCCTTTCGTTCTTCCTCGGCTCTCCTGGCTGCTTCTACTTTTCTCGCTTCTTCGGCCCTTCTCGCTGCTTCTGTGGCTCGTTTGCCTTCCTCTGCGACTTTGCGCTCTTGTCCTTGGTAGAAGGCAGTCAGGACTGGACCGGCGTGGACCGCAGCGGCACGGGTCGGGGACTCGGGACCTGGCGAGTTGCTGAGGTAGTTGGCGAATGCAATCAAGACCTCGGGGGTGCTGGAGTAAATTGGCTGTGGGAGTGTTAGTTTGGTGCTGGCTGGTTTGGGATGAGGGAGTGGTTGGACATACCAGGATGTGGCTGGCAACTGCGTCGCTGGGAGGACCAAGGTAGAGTGGCAATTTGAGGGCGTGGGTGCCGTGGCGAATCCATTGGAAGTAGTTGTCGATTTGGATCCACTCGGGGGAAGTGAGTGTTGGGAGACGGTTGGTTGCTGGGGCAAAGTTGGGCGATTGATCGAAAGAACGAAGCCATTGGCTGCCTTGGCGGACCCAGACGAAATTTTCCGATGAGGCGGTGGACTTGATGTAGTTGCCATCGGACGAGATCGCCACGGACTCCACCCAGCATGTGTGTCCTGTCAGGGTGTGCATCACATGGCCACTGGTTACATCCCACACCTTGATGGTCTTGTCATTGGAGCCAGAGGCAAGCCACTTGCCATCGGGTGATATTGCCACAGAGTACACACTCCATGTATGTCCATGGAGGACTTGCTTCAGTTGGCCAGTGATGGCATCCCACACCCTGATGGTCATATCCCATGAGCCAGAGGCAATCCACTTGCCATCGGGTGATATTGCCACAGAGGCCACAAAACTTTTGTGTCCATGGAGGGTTTGCTTCACCTGGCCAGTGGAAATATTCCATATCTTGACAGTGCTGTCACGAGAGCCAGACACAATCCACTTGCCATCAGGCGAGATCGCCACAGAGAACACAATGTCTGGGTGTCCTTCGAGAGTTTTCTTCAGACTGCTTGAGACTGTATCCAAAATTTTGATTCTGTTGTAGTCGCCCCTCTCCACAATTGCCACAAACGTGCCATCTGGTGAGATAGCCGAACGCCACACTTTTCCCATGTAATCGGTGAATGTTCTCTTGATATCCCCGGTGCTGGCATCGATATGCTTGATTGTACAATCTGACTCGACAACTACGATGGTCTTGCCATCAGGTGTAGTCGTGATGGCCGCGGCACCAGCATGAGTCCACTTCAACTTGTCGGTAGCGACATCTCGCACCCTGATTGCTCCGTTACTTGCCCAAGTTGCAATCCAGGTGCCGTCGGGAGGAGTTTCGACAGATATTACTTTTCCATCGATTGTTTCGATAAGCCGATCCAGACTGGCCCAGGTGCTCTTGACTCCAAGCGTGACCAGGAACGGAATCTTGTCCTCGAGTTGGGCGGCATATGTCTTGTATATCGCCGTCTCCTTCGGGGTGAAGGCATAACCCGAGTTGTACACCTGAGGTGCACTCTTGCTGATCGGATCGGCAAACTCGCAGATGAATCGATACGTGTCCTTGATCAATTCCTTCGTGGTGTCGTCAAAGGCAGTATTTGGTGCCATTTCGAGTATTTCCTCCAGCGCGTGGAGCTGGGTTGTCAATTCCGGAATCACCCCGATGAGTGAGCCTGCCTCCAGCCAGTAGAACACATGGCTGGCGAGAAACTGGCTGAGCGAATCGCCCAAACTAGAAGCACGGTACTGCTTCCAGATCTGCCTGTCAACCGATTCTTCGTTGACGCACCACACAAAGTGTGTGATCCAGTGGGCGACGCTGTATCGCAGCGATGGTATGATCTTGGCTCTGACTCGGCCCTCGAGGTCCGGGATCTTGTGGTGAAAGTCGTAGATCCCACAGATGTTGATCACTGGCTCGTGGGAGAGGATCGACAGCAGGCACTGGGAGGCGAACGCCATATGAAACTTGGGAGAAACGTGGAAAGGCTCCTCGACAGACTCCACTCCAATCAGATAGGCAACAATCGACTTATGTTTCTGGGCCTTGGCCGCTGAGTTGCCTTGCTTGTCGTGGCTCAGTTTGCCGGGATCGAGAACGGGTCCGAGTTCCTTGATGCACCGACGGACGATTCTGATGTCGATGCCAAAGAGGTCAGCAATCATTCGGATAGTCAGGGGAGACTGCGACGCGGCGATGGCCGAGATGAACAGGGGGAGCTGCTGATTGTGGGACTGGGCATAGACCCCAGCAAAGGCTCGCTGGTAGCTGGCACTATCGTTCTCGTTGGCGACGGTGAACCAGAGATCAAACTGGTCGTCATCATCTTCGTCGGAATCAAAATCGGCATCGCCACCGAAATGGAGCAGCTGTAGTGCGTCTGCCAGGTTTTTGACAGGAACTGGTTTGGACGTGAGCACTGCAGCAGCAGGAGGTGTCCGTGGCGTCAATGGTTCGGGAAAGGACACCCTGGGAGTGGACACCTGCTGGATCGGCTGGAACGACTCGGACCGACGAGGGGTGACGATAATGGGTCTCTGTTCTCCGTCTTGAGAGGGGAAGAGATCTGTGGACTGGCGGAGGATGGTGAGGATCTCGGGGAACTTGGGACGTTGCGCGGGATCGTGGTGCCAGCAGCGCTCAATCAAATCTCGGATAACATCGGGGATGCCGTCGAACTGCTTGGGTCGATTTCCTTTAACGACTTGGGACTCGATGACCCTCTCCCTCATTGGCTGACCGTCGTTGGTGACCCAGATAGGTTTGCAATCGCTGAAGACCTCGTACAGGGTGATGCCAAATGCATACACATCGGTGGCCTTCGAAGACCCAGCCATCGTTTCGTCATCGAGCATTTCCGGTGCCATATACTCGAGAGTGCCGCCAGTCGGCTGGTCGCGGCGGGTTCTGTTGGCCGAGGCCGAGGTGTGCTTGGTGCGGGACATGCCAAAGTCGGTCACGACGGCACTGAATGTCCCATCCAGCAGCACATTGAGAGACTTGAGGTCGCCGTGGACAATGTTGTTGCCGTGGAGATAGGCCATGCCAGAGGCGACTTGATACAGGAGCCGGACCTTCTCACTTAGGGGACGAGGTTCAGGAGCGGAGGCAAAGTGGTTGTGGAGAGTGCCGTTGGGCATGAACGGAGAGACCATGAAGGGCTTGGCGGTGGTGTCGCATGCACCGAGGAGCTGGAGGACATGAGGATGACTGAGTCTGTGCCAGATGCCGATCTCCCGTCCAAAGTCGGCGAGCTCGTTCTGGTTGTAGCCTCGATAGAGCTGCTTGACGGCGACAGGGGCGCCGTAGTATGAGGCCTTGAAAACCTCGCCAAAGCCGCCGGCTGCGAGTGGGGTGGCAGACCGGTCGGTGATGGCATCAACGGGAATGTACCAGGGTTTGTCGGTCATTGCCGAAACGGGATGAGTTCAGGCGGAGGCGAAAACGGAGGATGCCCCCTGGACGAAGGAAAGGGGCCAATCCCCGCTTTTATGGCCAGAAATGCGCCACCAAGGCGGGTGTCGCCAACTGGACTCTGCCACTTCACAATCGGGCTGGAAGCGGCCGACCAGGCTCAAACACAGGCTCAAATAGTGTCGTTCTCCGGGTGATCAATCTTCGGCTGCATATAGTCTGCAGCAGTACCATCGAGGTAGGATAAGGCGTATAACACATCCTTCTCAGACTGGAAGGCCCATATGCCTGGCGGCAGAGCCGCGGCCAGCATGGCGGACTTCGGATCCTGGGCGGTAAGGAAGTCATCGACATCGCCGGGAGCGCCAAGGTAGTGGAGACCTGCACGACGGATCCGAGCGGGAGCAGGAGGGAGCTGGTGAAGCTTTGGAGAGAACGGGTGTTCCCTGCGGACTGGGGGTGATCACGGCCTGGATGGCCTGGAGATGGGACTCAGAGAGGTCAGAGGAGGAAGACATGGACAACAGGACGGGAGCCAAATCGAGGTAAGTGGGGTTGCTGAAGGTCTTACCAAGTATCAAGACCCGATGGGGGCTGAACTGGGCACGGAGTGTCAAGCTGGCATCGGTTTGAGGCAAATGGTGATGGAGGAGCAGAGATCTGCTGGGGAGTGGGGAGGGGCAAGTCCGCTGCTCCAGCAGCGGCGAGGGCAGAAACCCCCGGATATGAATATCGCGAGCAGGCGACGAGCCAAAATGCAATCCACCACGGAGCAAAACCCCTATCTCCAATCGTGGGGATCGAACCCAGGTAGCCTTTGTGTGAGCCACTGGATCGGAAGAATGATGGATGATTCCAGGGTATGTGTCTGGGATGAATACAAGGGTTCGACCTGCCAGACTCCACGATGTCGGTGTCCAAACTGCTTTCTTGCCAACACTCTCCGGCAGAAGTGGAAGCACCGCCGAACCAAGGGCAGAACTCTCGCCGCCACATACCTCACACCCACGACGACAGCGATGATGATGCCCCCAGAAGATGTTCGGGTTGGTCGAAATGTAGTCGGTAGAGTCAGAAAACGCCATGCTGAGCAATGCATTATCTTGTGTATAAGTCAATAATAACGTTTGCAGCAATCACCACGACGCTCATTCCATCTGGCGCAAGGCGAGCTCTGCATCAGAATCGCCAAGTCCAGCTGCTCTGGCGTACAGTTCCTTGGCCACCACTGGGTTTCTGGTGACACCCACAACATCGGAATATCGGCGAGCCAGGTGTCGCATCGCTGGGGAAAGCTCCTTTGGGATATCGCTGATGACGGCGTTGACCTGGTTGTCATCCAAGTCATTGAGGTACTTGAAGCGGATCACCTCAAACGAGAACTCTGACCCAAGTGCGGCTGCTTGAGTGTGCAATTCGAACGACATGATAATGGAGCAACTGTACCACGGCCAGACTGGTAGCATGTTGCGAGTCCCGAGATGCCCTCAGCAAATGACTGATCAGCTGCCTTGGAGAAGAACTCGAATGCCTTGTCGTTGTCCTTCTCTACACCATCATCCTCAAAGTACGCACAGGTGAGGTTGTACTGTGCGCTCGAATGTCCTTGATCGACGGCTTTCTTGAACCATGATACTGCAATGTGGCTGTCTCTGACGATGCCGATACTGTCATAGTAGAGGGTGCCAATGCCATTCCGAGCACAGGCCAGACCACCATCGGCTGCGAGGACAAGCCGTTTGAGGCACCTGGTCGAGTCCTTGTCGACATAAATGCCATTGAGGTAGCCGCATTCCAAACTCGAAGCAGCCAGTGAGGTTCTTCACTTCGGCCGCCTTTCGGAAGTTGAAGAATGCTTCTTGGTGATTCTTGGGGACTCCGATGCCATCTCGGTAGCATCGACCAAGACGAACCTGTGACTCGGCGTTGTTCCTCGCGGCCAGGATGGAATACACCTTTGCAGCCAAAACAGGATCTTGCTGGTCGAGGATGCTGTTGGTGAGATAGGGCCCGATCGGGATGATTGATCCATTGGGCTGCTTCTCTAGCCTGGCGACTTTCACATGGTCGATTGGGAGACCAATGCCATTCTGGAAGCGAACTCCCAGTGTGTACTGCGAGGGTAGATGACCATGCTCGCAAGCCTTCATGAACCACTTGGATGCGATGCCGTCGTTATTCTCGACGCCATCTCCCTTTGCGTAGTGGTACGCCAGTTTTGCCATGGACGAGACACATAGCATTCCCAGCATTGACCAAGGCCACGATGAAGCTCCTCTGTGGCTGTGCCGGGTGGTCTGGAATGCATGGATGTGGTATTCTCTTGGGCATTGCCAAGTGTGCTCTTCTTGGCAATCTGGGAGAATGATACAGGTGGTGACTTGCGTTTGGTATGATGGAATGCGATGGAATGCGATGTGGGCGGAGCAGTGGGCGTAAATGGTGCTGGCCTCGTCCGAAGAGCGATGCTGGGCCAGGACGAACTCGGTGTTGTATGAGTCTCTGCCCATGCGAGCACAGTCGGTGCATTTCATCTGGCCGTCGGCTCCTCAGGACTTGCCGTTTGCCGCTGCTGCCGCCGTCGTGCCAGTGGCCCCCTGGTCTTGCACCAGCCAAGCGTCCGGACGAAGGCTCTGGTGTGTCAGGTCGTCCAGTTGGCAGGGTCTTGAATGGCACCCGAGTTGAACATGCCGACGATGGCCTCCAGGTTCGATAGCATCATGATGGCGCGGGACTTGTATGCGTCTCGGAACTGCGGGTTGATCCAGCTGCAGACGCCCTTGTAGGTTGTGGTGGCATAGCGATAGATGCTCTCTTCCAAGACCTCGGCGTGGTCGGGCGTCTTTGCCTGGAGGGTCTGCAGGGCGATGCTACGCTGCGAGTCCATCGGGTGCTATTGCATATGCCGAGGATGAAACCCTTACAGCGTTTTTTCTGACACGCCCTTCGCAGCAGACCAATGTCAAGTCAAATCTGGATCATCGTGGCCGTTATCGCTCTGTGCTGCGTCTCCTCATCGCTCCTGACTGCAAGTGGAGGATTTGGGCTCTATCAGTACAACAAGACCCACTCGACAACACCATGGTCTTGCGTCTACGTCCCGACCATCAAGATGTACACCGTTGCACGATCAACCAGAACAACGCCGAGTGCATGTACAACACCGACAGTAATGGCTGCTATTATTTCCCAGTGAACCCGGGTGCCGCCACAGGTGATGGTAGTGTCAGTCCGATGGATGAGTGTGCTAACATGATCCAAAATGTACCCACACCGACCACGCTGGCTTCCCAGCAGACGCTGAATCTCGACATTTACACCTGCGGACCCAACTCGACCAACAACAAGCTCTGGAACCGCACAGGATACGAAGCAGCGAGCGACCCGTGTGATGTCATTATGAAAAGTGACAATCGCTCGATCACCAATTTACTCTTTGCGCCAAGCACGATCACCATCAACTTGGCATATCCACCACATGCTGCGGCTAATTCTTGAGTTTGCTCACGATGGATGCTGGCGATGGCATACCGCCCGGTCCGCTGCTGCCGCTCCCAGAATCGATGCTCTGGTAAGCATAATACCCGATGGCTGCAATCGACGAGATGCAGCAGCAACAACAGAGACATGCAGCAACCAGGGCAATGATCGCTGTCGAGTCGAGACCGGAAGTCGTCTGGTCAAGCGAGAACTGGCTCGATGTCTTGGTTGTGTTGCCCTGTGCGATTTGAGTGATGGCTTTGTTGTCGAGCATGCACTGCTGGTATGATTTGTTGGAGTTGGACTGAATGATGCCGGTTGCTGTGGCACAGGGTGCGAGCTGGTTCTCATTGATGGGAGGCTGAGACCGCTATCGGCCTGCTCGAGCGGTTGGGGACAATTGTGGATTCTATTGATCAGCTAACATGTATATCCAATGACAACGATCACAGCCAAGTATCCAAGTCGGTTCACTGGAACGGGTATCTCTTGTGATGGAGGGTGTGTGGTTACCATCGAACGACAACAAAACGCAGTCAGTGGATCAATACACATGTACATCATGACGCCTAGCGATGGAACTGTCACTTGAGATCTGGAGCGAGATCGCCTCGTTCCTCGACACCCGATCGTGGTTGACATTGACACACTTGCCATCGATTCCTCGCATTTCATCAACCCGCATGGGTGGATATGATCTCCCAGTGCTACACCAACACCCGCAGACGCTCTCTGATCCAAGTGGTCATGCGACCGATCTCATTGATATGGCGTATGATAAAGCCGTATAGTGCATTGCTTTGTCGTCTCCTCATGGATCACCATCCTGTCTACCACTGCCTGGTTCATCCTTACTGATTCAACCACATGCTCCAACTTACTGCTGTCACTGGCCTCTCTGCATCGGCGCTGACCACGAATACCAGAAATAACGAAACACCACAGGATCATCTGATGCGATCCCTTTTCTGCGGACCAGAGTCGCAGCATTCCAAGAGAACCGAGATTACATTCACGAACCAACTTCGGTCCAAGACTGCATTTCATGGCCGAGTCACTCATCTCACTCTCATCGACCATCGACCCAGTTCTATCCCATAGCCTGGGACAAGGACGACCCTTGGTCTCAACTTCGTCCAGTACCCCTCCTCCTCCCAGGAGTCCATGCATTGCTTGCCCCTCCATACTTGAACCACAACACCCTGGTGGAAGCCTCGCGCAAGTGATCTTGGCCATGACCTCTGCAATCTGGATTACATCTTGTCCGACCATCAAGCTGGTGTTGGTTCTGGTGTGCTGGGAGATGCAAGGGAATGAGAAAATATGAGGGAACTAGGATGGATATGGTTGTGAGCACTGAGTTTGAGATGTGGGTTCGATTCATGTTCGATTCATGTTCGATGAATGTTCGATTCCATGTTCAATGCATGTGGCAGTGCAAAGAACAACGACTCCAGCCATCAAACCATCGGATCGAGCCAGGCTTGTGTGTGTGTGTGTGTTCAATGGCCAGTGTATGGCCTGCCAGTGCTTGGCTTGCTTCTCCACAAATTCCCTCTGTCCCCTGTCCATCGCCATCATCCACTTTCCTCCTTCCCACATTCAACATGGCCAGCATGAACGAGCCTGCTTCAACCACCAGGTCATCTCCCCAGCTCTCCCTCGAACACAACCCAGACATCTTCACCATCATCTGCTGCAACGACGGCTTCCAACTCGCACTCGACTTGAACACAATCAAGACCCTCCTCCGAGTGTGCAAACGAGTCCGTCCTCTCCTGAGCCTCAAGCTGCCTCGCTTTCACAGCTGGTGTCAGAATGCAGGATTGTGTCATCCAGACGGACAGCTAAAGTTCGGCCTCACACCAAGCGACCAGATGGCTGTATCGCTGCGCTACGATGAACAGGCCACAGCCGACCGATCCTGGCTCGTTACTTTGGCAGAGCAGGGCAATGCTGTGGCCTCGTATTTCCTGGCACGGATCCTTCAAGTCGAACTCGCCATCGATCCGCCAGCAGACAAATCAGAGGCCATCCGCCAGCGAATCTTCCGCCATTTGGAGATCGCCGCCAACACAAGCCACACAATGTCACAGTTCCACTTGACCCAGTGTTATTATCAAGGTGTCGGGGTCGACGAAGACCACACCAAAGCTGTCGATATGTTTCGCAGTCTTGCAGAATGTGGAATGGCACAAGCCCAAGTTGCTCTCGGTCGATGCTTTGAGAGCGGCGAAGGTGTCGATCAAGACTATAGCACAGCCATCGAGTGGTATTCCAAGGCTGCAGATCAAGGCAGTGAAGATGGTCGACTCCACATCGTGTTCTTGCAAGCTTGGTTCTCATTCATCGGCCATGGTGTCGAACAGAGCGATGTCGCTGCCTTCAACCATTGGCAAGAAGTCAGCACCAAGTCGACGGACCCGGTCCTCAAACCCATCGCCACTCACATGGTTGGGTGGATGTACTACCTCGGTCGGGGTACCGTGCGAGACCAACAGCAAGGTGTCAGGATCATCCGAGAGAACGAATCGGATGAGTTCAAGCTCGGGGAGGACGACTGTCTGGCATCGTGCTGGAGTCCCATCGTGTCCGACTCACCTGCAGCCTGCAAACTCTTCAATCTCTGCCAGCTGGGATCGAATCGTGACTGGCTCTGCAAGCATCTGATGGCCATGTGTGTGTTTCATGGATTCGGAACTACCGAGGACCGGAAGAAGGCAGCGGGTATCTTCGAGCAACTCGCCAACGAGGGCCACAGCGACAGCCAAATCTGGATCGGACAGTACTACGATGACGATGACGATGACGATGACGATGACGATGACGATGACGATGACGATGACGATGACGATGATGAATTATCGGAGGACCGAAAGAAGGCATTCGAGTGGTTCAGCAAGTCGGCCAACCAAGGCAACTCATATGGACAGTGGAGCGTTGGTCATTGCTACGACGATGGAATCGGAGTCACCATGGACCACACCAAGGCAGTCGAGTGGTATCGCAAGTCGGCCGAGCAGGGAAATCGATACGGACAAGATTGGCTCGGTGGCTGCTACGAGAATGGCTGGGGTGTCCCTCGAGACATCGACACCGCCGTCTTCTGGTACCGCAAGTCCGCCGGCCAGGGTGGCTCAAGTGCCATCAGCAGTCTCAAGAAACTGGGCCTGTGGCCCTGATTCCGATGCCCTCTCAAGTTCCACTTCCAAACTACCAAATGGCCTTGTCGCTACAACCAGTTCGCTGGGGACGCGAGTGTGGATGGGATTTCCCGAGTTCAATATATTTGATCTGCCCAACTTGCTCGATTCCCACGGATGTCAGTAATGCCAGCGATGCCAGTGATGCTGGGTCAGTGAGTTTGGACAGATGGATCCGATCCATTCCATCGATCAACTCCTCCCGTTGCCTTACCGGGAGTTCTCCAGCGTCCAGCCACTGTCGATTGGATATTACATCTGAACTGCAAGTCAATGTGTATTGAGTCTATTGTATTTATGGCCTCGCGATTGCAGGCAAACTTCTCACGGATACTCGCCCCAGAGATTCGGTGACGCCGAAAGCAGTGGCAGTGACTGGCACAGCTGGGCGACACGCTGACTATGGTTCTCGCAGCTGCAGCTGCAGCCAACGCCCGTCCGCCTGCTCCCCTTCGGATTTCACCAAACAGCTTATGACTTTTCCCGTCGGTCTCGCAGATAGTCGGCAAGGGCCTGCAGTCCTTCGATAACGTTTTCAGAGTCGGACGACAGCACCTGGGTCAACGGCTGGAGCATGTTCCGGAAGGGCGGCAGCGTCGAGATGTAGAGCACCATCGAAATAGCCTCGATGCGCTTGAGCAGTCCCTCCAGCACCGCCAGTTTTCCGCCGTTGGATTCCATCTCGTCGTCGGGATCCGGTTGCCACGGCGTCGGAGCAGCGCCGATGAGCGGATCGGCCGACTGCCATTCGCTGCTGCCTCCGGGCCGCAGTGCCCCGACAGCGCTCGAGTCGGCTAGCAGTCGTCGGGGACGCTGAGTGCCTGTGAAATATCCAGCCAGGTGCTCGAGCTTCAGACAGAGATCGCCAATCCTCTGGATCTCCTCCCGGGGCACAATCGGCAGATCGGGCTGCGGGCCGTCGAGGTCAGCGGTGATTTGGTATCGGCGCTGGCGGGCTTCCTCCTGTCGGAATCGAATGGGAACGTGTCAAGGAGAGATGATGGTGGATTACAACAAGACTCGGCCATGTGCAAAGGCTGTTATCATACTGGTGTGTAAATGTGGAGCTGGCCGCTCAGCAGAGCCGTCAGGAACTTGTGTCGGGCATGGAGTGCTGTCGGGTAGACCTGTCGTGGCGCAGGTCATGGACGTCAGTCGAAGGGTCGATGGAAAGGCGTAGAACCGCATGGCTACAGCAGAGTTACCGCACCAGAGCAACTGCGCCAGAGTCACTGCACCAGAGTCACTGCAAACACGCAAGTCCTCTCCCTCCCCTGTTGGTGCGGCACTTACCGAGTACAGCATGTCCGGTGTTTCGAGGCCCTTGAGCCTCACCTCGCCAATGAGCCAGGCATGCACACCCATCTTGAGGAGCCGCCGGATGATGGCGTTGTCTTCGTTCTGCCTGGGGCCTGTCGCTGATGAGTCCTCATCGTTCTCGTATCCCAGCATTTCGAGCTGCGTGAGCCCCACATCCGCCGACGGAGGCCGCGCACTCATCAACATGTCATCGCCATCGACGACGGGATCGAGATCCGAGTCAGGCCCGAGCCAGGTTGCGAACCGGCTGCGGACGACCTTCATCATGTCGGACGAGAGCAGGATCTGTCCACCCTGCGAGGCACCGCTGACACGAGCTGCACGGTTGACCATCGGCCCGAAATAGTCCATGCGCGAGGTGACCGGATCGATCTCACACAGTGGCGAGCCGTAGTGGACGCCCATGCGGATGCACAGCCCGCGCCAGACCACATCGGATTCTTTCTTGACCGAGCCCGTGTCGAAGCCGTACTGGATAAGCATCGTGCGCCGCTTCTCGGTCCGGGCGAGCTTCTTGGCCTCCTGCGAGTTGTGGGGCATTCGGATAAAGTCGCGGTCGTTGTAGTGGATGGTGCAGCCGTCGTACATGGCCAGGATCTCCTCGGGCCAGGTTACGTTCATGAGCTCCCTCTGCGCCGCCAGGCACCACTCGAGGGCATTAAGCGGGTTCTGGAAGCTGATCATGAAGGCGTCGCCCTCGGTCTTGACTTCGTATCCCTTGTGCTCCTTGATCAGGCGTCTCATCAGGCTGTTGTGGAGCTTGATGGCCTGGCGCATCGCAACCGAGTTGCTCTCCCAGATGGCCGTCGAGTTGCGGATGTCGGTGAAGACCAGGGCAAGCGAGCCGACGGGTGCAAGCTGCACAGAGTGAAAGCAGTCAGTGGCACTTGTCTCGGTCCACACGCCGACCCTCGAAGCCATCGCCATCGCCATCGCCATCGCCATCGCCATCGCCACAATCCAACACAGCTTGCAATCCACTCTGCGAGCATCTCACCTCGTTCTTGGGTACTCGCACGATCGGCGCATCGTCCATGTGCTCCCCGACGCTCGTCCGCTTCGAGGATCCGCCCAGCCATTGCTTCTTGGCCAGGTCGCGCAGTCCCAGCAGCATAACCATGTAGCCGTCGCCGGTCATGCCAGCCGTGCCGTTGCCGTGCAAGCTCAGGGCAACATCGCGGACCTTCATAGCCGCGGTGTTCCAGCCGCCGGTAATCTTGCGCGCTTGCGGGGTCGCCGAGCCGCTGCTTCCTACCGGAGACTCGCGCTGGTTGCCGATCGACCGGTGGGCGATGCTGACGACGCGCTGGGCGCCGTCTTCATATGTGCCGCCACACCGCAGCGCCTTCCACACGGCAGCGCTGGTGATGACGATAAACTCGTCGTTGGGCCTGGACGCATTCTGGCTGTGGGCGCCCTTGGCAGGCTTGGACTGGTCGTCCAGATTGAGCTCGATCTTGCGGATGAAGGGGTCGGCGTTGACAGCGCCGAGGAAGGGTGAGTATCCAAACGCCCGGCTGATGTCCAGTCGCTCGTTGATGAGCCCGACGCGCGACATGAATCCGCCCGTGTTCTGGATGCGCTCGATCTCGTCTTCCATCCAGCGAACTTCGCTGTTGAGCATCTCGCGGTCGCGCGAGAGGCCGTTGAGGCTCTCGATGTTGACAGAACACAGCTTCGTCAGAGTCTCGGCCGAGCCTCCGTTCCGCGAAATCACAGCCATGCCGTCGCCGACGTTGGCGACGTAGGCCGTGCATGTGCCGCGCTGCTTGCCCGTGCACAGGAAGATCACCGTCGCCGAGCATCCGACAAAGAGCTGCGAGTCGTCCGGGTTCTTGCGCGACTGCGTCGAGTAGCTGTCCTTGCGCTCCAGCCGCTCGGCAAAGCTTGGGTACCGCGTGCAAATGTCCTTGTTCAGGATCAGGAACGTCCGTCGCAGTGCGTGCATGATCGCATTTGAGTCCAGGGCCACAGGCGAGTGCAGGCGCGACTGCCGGTTTGCCTTGAGGTTGGCGTTGATGCCAGAGACGACCGGGACAGGCTGGTTGAGGGTGGCGGCGCTGCCACGGCGGCCAAAAGCCGAGGGTGCTGGGGGTTTGGCGGCCTGGGGGACCGGAGGCACGGCCACGTTTGGCGAGGCGCCCTGGTGCTTCTCGAGCTCCTTCTCTTGGGCCTCAAGTTCGTTCGCAAAGACGTCCTTGAAGGTGTCAAAGAGATACTTGGCCATGCGGGTGCCTCCGGCCGTGCCCCGGCCGTCAAAGACGCCAAAGAGCGCCTCGTTGGTGCGGTTGCGGAACTTTGGCAGAACCAGGTCCCAGACGCCAAAGAACCCGTCGTCTTCGACGCGGCCGCCGGTGGTGAGCTGCTTGCGGCGCTCAAAGGTGGTGTCGCTGCCCGGGCCCACGGACAGATTCACGGTGGCGGCCCGGGGCCGGGCCAGCACGTCCGAGACGGAGCAGTGAATGGCATTGTTGCTGCATCCCTCGAGCGAGATTTCGCTCTCCATCGTCCGCACACGTCTGTCGGTGGTGTCGTCCGGCAACACAATCAGATAGGTCACATCCGTCAGGCCGAGCATCCGCAGGTTTGTCAGGGCTGAAAAGTCGCTGAGGTCACGCTTGCCCGCAGGGACCACGGCGGTGCTGCCAGCCTGCCCCGGATTTGGGATCGCTCCCGCAGCGCCGGCGCCTGTGACGGCCGCTGCTGCTGCCGCCGCTGCGACTGGGTTAACCCGTGAGGTCGAGCGAGTCGCGACCGAGGGACTTGATGCGCTGAGGCTGTGTACGTTCGCAACGTTGGCGGTGGGCACCATACCGCTGCCATGTGCAGAAGTGATTTCGAGCCGCTGGTTGCCGGACAGGTTGAGGTACTTGAGATCGAGATTCCAGTTCCTGTCACAGAATCGACAAGTCAGTCGCGCTCAAGCAGCACGGGGACATGATCATAACAAGCATAGGAGCAATGCGCCTTGGACCATGTGTGCTGTCGCCATCGGGTGTGGTGTGTCGTGTCTCGGGTGCCATGAACGCTCGACACTCGGCCATCAAGTTGCAAGCCAGCTCGGACAATCAGTCCTTCCGCTTCCCTCCCCTCCCCTCCCCTCCCCTCCCCTCCCCTGAGCCCAACATGCACACGTACCAGTTCCATTCATACGGCCAGTTGGTCACGTTGTACCGCAGCCCGGTTCCCTCGCCACGGCCACCCGCCTGCGAGCCCAGGTCCAACGCCGCCAGCTTGGTCATACGAGCGACCTCTCCCGGGATGGTGCTGAGCTTGTTGCCGTTCAGGAAGAGCCACCGAAGAGCGCGCAGCCGCTCAATCTCTGGCGGGAGGATCGCGATTTGGTTGCCGCTGAGGTAGAGCTCCTGCAGCCGCTCGAACCACGGCCGCTCCGTCAGGGACCGCGAGGCGTTCTTGGCGACCACCCAGGCGGTGATGTCGGTGATTTCGTTGAAGGAGACGTTGAGGGTGTGCAGGTTCTGCAGGTTGTAGAGCACTTGGTAGAACTCGTCGTCGAGCCGGTTTTCGGCAATGTAGAGCGCCTCCAGCGTGGCGCTGAGCGGCGGCGGGATCACCCGCCCCGTGGGCTGCGAGGCGAGGGCGCTCAAGACACCCTCGCTGCTCTCCAGCGAGCTCGCTGCCGCCAGCGGCGATCCTCCGCCCGACGAAGCCAGATGGTGCTGGCTGATCTTCTGGGCTCGGTTGCGGGCAAAGGTGCCGTACTTTGGCGACATGGGCGAGTGGGTGTCCGCCAGAGAGCCGTCGCCGTCCTCGGAGCCCTCGCTCGGGAGCGTCATTGCGCCGCGCATGCCCTGGTCGTCGGGCTCGATCGTTGATACGCCGCCCAGACCGCCCAGGCCGCCCATGCCAAGGCCATGGCCATGACCAGAACCGAGACCGCTGTTCAAGATCGGCAGCCGGAACTCCTTGATCTGGTTGCAGGTCAGGTTGAGGACCCGGAGCTTGCCGCAGTTCCAGATGTCGGGCGGCACGGACGAGATGCGGTTGGACTGCATGTCCAGCAGCAGGAGTTCGCCGAGGTACCCGACGCTCGTGGGGATGGCTTCGATCTTGTTGCGGGCCAGATAGACCTCCCGGAGCCGCAGCGCGCCAATCATCGGCGCAGACGCAAGCGGCGGATAGCTCGAGGACGACGGATACGGGCTCACCTCGGCATTGTTGGTGACCAAGCCGGTCGGCACCAAGGACTGCAGCGACAGCATCGCAAACGGCGGCAGCTCGCGCAGACGATTCCCGTTCAGCTTGAGAACCTCCAGCCCCGTCAGACGTTCAAAGAAACGGTTGGGCAGCATCTTGATGCCGCAGTCCGAGACGTCCAGCTGCGTGAGCGTGGCACTGGTGTTGGAGATGCACAGGATCATGCCCAAGGGGATCGAGTTGGTCGGCGCATCGCTTGTCGAACCCGCGATGCTGGCCGTGTCCGAGGCGCCCGTGGCACTGGTTCCGCGCGAGCTCATGTTGGGGACGTTCATGGAGCCCTTGTCGCTCGAGCTGAACTGGACGGTGGCGGCCGAGCCGCGGCGCTGCTTGTTCGAGAACGGGCGCTGGAAGCTCATTGTGAGCTTCTTGATCCTGCTGATGTGGATAAAGTACGGGCTGGTGGGGTCGAGGGGCGTGGTCGTGTCTTCGAGGGTCGAGAGCGCCTCGGGTGTCGGGTTGTTGGTCATGGGCGAGCGATCGTCCCACCCAGCGCACCAGAACAGCCGGTTGCCGTCGAGGCGCACGGTCGTGAGCTGCTGGCACTTGCGCAGGATCTCCAGAACGAGCATATCGTGCTTGGCGATGCCGCTGCCGCCCATAGGGATGGAACCAAACGCGTCGTCGGGCTCGCCCAGCAGGTTGGATCGGAGATCAATCTCCTTGAGCTCGTTCAGATAGCCCATGGACTGCGGCAGGCCGGCCTTGATCTTGTTTTTGACGAGCTTCAGGTACTCGAGCGAGCGCAAGTCGCCGACGTACTCGGGCAGCTTGCCGGTGATGCGGCAAAAGCTCAGGTCGAGGTAGCGCAGACACTTGCCGAGGTATCGGCACGGATCTTGAGGGAAGTGCGTGAAGCGATTGTTGTTGAGGATCAGAGTGTGCAGACTCGACATGTTGGCAAAGATGCCCTCGGGGATGCTTCTGATCAGGTTGTGGCTAAGGTCCAGGCGCTCGAGATTCACCAGGCGCTCCATGCCGCTGCCGTCGAGGGTCTTGATCCGGTTGCGGCCCAGGTCGAGCTCGACGAGTGTGTTGATGTAGTAGAGGGTCTTTGGCGGCCGGAACATCTGGCTCTGCCGCATGGTCAGCCGCTGGAGGACGTGGAGATTGCGGGCAAAGTCGACGGCAAAATCAGTGACGCTGGGGTTGCGCGAGAGATCCAGGTCCATCAACTCGTTGACGTGCAGGCACAGATAGCTGGGGATCATCGACAGGCCCATGCCGGAGAGGTAGATGCGCGACGGATGCATGGTGGTCCAGATAGATGGGTCCTAGAGCCACACAGCCAGCAGTGCGGGAGTGAGTGAGTGTCGACGCAGCTGATCGCAAGGCACGGTCCAACAGAAGCGTGGGCGCATCAAGCGGGCCCCCACAACAACGCTCGATGCCCACAGAAATGCACCATGACTGCAAGCGAGAAGGGATCAACAGCGTCTAGTGGCCAAGCAAAGGAGCCAAAGACGACGGAAGGATGGCGGCAAAAGGCATGTTCCAGGGTGGAGTGGCTTGGACAATGACCTCCGTGCGCAGATACGCACCACTTCGTTCGTCGTGACTTCGCGCAGCAGGAACCGGAACAGGTACGAATTATCTTCGCGGCCCATGATATCGATGCGGTCTGGCAGAAACTGGTATCCGACTTGTTCCAGAAGTTGGTGCTGCAGGAATATGGGACGCTCTCCGCTGGACATGATGCGTTCTGGGAGTCCAGTGCCCGTGTACACACAGAGACAGAGTTAGCCCCAGGGCTGAAGTTGAGGTTGAGACTGCAGCCACAGGAAGGCGCATGTGGTTGAAGACGCAGAAAGCCGTGACGGTGTATATGCAGGGCAGTCGCCTCAGCCAAACAGGCGAGGACACGACACCTACCCGTGCCGCTGTGCTGGAGAGCCAAGTGGAACTTGTGTTTGTCGTGGATGACAAACTTTTTGGCCAGCAGACTGAGCAGGTCGGCCACGGTTGAGCGGGCCCGACAGGAGATTGTAGAAAAGGAGCCGTCGGCACGGAACACACGGATGTATCCCTACAGGGAGGAGTGCGCAAATTCAGAATCGGGTAAGGGGAGCATCGGGATATGATGCAGTATCAGGCGAGCGAACAGCAGAGGAGCCGGTGCATACCACACGATCGTCCATGATGGCGCCGGCACTTTCGCCCATGTAGTCAGACTCGCCGCTGATGGTGCCTGGCATAATCAAGTCGGTGCAGACGAGTGAGTGAGCGTCGAGACGGAGCAACTGCCACGAATCACGACAGTTGCCAAGGCCACGTCGATCGCCGGTTGCGGTCGCCGACAGAGTGCATAGCGAGCGGTGCTATTTACTTGAGGAGCCATGCTGTGATCCACCCCAGCTTGTGCTGGCAGAGCTGAGCTGGTGGTAGGTGGATGGGCCGGGACGGGTGTTGAGCATGCTGAGGTTTGGGGCCGGATCGTCTGATTAGGAAGAAGCAGAGGCGAGATGTCTGGTGGCATGAGTAGGGACTATAGCCTAGTGGAGCGAGATGACGATTTGGCTGGCGGTTTTGCGGGGGGGGGTGGTCAAATACAAACCATCGAGAAATTCCTGGAGACATCCACCAAGGTTGCATGGTGAGCAAAGAGAATTAGCAACGGGGGCGACTGGTGAGGCATGAGCAATTGACGGATGCGGCCCTGACGATGTTTTGATCCTGTTCTGATCCTGTCCCGGTGCCGATGCTGCTACACTGGCCTTTGATCCTGTATCGATTGTGCCACTGGGTCATCTCCACTTGCCCTCTCCATCGGCAAGGCGCGAGGTGTCCGTATGCTTCCCAATCTCAAAAGATCAAGGTAAGATGCTGGCAAGCACGGGCACTTGGCCATGGACACATAGGCACCGCGATATACAGTGAATCCAGCACTGTCCTTGAATGATGCGATGCGATGCGATGCAATGTGATTGAATGTGATATGGCAGAGGCAAAGACAGCATCAGCCTGGGGGGAGGGCTCGTACCAGTGGTTTTCCAGCGTTCTGGGCCTGGTAGCGGGCGATGGGGCTATCGCGGCTCGGCGAAGAGTCCTTGGGGTATGCTTTCCTGAGAGCGGCAGCGGAAGACAGGGGCGAGCCCTGCTCGATGGGAGTGGCCATGGGCGACTCGACATCCTCGGGGAGGCTGTTTTCTTTCTTGCTGCGAAACTGCGGGATCCAGAACATGCCCTTCTTTTTGGGGACGCTGGTGCCGGGGTTGGGCGGCGGCCCTGTGGCAGTGATGGCTGGGCCTGGGTTCATGCTTGGATCGGAGGTCGAGTGGTGGATGAGCTGGGCAGGGCCGCTTGCGGTGCTGGTGATGCTGGAGGTCTCGGCGCTGGGCCGCCTCGATCCAAAGCCAGAGGAGACCGAGGGAGGATAGTACTGCTGGATGTGCGGACGAACGCCGCTACTGGGCATGACGGTGCTGATGCTGTGGTTGGGGCTGGCGCCAGCAAAGCGGCTGGCCAGGGTCGCCGACGATGTGTCTGGATTGGACTCTTGGCGCCGCGAGCGCATGTACGGCGAGCCCTGGGTCTGGGCCGAGCTCTGTGGTGGAGGCGGGGGTGGTGCCGAGGGTTGGCCGTTGGAGTTGTTGTAGGGCGATGAGTAGTATCCAGGGGGCTGGTAGCTCTGGCTCGAGTACGAGGGCTGCTGCTGGTGGTGATATGTGCGGGGAGGCTCGTTGGCGAACTGGACATGGGTGCCGGATGCGGGAGACGAGACGGGCGGGCGGTTGGGCTGCAGGATCGACGATGCTGATAGCGATCGGCGCTTCATTGACGGCGAAGCCTGGGGCTGCATGGTGGTCTACCGAGGCGGGTGCAGCGGGAAGAGTCTGGGAGAGGAGGGAACGAAGCGATGCGCGATCCTGGGAGAAGAGCGGCGGGGAGCCTGAACGAGAAGCGGTGGATCCGTGTGGATGACGATAGAGTCCAAGATCAAGAGCCGATGGCGATGCGGGGTGATGGAGCAGATGATGTGGATGTGCTTGCTCCGTGGCGACCTCAGAGCACAAGCCGAGGAGATCGATGTGCTGACAGGGCTGATGCAGGAAGGAGTTGGACGAAGCGGGAGGAGGCCGGCTGGAAGATGGAACAACCAGCTGGACAGCCAGGTGGATGGCCAGGCGGATAGCCAAGAGGAGCAGTCAAGGGAATGTCCAGGTGGATTACCAAGTGGATAACCAGGTGGATAGCCAGGCGGATAACCAGGCGGATAACCAGATGGATAATCAGATGGAATGACCAGGCGGAGAGCTGGTCGGATGGGCCACCGAAGGACTTGTTGCAGGCGGCGGTGGGGGGGGGCGAGAGGGACAAGCGGCGCCATCGTCGGCGCTTCCAAATCGGGCGGGTCGAGCCTGGGTCGAGCCGGGCGAAAGAAACGTGGGTGTTGAATGCCTTGCAGAGGTGATGATCAAACGAATTCGCATCAAGAGTCACGGCTGTCGCCTTTCTCTGCCCTGAACATACTCCTTCGGCTGTCGCCTTTCTCTGCCCTGAACATCCTCCTTCGGCTGTGGCGACTCGCGGTCTTTACTCGTTATCGATCTCCTTCGACAATCTCCCAAGGGCGTATATTCTCGGAATGACATTGCCGTCGCAGATCCAGCAGGAGGACAACGTCCTTGCCGAGCACCGCACCCAATTGCAGGAGATTGACGACATGCTGGCCACGCTGCAGACCATCGGCAAGCCCAATACCGACAATCTCGATATCGGCAAATCCAACACCGACGCCAATCCAGGCATCACCGCAGTGAATGCAGACTCCACCGACAGCAACCACAACGCCGATACAATCGCCCATCTGCAGACCATCCGCGCAGATCTGGTCGAGCTCATCCAGGCCCAGGAATCGCATCTGCTGGAGCTCAAGCGGGCGCATCTGCTGGCCTCGCTCGACATGGCCGATCAACAGCCCGACGATACTGCCGTAGGTGTCTCGTTCTTCCGTGATCGCCACCTGCACATCAACACATTGCACACTTGCGCATATATACCTTCTTCAACGCCTCATCTTCCATTATCGCCTCATCTTCCATTATCACCTCATCCATCACCATCTCGTCCAGCCCGGTCCAGAAGCAGCATCCTCCCAAACAGCAATCCAGCCCAACCAGCCATCAACCCAGTCCCCAGCACCCGCCCCGCCCGACCCACTATTCTCCTTTGAGACCGGAGCAAAGTGCTGCATCCCCTTCGAGGTGCCCAAGATCACCCCGCCAAAGCATATCTTCCTCCCGTCGCTCGTGCTCTCAACCGACGACACCCAGGCCAAGGTCCTGGTGCTTACGCCTCCTTCGTCGGGACTGGTGCCTTGCCAGCGCTTCCTCGGCTCAAGGTGCTCAGCTCGGCGGCGCTGCTCCTTCTCCCATGGCCACTCGGTCCCGCTCGAGCATCTGCTACCCTATGAAATCCTCGAATTTGACCGTCTTGTGGCTGGCTCCAGATGTTTGGCCAAATACGCTCGCACCCAGATTTACTACCCCGCTCGCATCGTCCGGGTCGAGCCCAAGGACGGAAGCTTCATGATCACCTTTGACGGATACCCCGACGAAATGGTCCGCGCCGAGTGCGAGGACTTGGTGCCCTTGACCGGAATCGACATTGCTGACGACGATGTGTTGCATTACGAGGACGACGGCGCTATCGCCAACTCGGCTGCTGGCAGCCCGATCCCCACGAGCGACAACAACAGCAACGACAATGACAACAGCAACGACAACGACAACGACAGCAACGACGACGACGACGACGACGACAGCGAGCCGTTCAAAGTCTATCGCTTCATGATCGACGAATCCAAGGTCCTGGGTGCCTGGGAGAACCATACCCTCGGAATCGGATCCAAGCTGTTGGCCAAGATGGGATACCAAGAGGTAGGTACCAGGTGCATCGTCCGCCTGCAAAGTACTCCATAGACACCAGTGCTGCTTCCTGGAACGCAACAGCACTCCTCCCCTGGATCCCATGTCATCTGCTCACCTGCTGCTGCCATGCATCAATCCCAGGGAATGGGCCTTGGCAAGACGGGCGAAGGCCGGGTCGAGCCCATCGAAGTCACGGTGTATCCGCCGGGATGTGGTCTTGGATTCCAGCCAAGCGAAGGCGAGCGCCTGCCCAAGAAGCGGTTGTCGATTCCACAAGATCCGTCGTCTGAGCCGCCCCGCCCCAAACGAAGCCGCACCGGCGACAGCGGCTCCGACGTCTTTGACTTTCTCAATCGGTCACTCAACTCCAGCCAACCCTCGTCGTCACTGGCATCGTCGGTATCATCATCATCACCACCACCGTCGTCACCCTCATCCACTCGCCTGCCATCGTCGCCAGCATCCTCTCGAGCCCGTGGATCGCCATCGCTTGCATCCACCTCCAACTCACCATCGGCCGAATCCAAGGGCAAGGACAAGGGCAAGTCGACTGCCCCCTCCAGCGCCACAAACCTCGAGCTCATCAAGCTGCATACTCAGCTCTCGCAGCTCGCGCGGGAGATCCAAAAGACCAGCGAGTCGCTCCAGCGCAACCGCAAGGACGCGCAGATGAGTCGCATCTACGAAGCCAAGCTGCGCGAGCTGGAAAGCGCTCGCTTGCTCGTCGACCAGCGCATCCGCAAGCTGGAACAGGGTGTGCAGAGCGGCAAGATGAAGGCCAAGATGGGTGTGTTTTGAGCACCGGAGGCCTGGGACGCCTCTGACGGGAGTGGCTCGAGCCCGGAGCTGTTCCGAGTACTTGACAAATATCTGATTCCGTGGACTCGCAACATGTCCCGAGCTTGTGCTGATCGGCCGGATCACTGCCGCGAATGCAGTTCGCGCATGGGTGCGACCTGATGGCCCATGGTTGGTCTTCTTGAACATGTCCATGGTCTTGTGGGGGGGGGGGAAAGTATTTCTACTGACTGGTGGTGCGCTCGGTCCCGCTGGACATGTCCAAGATCACTCCATGTTCGCCTGCATCTCTGCTGTGCCAATTCGGCAACATGGCAGTTCATGGATGGCACTGCAATGCGGTCGCCGTGCGGATGTGCACAAACCACTGTTCATCTCGCTGACAAGGCACATCTGCAACATCTGCACCATCAGCACCATCAGCACCATCAGCACCATCTGCACCATCTGCCATCTGCACCATCAGCAACATCTGCGACATCGAGCATCGAGCAATCACAGCACTGATCATCCGGGCCAATGGCCGCTGTACCGTCGTCCCGGCCCTCCACCCTGCGCTCGTGCGCGCACTGTGGAAGGGGCATGCCTCGCTTGTCCCCATTCCCTCCTTCGCCTGTTCATACATTCTCAGTCGTTCGGCGTCGACAGCGTCGGTGGCTTCAGCCTCCCTCCTCTGCCAGCCCGCGGCCGTGCATCCTTCTGCCTCATCGCCCTTTGTGCTCTCTCCTCCTCCGGCACTCGCGGATTGCTAGCGACCGACCTCATCTCCTGCTGCCTCTTGCGATCCGCCTCCTGCGACCCCACCCCTTTTCCTGTAGAAAGAAGAGACTCTTCCCCCCCCCTCTCGCCTTCCGCACCAGCCGAATTCGTAACCAATGTCCTTCCCAAAGACCACCCGAGTCACCTCCAAGCTCGGCGACTTCTTCTCCAAGCTCTCGCCCTCGCCCAGCAAGGATGGTGCTGCTGGTGCTGCTGCTGCCACCGGCACTTCCACCAAGACCACCAGCGTCACCGAGAACGGCGTCACCACCACCACCACCGTCACCACCGTCAACGGCAAGACCACCACTACCATCACCAAGACTGGCGTCCCGACGAACTCTGCCCCACAGGGCCCTTCGACCAAGCCCCTGGCCAACCTCCTCTCCAAGTTCAACAAGTCCCAGAACGGCGCCGTCCCGGCCCCTCCCCCGAAGGACCCTCCCTTCGTCGCCTCGATTACGCCTCCCGTCAGCCCGCCCAGCAAGCCGCAAGAACCTGCCCCTGCTCCGGTGCCCGCCCCGACCATCTCGTACATCTCCGTCCCTGCCCCGTTGTCGACATCCAATGTCAAGGATGTGCTCAGCGTGGTCAAGTAAGTGATGAAATCGCTCCGTGTGGCTCCGTCGCCGATGGCAATCGACCACGACGACCCAGCTTGCTGCAACAGCTCCTGACCCTGTTTCTTGATCCGACCAACACAAACACTGAACGGGGCAACATCTCATTTGGCACCTGCAAACTGGCAACATGTCATCCAACGCCATTGCCTGATCTACCTCCCCGGCGTACCTCGGTTCATGCTCCAGCTCCGCTGCCGTCGGTGGCGATCCTTCGTACAGCGGACCCAAGCTGGAGTTTACTGGTTCGTCTGCTCTCCCCACCACTTCACTGCATGCCATTCATCGAGCCTAGGCAATCCTTGTGTCTAATCACATCCCATTCCATTTGATCTCGCATCACCACATCCCATCCCATCCCATCCCATCCCATCCCATCCCATCCCACATCACAACCTGCAGAGGACGACTTTATCGACACCGACAACCACGCCAAGAAAGCCCCCAAGCACGCCGAGCATTCGCCCGAGACTCTAGCCCGCTACCTGTGCGATCCCTTCCAGAGCGACCTGCACAAGCTCCGGGCCATCTACGTCTGGATCACCCACAACATTGCCTACGACACCCAGGCGTACTTTGCCGGCAAGCTGCACAAGCCCGTGGTCGAGGAGATCCTGCGGGAGCGCCGCGCCGTCTGCTCGGGATACTCGGTTCTCTTCCAGGAGATTGGAAAGGCCGCTGGGCTTGATGTCCGAACCGTCATTGGCTTCTCGAGAGGTGGGCTCTCTGGCTATGCATGGATCTGGAGTGCGTGCGTGGGAGGCGGCAGAGGAGAGCATGGAATGCTCCACCACAGCGACGGAACAGGCGGTGGATGCATCCGGTGCCGGGGCCCAGGCTGTGGAGGAATGCGGGTGCCGCTCGAGCCCTCAGCGACTGGACTCGTGCGGCTCAGAAGGCCCCGCACCGACCCAGTGGGCCGATCCTGGCCCATGCCGTTGTTCCGGGCCCATATCGCCGTCCTCCTGTTTTTATTGCCCATCTAACGCTCAGACTTGCTCATTGCTGCGCAAATCCACTCCCAACCACCCTCGACAGGCGTCGGCTACCTCCCCGGCGACATGACCATGCAGCGAAGCCGCGACGGCAAGCCTTTCGGTCACGAGTGGAATGCAGGTACGCCGAGGCTTGAGGCCGGATCCGATTGGACAATCTCGGATCGGAGCCGATTGCATTGGGCCTTCTGATGGATGGCCCGAGCCATAACAGATCCCTCGAGCACACATCTAGCCGTCCTCATCACTCACCTTTCCTCCTCTTGTCCCTTCCCTTGCCTATCCCTCGTTCCCATCGTGGCAGTCCTGATCCGGGGCCGCTGGCGCCTGATCGACTCGACCTGGGGAGCCGGCCATCTCAACGGCACCAACTTTGTCTTCAGCTTCACGCCTTACTACTTCCTGACCTCCCCGCGCAAGTTCATCTTTACGCACTACCCCGGCGAGGCCCATCAGCAGTTCCTCACCCCGCCCCTGAGCGAGGATCAGTTCCACCAGCTCCCATACACCAAGGCCTGCTTCCACATCAACCGTGTCGATCTCATCAAGCCCCGCGGCGACTCGCGTGCCCTGCACATCATCGAGGTCCACGACGACTGGGTCGAGATCGAGTTTACGATGGATGACGTGCCCGGACCCGACATCCTCACGACGACCTTCCAGTTCCCCTGTCCCCGCGATGCTCGCGGTCGTCTGCAGCTCGTCGGCCCCCGCGTGAACTGCAACGTCCAGGAGCGGGTTATCCCTGGCAACAAGAAGCACATTGTCGTCAAGGCACTGTGCCCCAAGGGCGGCGAGGGCCACCTGACGGTCTTTTGTCTGACTGAAGATATGGTATGTGCTCCGAGCGGCAGCAAGGAAGAGGGGGGGGTAATCGATGTAAGAGTGCAGCGCCTCACCCATGCCTTGCCATTCAACTGTCCAGGTCAAGGCCCAGAAGGCCAGCTCGCTCATGCACGGCAGCGCCGAGGGCGGCCCCATCTTCTCGTTCCTGATCCGCAACACGGGCACCGGCAAGGGCTACGTTCCCCTGGCCACGATCGTGCCCAACCCAGCCAACCCGCCGTTCGCCCTGCGCGAGCCCCTCCACGAGATCCTGAAGGTCGGCACGACCCAAAAGTTTGTCATCACCAACGACGGCGCCGACAAGGCCGACTACAACCTCGCGGTCGTCGCTCCCGGCAACGTCAAGACGGAGCTCCAGTCCAGAAACAGCGAGATGTACTTTGGCGAGGTCACGATCGATAAGCCTGGACAGTACATGCTCGGTGTCATCAAGCGCAACGGCAATGCCTGGCGAGTCGAGGGTCTCTCTGTGTTCAAGGGCGAGTAAGGCTGTTGGCTCGATACGAGCGCTCGAGCCTGCGGTGGCCAGTTGAGGTAGGTCTGCGTATCCTCAATATTGGTCAAAGTACTGTCCTTGCCTGCTCTGGCAACTGCCGCAGCCTGCACATCAACGCATGCACCCCAGCAGCCTGTCGCGCCTGAGGCTTGGAAAGCACCGGTACATTGTCCTGACCTGTTCTCCGTCTGGCCACACACATCCGTCGTCTCAGATACAGATCATATCGCCGGCCGGCACTCCTGCTCGCGGCTGCCTCGCAGTCCACTTCGCTCCTTCTCCTCTCTCCCCCCCTTCTTGGCCACTCTTGCATTTGGCAGGTTCCATCGATCCTCTTGATGTTCCATTCGCTATACACAACCTCCTGTCCTTCCGTTTGTCTACACACGACCTCGTATGTTTGCTCCTTCCATCCCTCCCCCCCCCACTATCCCACCTGTCCTGTCCATCGGCATGGCTTCCTGTAGAGCCGCGATGTGATGGTCCCGGCTGCTTTATAACCTGATCGTTTGAATGTTTCTTGCCTTTGTTTTTTGCCTCACTTTGTCGGTGCTTTCCTTCGCCCCTCTGTCTCCGCCCCACGCCTGTGGCTCTCCACCCTCCCTTTCCATGACTCTGATCGAGCGACTCTGGTTGTGTGGACAAATCTGATCAAGTAGATTCCCATCCGCCTCCCTCCCTCCCTCTCGCTCGCTCGCTCGATTCGACAATATACTTTCTCCCTCCCCCTACTCGCTGAGACGATTTCGCTACAGTAGTGGAGCATCGTGTGCCTTTGTGCGAGATACAGCTCCAGAGTGTGGCTGTGTTCAGCACTCGCCATCGCCATCGCCATCGCCATCGCCGGTTTGACGGCGGGGAGCACACTTCCATCACACCCACAGGAGAGGGCGGCCAGGTGGCAATATGCAAAGCGGGACTCGAATGCGGATGCCATACGACAATGTTTGATTTGGGATGCGAGTGCTGTGTACATGGAGCGATTGTGTGAGTGGTGCGGGGCGATGATGGTGTTGAGAGGGCGTGGACATGAACAACCTTCTGCGAACCACGACGTTCGCTTAAGACATCAAAGACAACGGTCAGTTGATGACCTCGAGTTTCAGACCCTTAAAGTACGTGTACTGGCTGACGGGGGTATCATACGAGTCATCGCTGCCCCCAAAGAAGGTCTCAAAGTCGATCGCCGCGAAGCCCACATTCTCAAACTCGCGCCAGACGACCTGGTCATATGAGATGGCGAGTTTGTCGTTGTAGTACACCTGCACGCCGCCGTCCTGGTTCGGAGTCGAGTCGTCCTGGAAGCTGTTGAGCGAGATCACCTGGCGGACCTTGTTCCACTGGCCCGTTGCAAAGTAGAACGAGCCTCGGCCGATGGAGGCGCCGTAGTCGGAGTTGCAGTAGGTGAAGGGTGGGATGGAGCAGAAGCTGTCGGCTTGGAGAGACTGGTCGACGTAGAGGTAGATCTCGCCTTTGCCTTGGATTCGGAACTGGTGGAAAGCCGGCAGATGGAGCCGTGTGCGGTCACAAACAACAACGAGGTGATGGACTGGAGTCAGTATATGGGTACAAACGGACGGGATGCAGAGTGCCGCACTTGGTAGTGGATACGACCAGGGTATCTGCACAAGCAGGATGTGGTGGCGAGAGGAGACACTTGCCATGAACCGTGTAGAGAAGCATGTCAGTGCATCGTTGCCTCCAGAGCATCCAGATGCCACAACGCTCTGGTCGGAGGCGACGCCAACAAGCCCAGGTAGCTTTCCTCCTTGCACTACCATCAAGCGACAAGCGATGACAGATGAGCACCCAGGCCAAGTGACCGCGATCGATGTCGATGATGTCGTCGAGTGCATGGCGGCTCGTTGGTTGCTGCCTCAATGCTGAACCGAGCACGGCAAGCTGCTTCGACACTGGTCGCAAGCGATTAACTCGTCGTTCTACTTGGTGCGCCCTCAGCACCCGGATCCTCACCAAAGTTGAAGCCCGTGGGAAAGAACACTTGGAACTCAAACGAGACCGTCGTCGCCTGCGACAGGTCCATGGGTTCAAAGTACACCTGGGATATCGTGTCAGAGCAGCACGCCAGGCGAGCATGTCAAATAGGCAAGAGAGATTGTAAGCATAGTGTTTCGATGGAGATGTCTGGAAAATCAAAGCAGAGAGAGACAAGACGTTCGCTAATACCATACCCCAGTGCCGCCGACGGGGTCATGTGCTGGATTCCTTGAGCCTGCGACGTATCTGAGTACGACGAATAGACGGGAATAGTTGAGCAAGAGTTGACCCTGTTGAGTGAGGGACAGAGAAGGCAACCTGGCAGAGCAACCGTGTGTATGGACAAGAATGCCGAGCGATGGAGTGGTGATGGTGGTGGTGGGGGGGGGCGAAGAAGCTGCAATGGATCAACAGCAAGTGCACTCGTACAGGACTCGGAGAACCTGGGCAGTGCCCACAGGGTCTTGAACAATCTGTCGGTTTTGCGAGCCATAGGCATCGCGGACGACATTCATCCCTCGAAAGGCATCGGATGAAACGCCTTGGGAGAAATCAGGGCAGCTCCAGGAGGAATTGCCGGTAGTAGTGCAGCCACTCGAGAGAGGAGTCGGGCTTGGTTTTGGACTTGGCTTGGAACTGGGACTGGGACTGGGACTGGGACTGGGACTTGGCTTGGAACTGGGACTGGGACTGGGACTGGGACTCGATCTGGGACTCGATTTGGGGCTTGGGCTGGGACTCGGACTTGGACTTGGCTTGGGACTGGATTTAGGACTGCGATCGCTCACAGCTCGATTCCGGAAGCCAAGAGTATGCCGTGTGGACCCTGAGCTGTCCTTGGCGACAGCAGCAGAGCGAATTCGAGACTCGGTCCATTCGGATACCAAGCGTCTGCGTGCTCTGGTGGTCGCTCTGCGTCCCTGTCTCCCCGGGACTTGGAATGCATTCTTCATAGCCCGCTGATCTGCCAGACGGAGAACGAGGCACCGCTTGTTGGAGAAAGCCATGTGGTTGCTTGAGAGCGCACTGAGCACCGAGCATCGAGTACCGAGCACCGAGCACCGAGCACCGAACGTTCATCGCCCAGTGCCTGTCCTCGACTTACTCGCTGCCGAGCTGGCCAGCTCTGTTCGAGGTTGCATTCGTTTCTGGAGCGTTTCTGGTGGTGGGGCAGTGAGAGCCTCTGTGACCCTGTCGCTGATTTGCTGCAAGAACCCCAGCAATCCATCGAGGGTACTTCCCAGGCTCGAAGTGGACTCGTCTCGCTTGGCGACGGCGACTGGAATGTCGCCTTTGGATGGCCCCGACGGCAGGGTCAAGTCTTGGGGCAGACACATATGATCCCAGCAGCGACCAGAGCGGCAGTCGGAATGGACTATGCAAGCCATGCCTGCTTCACACAGGGTCGCGCAGTACTGCCCGCACGGATTATCTCCTGGCGGCGATTACGTCGAAACAAGTGCAGCCGTGGTGGTGAGATTGACAACGAACTGAGAGAACCAGGGTGCTGCTGGTGATGCCGCGCGAGTGTGGGAGCGACACTACCTCCATTCAACGATGTGCAGCCAGCTGGGAACACAATCGCTGCTGAGTTCTCAGCCGTATCGGCCAGGGCCATTGACATCAAGGCCAGGAACGACAGGGCTGGATGTATCGGCGATATCGGCTGTCAGAAGACAAGTAAAACAGAAGATTGCGAGAGCGAGTCTTGATGCTCACCACACAAGGAGGGCTTGAGGCTGGCCGACGGTCGCATGGTTGATGAAGGAGGTGATGGATTTCAGTTGGCGATGAGCCGAGAGATGAAGATATGGAGGAACAACCAGGCGATATATACACGGACTCATCGACGAGGACGATTTGTAGTCGGCTGTGGCCACAACAGGGGGGCTGCTCAGACATATCTCTGCGACGGCTGCTGTGGCTCGTTGGAAGGGAGCCATCGCCTTATTGCACATATCTCTGGGCGGCGGATGTCGATCAAGTACCAGGCCGCTGCCAGACCATATGTGCCTGCCACTGGTTGTGTGCAGGAGTCGAGGCTATGATGGCTGATTGTGCCGGGGGGGGGTCTGTCTCCTGGCGGGTGTCGATGCAGTCGATATGTTCGCTTTTGCTCGCTTTTGTTCGCTTTTGTTCGCTGCTCGACACTTGGCCATTGTCGCAGACATTCGCAGACTTTGACCATCTGTTTGGTGTCGTCTGCTTGCTGACAATCTCTCCTGCTGGCCGATGGGCTCACATGCACCAGGATCGGCCTTGCGGCGAGTAACCCAATCAGCAACACATGTTGCGCATCCACCACACACAATCGGCCGCATCTGTCCTGGCCACCCCAACGGTCGCCCTTCCAGAACATGTCAGAACGACCGCTCGCCCCACAATCTATCGCACATTCAGGCATTCGCAGCATGGCCGCAACACGTGGTGGTTGTCGCTCTCGGTATCGGAGGAATTCCACACACATTCATCCTTTCAAAGTGGGTCCGTTTCAAATCCAAGGCTGAAGTGGAGGCAGGTGATTGGGCGAGACGCTCTCTCTCTGCTTCTCTCTCTCCCTCGCTCTCTCGCCCTTCTCGCCCTTGGATTGGACACAAAACCCAACTCACAAAACCCAACACTCGTTCGACCGCATTCCTTGGATCCGCCTCGCCGAACTCAGATCCCATCCAGCCCAAGGGAGTTCTCTCCAGTCCACCGCAGCCGACTCATCCTCGCTAAGTCATCAGGGCACCAAGACACCAAGGCAATGGAATCTGCCAGCGCACGCAAACGGGCCCAGGCCAACGATCCGATCGCACCGATCGCCAACGACCTGGTCTTCTCGCTCAACCAGGAGGCCGACAACCTGGTATGCCTCGTTCCGCCGTCCACGGGTCACTTTGGCAACGGTCCGTTTGCATCCACATGGGATCATCGCCCGGCTAGGATCCCGTCCGTCGGGCTGATATCGGTCTGGTGTGCGTGCGAGGCTGTGACAGCTTCTGACCGGCGTGTTCATGCTCTCCATATCCTTGCAGCTGAACTTTGCCAAGTACTTTGGACTGTGCCAGGCTCCCGAAGAGCCCAAGATCACTGACATCGATGCCCTCGGTAAGAAACCGAGAGCCTGTATTCTGGTGGCGGATAGCTTGGAGTGCCTCCGTCCACAAACCATCACAGCAAGCGATATGGCTGACCCCGAGGACCTCGTTGGCATTCTGTTTTTCTCCAACATCCGGCTTCGATCGACAGGATTCACGCTGCAGTTCATGGACCGCAAAGTGGGGTCTCTCAAAGAAGTGCGGGTTCAGTTCAACAAGCCGTGTGTCCGCCGAGACGACGCCCGATTCCAGATCGCTCTCCTCGCCCAGGAAGCCAAATCTGCACTGGAGATGGTGGGTGCCGGACAAGCGCGCATATCCAACGCACATCTCATGCCGCTGTCGAGACGGTCAAATGTGGACTGGCCGGTGTTCTAATGTGGGTTGCTTCCGTCGAGCCCTTCAGGATCCCGACAAGACCTACGTCCCGCCTGGCCGCAACCCTGAGCCGTATTTCGAGCTGCCCAGTGTCAACGTGGCTGCCCCGCTGCTGACGATCTGGGCGCTGCTGATTATTGGCACCTTTGTGGACCCGTTTCTCCTGCCGGAGCAAGTCTTTTTTATCCACAGTCAGCTCGGCGGCCGCGCCGGCTTCCACTTGATCCTGCGCATCGTGCTGTTCATTCACGCGTGCGAGTCTGTGGTTGCGATTGGATACTGCCTCTGGGGCGGAGTGCCTCTGGTCTCGACCATCAAGTGGGCACTCTCGATCTTGGTCTTTGGCATGGGCAGTCTGCGGCTGCTCGTCCGGATGGTGGTTCGGATGGTCAAGACCGAGTGGAGCCCGCTCTCATTCCTGAACAAGCATCACGGCAACGTCGAAGTGGACACCTCGGCTGTCGGTACCGGCGAGGGCCAAGGCCAAGGCGAAGATGAGGACAAGGCCGAGGAGGACTTCAAGATCTTTGCCGACGGAGGGATTCTAGATCTGTCGGGCCACTACGAGAAGGTCTTTGGAAAGCGCAAGCAGGAGTGAACCCATATAGATGACAGTGCAGGGCAACGCTGCCAAATGAGATTGCTCGGGAAGGTCTCTGGCGCCTTTCATTGAGAACCTGAATATACACACCAGCCTTTGGGCAAGGGGCGAATGGCATATCCCATCCATGGATGCTCAGTGACTTGATGTGGGGCTTATCTGTGGCGCTCTCTCCTCGTCGGGTCTCGCCTGTCCCTCTCTTCTCTGTCACCTCTGTCTCGTTCGGTCGATTCACCCAACTTGCTCGATTCACCCAACTTGCTCGATTCCCACGAATGCCAGCGACGCCAGCGATGCTAGTGATGCCAGTGATGCCAGCGACGCCAGCGATGCCAGCGATGCTGGATCTGTGAGTTTGAGCAGATGGATCCGATGCATTCCATCGATCAGCTCATCCTGGGAGCTCTCCACCTGCACCAGAGCAGTTTTCCATGTTTGACATCGGTCAGATCGGCGTCAAGCGTTCGGCTTTGGTCCTTGCCGGGCCTCCACCATGGCCATTCGACCTCCACACCCTGCAAGCTTGATGTCCAAACATCCTCCCAACACTTCCCACGCACCAGTATCAAGCAAATGCCACCGACAGCAGTCATATATCAAAAGCGGATGCGTATATTCATTTCCGAGTCGCATTCGCAAGTTGATGCAAAACGGTGAGGGAGGACATGAAAGAAGGGACTGAACAAGAACAACAGCAAACAACTATGGACAAGCTGCAAAAGATCGCATGCGCAAATAATAATAATAATAATAATAATCATAATCATAATCATAATCACAATCATGGTCATAATAAAATCGCGGGGCTAACAGACAAGACTCGGCTGATCGCCATCGCCGAGCCAGGATCAATGGTCATAAGAACAGAGGCAATGGACACGAAATATCAAGAACATTACAAACAGGTAGCGTCGGTGAAGGTAGGCTGGAATGTGCGGGAATGTCGGGCGGGTAGATCAGCATGCCCTGCCCCCTCACGGAACGAAGGAAATGGCGGTACATCGTGGGGGGGGGTGCTCTCAAACAAGGCGCATCTGAGACCCATGGAATAGCTCGAGATTCTCCCAGCCGGGTCACATCGAGACCGGCGAGAGAAGCCAAGCAGATCCGCCCGGGAAAAGAAGAGAAACGCAAGCGGGTTGGTTCCCAGCCAAGAACCGAGCAACGAGGATCGACATGCTTGTCGCAGTATCGGGGGAAGGAAAGCGGAATGAAGGGAATGGAATGGAATGGAAGGGGAGTGAAGGGCATCGGGAGCCATTGGCATGCACAACAGGCAGAGAGTGACCGTGACCGATCAGTCCAGCAGCACGTTCTCGAGGAACGACTGCTTCAGGGTCCTGAAGGCCACCAGGTTCTCGGGCGGAAGCTCGAGCTCGTTCTGGGCAAGGAACTTGATGGCGGTCTGGACACGGATGCACTCGAGCTTCTTCTCCTGGATTTCGTTCTGGCGAGCGAGCGAGTCCGAGATGCGCTCAAGGATGGCCAGGCGCTGGTTCAGGGTGTGGATCGGGAAGAGGGCGGGATCGTTGGAGGGCCGGGCGTTCTTGAGGAGCAGAGCAGCCTTGCCCTTCTCGGACAGGCGCTTGTCGGATCGCTTCATGCGCTTGGCGCCGGGGGTGTTTGGAGGAGCGTTGGGGTCGTTGGGGTCGCTGCGGGCCCGCTTCTTTTCGATCTCGGCCAGCTCTTCTTCGATGTGATCGGCCTGGAACTCATCGAGCTCGCCCAGGACCTCGATGCAGTTTTCGTGCATGAAGGGCGGGTTGCCGTAGGTCTGCAGATAGAGCTGCTTGACGGTCTCCATCACTTGTTCGGGCGACTCGGTCATGGGATGGTGCTGGTCGTATTGGTGGTGCAGCTTGAGGAAGCGCAGGACATCGGTCTTGATGGAAAGGAACTTGATACGCAGGGCATCGGGGGTGCGGAGCGAGTTGGGATAGGACTCTTCGTACTTGCGGTGGACGGAGGCCCAGAAGTTCTTTGGGACGGTCGGGGCCTGCTTGGTGTCTGCGTAGGCAAAGGCGAGCTGCAGGCACTGCTCGTCGTTCCAGGGATGGCTGCGAGCAGGCTTGGTTGGGGTGGCCGAGGCGGCCAGGTCCTTTTGGACGACGACGACGGGGGTGGTCATGGCGAGAGGAGCGAGGGGGAGCGAGAGGGGCGACGAGAAAGACAGGGAGATGGAGGGCCAACGAAAGAGAGGCAAAAGTGGGCGAGGGCAAAAGAGCAAAAGGGCGAGGGCGAGGTGGGGGGGGGCGGCGAGTGGGACGAGCGGGAAGGCGGTGTGTGTGTGTGTGCTGCAGGCGTTCCGTGCGCTCGTGCGTGTTCTGTGCCGAGCGCTGCGCTGCGCAGCGATGGAGTGCTGCGCGTCGTTGGCTGCGCGTCGTTGGCTGCGCGTCGTTGGTCTGTGGTTGTTGGTCCCACGGCCGAGTCGAATCCGCCTCCCGCCCAGCACATTCCCTCGAGCCGGCTCGAGTGAGCGCTCTGTGCCATTATGTGGCTGGAACACGCGTGCGCGGATTGGCGCGGCCGGAAATGGAGTGTCGTGCGACACAGCGCCTCCTGTGTGCGACATGCATCGCAGCAGCTTCTGTGGACGTACAAGCTGCAGCGGCAGCAACGCGCCAGGCGCGACGCGCACAAGGCCTTGCGTCTGCTGTCCAAGTGTGCTGTGTAAGTGTGCACGACCGCGCTGTTCAGGACCGCACTGTGTCCCTTATTAGCGCAGCTTTTTCGGTCGCTCGCCAAACTGCCCCCACAATCCCTCTCAAATCCAAAGGCCAAGCCGGCGTGCCTTTCCAGACTCGCTCTTTCGACTCTGACCGTTGGCGCCGAACTAATCTGCTTCTGAATCCCCGAGCCACTCTCCGAGCCACTCCCCGAACCACTCCCCCGAGCCACTCCCCCCGAGCCTGCTGCAGCCCACTTGTTCTTGAGCCACTGCTCCTCCCCGAGGCATCTCGTGAGGTACAGCCCTGGACGGTCGTCGTTTGCTCGTGGTATCATTTGTCAGATTGCGATAACATTCATCACATCTCCGGATGAATAGCATCTATTGAGTTGTCATTCACCATTGCATCGAGATATCGACTTGCTGCGCTGTCTCCCCGTCGCTCCTGGCTGCTCTGTCCCGTCCCTGATTCCTTTCCCCTTTCTTCCTCGGTCCGCCGCGCACTCACCTCCATCCGCCTGTCCCCCTCCTTCTCCGCATCTCTACTCCTTCCTCTGTGTGGTTGACTTTGACTTTATCCACTCGCAACTTTATTAGCATTTTCCCCCTTTTTTATATCATTCGATTGGATTTCGCTTATTATTTTGATTTGCTTCTTGATTTGCTTCTTGGTTTGCTCCTTGATTTGTTTTAACGATCCGTCGACTCTTTCCCCATCCCGTTCCTCAGAGTCCTCCCATCGTCTTCACCGACCTCTCGTCGTTGAACCCGCTTGCCCTCCCCAGGCTCGCCAACCGTCCCCCCGCAACTCCTCTCGAGCCATAAGCCATCGTGGGATCCTCGTCGTCGCGCCAGCAAATGTTCCCCCGGAATTCGTCTCGGCCGGTGACCGCCCGCCCGGCCCGCTCCGACTCGCAGCCGCCCGTCGCCCGCTCAAAGGTTGTCTCCAACCGCACCCGCAATGCCTCGCCCACCACCGTCCGCACCACTCGGGTGGCCACTCGCCGCGATGATCTCCCTGCTCCTGTCCCGCTGAAGCGCACTCCTTCCACCAAGAGCGCCCCCAGCGTCCTTCGCACCAACGTTATCTCGCCCACCTCGTCGCTCATGTCCAGCTCGCCCAAGCCTTCCACGCCGCCCAAGCGTCCTTCGCCCTCGCTGCCCAGAGCCGCCTCTCCTCACAATCACCTTATCGGCCGTGGCGAGGTCGTCGTCGTCACCTCCAGGCGCACCTTCACCATCAAGTGCCTGCGCGATGCCACTGTCGCCTGGACCTTCCAGTCCGCCAACTTGCTGCTGCCTCCCGCCGAGCGCCATCCGCTCATTGCCGTCAAGCCCGACGGCACCTTTGCCTCCGACGAGGACAAGATCTTCCAGGTCTGCAACGACAACAAGGTCGTCTTTGCCATCACCCACAGCGAAAAGGCCAGCAACCCCTTCCGCTTCCAGTGGAAGAACGCCGAAGTCACCGACGACATCCCCTCTGTCCCACCCGAGGATCTGGTGGCCCCTCGTCCCCTCTCTGTCCTCGAGGACTCTGGAAAGCAGCGTCGCCGGCGCACCGTCGTCAGCCAGAGCAAGGCCGGAGACGTCCTCATGACCCAGGGCGGTGATGATCTCGACGACGACTCGTCTGCTCCTCCCCCTCCTTCCATCACTGCGACCCCGCTCTCGTCTTCTCCCCCCACCGAACGTGTCTCGAGGATCCCTCGTCCCACTCTTCCCCAGCGCACTGCCGCCTCCAAGCTGTCGGAAGACATCACCAGCGAGCTGAGTTCGCCTCGAACGACCGAGCCGCCTGCCTCGGCGCTCTCATCGCGCCGCTCAGACTCAGAGACCCTCGACAGCTCGCGCAAGAAGCTCTCCGGCAGCTTCTCAGGTAGGCGTCTGGACAGCCTCGGATGAGTGCGAGACGCGGACGAGGGGGCGGTCGGTGTGGCTGGGCTCTGGCTGGGCTCTGGCTGTGCTCTGCTGGGGGAGGGTATCTTGCGGATCTTGCGGATCTGCGTTGCGAGTCGATGCCATACACCCCTGTCGTCGTTGCCCTGTAGCTGGCCTTGGCCTGTGGATTCACCACCCTGATCCATGGACCCACCGCCCTGATCCATGGACTTACCGCCCTGATCCATGGGCTTACCACCCTGATCCATCTTTTCGCTGCTCTGATTCATCGCCGGTTCCCTGGATTCCCGCTTGACCTCTCGGCCCGTCGCCGATCGACAGATGACGCCTCCGTCACGTCCATTGCTTCATCAGATGATCGGCGCTCGTCAAGAGCATCGGCGCTCGATATGGTCATGAGTATGGGTATGTTGGTTCGGCCTCTCGGCGTCTCCGTCGCCGCCTCGGGGCATTGTTGTGCCTGACCCACGGCCGTTCCCAGGCAGTGGTACCAGGGCACGACGCTTCTCCTGCACTGCGTCCCCACAGCCGCCTCTCGTCCTGCCCTGCGCTGCCGACATCCATATCCACCTCTATCTCTCTCTCTATCCGTACCGTATCGACGTCTCTATCTCCATATGTCTATCTACTTCTGTCTACGTATCCATCTATCTACCTCTATCTATCTACCTCTATCTACATCTATCTACATCTTCCTCTACCTCTCTACGCCTCCGCCCCTTCCCTCCCCTCCTCCATCCTCTAACTGCCGTGACCGTCTGCCGTCATCTGCTCTGCTCGACTCACCTCGCGGGCCCTATGAATCGCACTGCCGTGCCCCTGCGCTGTTCTCTCGTCCTGTTTGCATTCCAGTATTCAGTGTTTTCTTTACCGTTCTCGCTACAGCTTCGGAACTCAAGTCGGAAGCCCCGGCATCGTCATTTAAACCTAATCGTATGTCGCGCATCTCGGCCTTCGATATCATGGCTCTCAGTACGTTGTTTCCTCTAGCCCCTTGTAGCTGCAAATCTCCCCCCCCCATCTCCCCGACTCGGTAGTACCTCCTCTTGTCTGTGCCTTTGACCCTGTTTGCGGCTGTATCTGTCACTAACCGAACACACATGCCGACCGATGCCAAACGCTCATCGCATGCGCCATCGCCTCACCCTGCCGCTATTTCAATCCATCTGCCTGTGTTTCTGAATCGCTCTGCGCAGAGCTGGGCGACGATATCAAGAAGTCCCCGTCAGAGCTCCCGTCGCCGGAGCAGACCACGCGCATCTCGCGCGCCTCGGCCATCCACATCCTCTCCACCATGGGTACGGATCGTCTATCGCATCGGCACTGTTCTTCTTCTTACCTGTCCATCTCAGCCTTCACCGGCAGTCTGCTCTGCTCAGTGGATTGAGCCATGAGTCGCAAATCCCTTCTCGGACAACCCATCGCGGCAGCGACGATCGCTGACCCACACTCTGACTCGATATCGTTTTTATGCTGTATCAGACGAGCCCCAGGATGCCCCTCCCGTCATTCGATCCAACCGAATGTCGAGAGTGTCTGCCAACGATATTTTCTCGGACCTCTGTAAGCATCGCATCGTATCGCATCGCATCTTATCGCATCTCATCACAATGAACTGCATCGTACCGCCCTGGATCGTGTCGTGCTGGATTGCATTGCGGCACGCCGGGTCGAGCGATGTTGTAATTGGCCTGTGGTTCATACACCGGCAATCGAGTCGCCGTCATGCCGGGTACTGATCCGTTTTCCCGCACATGAACGTTTTCTCGCAGCTGGTGGATCGCGAAGAAAGTCTGCCATCGAGGCCCTGACACTCATTGGCGAGGCTGCCCGCGCCATGCAGGGTAATGATGACGCCGCTACCCGTTCTCGACCAGCTGGTCTGCTTTGTCCATCACACGCGTGGCTCTGTCCATCACGCACCTCCCCTAATCGTCTCTCCCGGGATTTCACAGACGATGCTGACGACGATGATGACGATGACGACGGTGCCGCTACAGACATCATTGCGTCGGTGAAAGCAAAGGCACAGCCGATTATCCTCAGTGCTGCTGCTGCCGTCGCTGCTGCTGACCATGCTAAGCCCACCCCTGTGGTCGTGGAAGCCGAACCAGAAGAAGCGAGTATGTATTTTTTTTTGGCTGAGGGACAGCTGAAATTGCTGCGTCTCGGTCCGGCTGCTAACCCGCCGCGGCGAATGCCCATGTCTCCGATTCCAGTTCGTCCTTCCGACGAGCCCGTTATTGTCAAGCCTGTTGCGGTCAAGCCCGCAGTCACCGAGCCTGTTGTTGTCGAGGCTGCTGCAACGCCAACCCCCGAGGTCGTCCTGGCCACCCATGTGTCGTCATCATCGAGCATGCTCAAAGTTGGTGGGTATCGTGCGACCCTTGCTGTCGCGACGTTTCCCTCGTCGATTCGCCTGTTTGTCCCTGTTCCATTTCGCTGACTGTGCCATCCATTTCAGGCGATGTCGATGTCCCCGTCGCATGGCTCAATCAAGGCCCGATTCCTGGCTGGATGGAAGACCTGATACCGGAGCAAGCCAAGGCCGCCGCGCCCGCTCCTGTGCCTGTAGCGGCTCCTCAAATTGCCCCCGCTGGACCGCCGCCGCCGCCTCCACCTCCCCCGGTCATGCAGTTCCCTTCGTCGGCGCCCCCGCCGCCACCGCCGCCACCCCCTGTTATGCAGTTCACTTCATCGGCACCTCCTCCTCCTCCTCCTCCTCCGCCTCCGCCAATGATGTTCTCAGGTGAGGCTCAGTTGATGTTATGCGCCAATTCCAGTGTGTCTGGAACTACATGTTTGGGGCCCTGACTGATCTGATGCATGAACCGATACTAGGATCAGTACCGCCTCCCCCGCCTCCGCCGCCACCACCGCCGCCGATGGCAGGTAAAGACCAAGTCCCATTCATGGCGCGTGCGACATGCGATCGTGATTGCGCACAGCAGTGATTTTGTGTGGCCATGCTGCGTTCGCCGTGTCGTTTGATCGCTCGACTGCCTTTCGTGCTGACGATGCATCGTACTTGACGTTTGAGCAGCCACAGGATCGATTCCTCCTCCGCCACCGCCCCCTCCTCCCATGATGGGTGAGTTTCGGAGTGCTGTTTATTCAGTCTTATAGCGTCGCATGGGGCATGGAGCATGGGGCTGTGGCGACATACTTTTATCGATCGTGCAGACGCATTGCCCTTGCTGGCTTTCCGCATGTTGGCCTGTGTTGCGATTCATTGCGAGTATGGGTCTAATCGCTGTGGTTTTCTGTCTCATCTAGGCGGCCCGCCTCCTCCCCCTCCGCCTCCCCCACCTCCAATGATGGGTGGTAAGTGCACCTGGATTGGTTCACGGTTGCTAGACGACTCTCGTCCCTCCCCGTAACACTCTTTCGTCCCCCCATAGGTGCTGGAGGTCCGCCGCCACCGCCGCCGCCGCCGCCTCCTCCGATGATGGGTGGTAAGTACCGGACTGTTGATTGGCAAGTCTGTGACTGTGACAAGACCGCATGTTCTCATTTGGCGCCTCGAACGATTCCAGGTCCTGGTGGTCCGCCGCCGCCGCCACCACCTCCTCCGCCGATGAGTAAGTTGTCGTGCCATTCATCCTCCCGCCGCATCGCACGACCGAGGCGAGTACTAACCCCACGATCCGACCGTGCGTTGATGTCGATCAGTTCCTGGCGGTCCTCCACCTCCGCCCCCGCCTCCACCAGGTAAGATGCCGCCCTTGGTTGATATGCATTTCACGAAATGAAGAGTTGCTTGACAGCGCGTCAGACATACGTTCTACTTGTGTGCACTCTGGTACTCACCTTGCGCCTCTTGCTCACTCTGCGCCTCTGCATCATCAGGATTCGGTCCTCCGCCTCCCCCGCCGCCTCCAGGAGGTGAGTGTCATGCAGCCGAGTGTCGGCGAAAGGGACGGTGTGCTTTGGCTTTTATCACAGTCGGTTCTGCACTGCTGGTAGAGCGATCGCTGATCCCACAATCTCGTGGATGTCCCCAGGCCCGCCACCACCACCTCCTCCTCCAGGCTTTGCAGGGGCGCCTGCAGCCCCCGCACCTGCACCGCCAAAGCCCTCGGGTGATCCCATGGAGGAGCTCCGTCGCGCCATCCAGGGCGGCGTCAAGCTGAAAAAGACCAAGGTTGCGGAGCGGCCCAAGTTCAACGAGCCCAGCGCCACCGAGAAGGCTGCCCAGATCGCTTCCCAGCGCCAGGAGTGCTTTATTGAGCTGCTGGGGTATATGGAGGCGCCAAACGGCAACGTGGAGGAGCTTGGTGAGAAGTGCAAGAGCTCAACCAACACCGCCCGTGGCTTTGTCTTTACCCTTGTGCGCAAGGGCTGGGTCAAGGCTGTGCGCATCGTCGACGACAAGAAGAAGGCCGGCCCCAAGGTCTCGGTCTGGCCCGGACGCGAGTGGACCAGCAGCATCGAGCTCGAGGACGCCGTCGAGGACGACATCCGCGACATTGGCGAGGGCGGCCTCGTTGCGCGGGTGCACATGTACCGCTTCGACGACAAGGTGCGCAAGCACGTTCTGGACGAGCTCGCCCTGACCAAGACCCGCAAGTTCCCCAAGCCGCTGGCGCCGTTCATCGAGCCCGAGCCGCCGCAGGACAACAGTCTCGAAAACCGCAAGAAGTGGGAGGCCTGGAACATCCGCAAGCTCGAGCACCAGCAGTCGGACTACTCGCAGTTCGAGCTCATCTTCCAGAAGCTGCTGGTCACCGACATGATCATCAGCGGCACCTTCAACCAGCTGGAGCAGACCCTGATTGAAATGAAGCAGATGGCCGATGCCCTGACCAGCACCTTTGAGGGCTTCTCGGTCGCCAAGATCCGCAAGATTGTGGACTCGATTCCCTATCGCATCGCCGAGGTCGCCCGCAGCATCCAGAAGCAGAGCGGCATCATCATCCGCGACGAGAACCTGAAGCTGACGCCGGAATTCCTGAAGCAGATGAACCTGGTGCCGGACGAGGTCAAGCAGCCGGCCGATGCCAATGCTAATGCCAATGCCAACGCCAATGCTGCCCCAAGGACCACGCCGGCCCAACCCGCGGCAGCACCAGCTTCGGCTCCTATTCCTGTTCCTGCTCCTGCTCCTGCTCCTGCCCCTGTCCCTGCCCCTGTCCCTGTCCCTGTCTCTGCTCCCGTGCCCGTGCCGGCGCCCGCTCCAGTCGAAACCAAAGATGCCGCACCCAAAGAACCTGCCACCAAGGCCACACCCGCCGCCGAGTCCGCCGCCAAGGAGGACGGCGAGACAGAGAAGCCAGCCAATGCGCTCTCCGTCAAGCTGGACCCGCAGTTCAAAGCCGACCTGAACCCGAGCGGCAGCATCACGATGGCCGGGGTGCCTCTCGACGTCCTGCTGCCGCTCCTGAAGAAGTCCTATGGACTCGGTCCGCAGGACAAGTCGATGCGGCGCCTGACGATGTAAAATTTTTTTTTTTTTTAGCTAACAACAAACCAGAAGAAAAACAAAAAGCAAAAGAAACAGCAGCAGCATCAGCAGCAGTAGCAGCAGTATCAGCAGCAGCAGCAGCAAATGAACCCTGTTGCTGGGGCTGACGTAATCATAGGAATAGGCCCGGAAGCGCCCATCGTCGTCGGTGTCATTGTCGTCGTCGTCGTAGTAGTAGTAGTTGTTGTTGTAGTTGTTGTTGTCATCATCGTCGTCGCTGTAAGCTGTAGCAGGTGGTGATAGCGGGGACTTGAAGTCACACTCTAGGCGTTGTAGTTGCATCGTTGTAGCTGTACAAGAAATGAAAGCAGCAATAGCAAATACAGTGCATCCGAAACGAAACGAAACGAAACGGAACGAAACGAAACGAAAACAGCAGAGCGGGACACCCTGTCCTCGAATACACATGCATCATGGATGATGTTACGGCTGGGACAACGACTGAGAATGTCTCGTGGAGGAAAGGGAGAGGGGGGGATATGCATCAAGTCCAAGCAGACCCTGTTCACTCAGTAGTTCGTTCATCATCAGAGACGCTCAAGGTCCAGAACTATTATTGATTGGGATGACATACAGCCGAGCACTGACATCCCTGACCGGATTGGCCCCGCAGACCCTGCTTCTGCCGGCTGCTGCATCTGCCCATCTTCCCAGTATTTGCTGTGGGTGAGGGCGTTCTTTTGCTCCTTGGGTATCTCAGCCCTTCCGCACCTAAACTTCGCCTGCCTCATTTTCTCCGTTTGCTCTCCGATATCGGGGGCTCTGCAACTTGTTTCGCTCAATTCAGCCATACCGGCCGAGACGAGCCTGATCGAGAGTTTGGACTGCCCCCTCCCCCTTGCTCCCAGCATCGCCGTGGACATTCAGATAGTCTCCTTCCGCGATGGACGACTCGAGCCTCAAGTTCATCAAGATTGTCGCCAAGGGCTCCAACGCCGCAGTTCCCACCATCCCGGCCTTCTCCAGGACCGTCAAGTTATACACCGCCTATGTTTCGTCCGACGTCGATAGTGAGCGTCGTTTCGCTGCTCTTTGTTGCTACTCTTTGCTGCTGCTGGGAATCAACCGAGGGTATCCAGAAGGCTACCTCGGCATCACTCCAGCCGCTCTCTTGGCTCGCCCCCCCCCCTGACATCATTGGCCTCCTCTCGTCCGTCCGTACATGCCCCCCGCACTCTTGACCACCAGGCCTGGTCATTCAAGCGCCCCCGAACGAGGCAGACGGATTCAGCCAAGTTCTCAAACTAGGTTCCGATGGAGGTCAGGCAACAAATCCTCCGTCTCGGCACACCATCGCCGCTGCTATTATCATGTCCGCACACACGTCTCCATGAACACTCACCCGACACTCTTTGCAAACACTCGCCCCACACGCCGCATGCCGCATGTCGCATGCTCAGCCGTCAAGATCCAGGAGGGGCAAAACACTGTCGAGATCAAAGTCGACGCGGTCGATGGCAGCTCCAGCATTTACTCGATCAGTGTGCATCGTCCGAGCGGTGGGTGATCCCCGACATGCGCCTCATGAAAGCAGAGCAGAGCAGAGCCTAGCCGAATGCTCATATCGACACGAGGCAGCGGTGTCTGTTGGTGGCTGATTCCAGTATCGGTGATATTCGAGCACTTTGGAAAGCCTCCCTGCGAATCGGTTCACATCCGCATCCGCATCCGTGCGTATTCTCTGCGCCGCACCTCTACTCTTCATCATCCACAGTAGCCACATTAGTGATGCTGATATCTCCCTCCCGCATCCCTCGTTGTGCTCCTCGCCTGGGCCGACTCGATCTCAGCGGCGGATGCCACTCTCAAGGCCCTGGAGTTTCCTGTCGGCATTCTCTTGCCAGACTTTCATCCCAAGGAGCTCAACTACGTGCTCCATGTTTCGTCGACCGTCGACAAGGTCGCCATCACCCCGGTGCCGATGAACGCCAAAGCCAAGCTGGAGCGGCTGCAGTTTGCAAAGACCGAGCCGACGCCGCTCCTGCTTGGCGACACCACCTGTGAATTCAAGGTGACGTCGATGGACGGAAAGCACTCGTTGCTGTACAGGGTGATTGTTCGACGAGGTGAGACCCATCCGACAGAACAGAGGCGAGACGCAATGCGACAGAACAGAGAGCAGTGCTGTGTCGCCGAGTGGTCGCATATCTCGATGGGGCTTGCACTCTGATCACTCTCGCGGGTTCATGGCCGGCCAGACAAGCCCGGGTCTCGCATGAAGATCATGTCGGACACCAAGGACTATCCTCTCTGCAGCCTCTGCAGCAACCTGGTCTTCCGTCCGCGGATTTACAAGGTCCTCCAGGACATCAAGCCCGGACCCTGCCGCCACGAGTACTGCGGGAGGTGTCTGAACCTGTTTGCTCTGCGGTACACCGAGCCCAGCGCCCAAGCCGGCAAGGATCCCGCCACGATAGTCAGCTGCCCGCTCTGCAACATATCGAGCGAGGTCCGCAAGACATGGAGCAACGATCCGCTTTGGGAAAGCAATCATGACATGGAAGTCGAGTTTGGCGGCTGGATGGCCAAGTGTCTCTTTGCGCCGTTTGGATGTCCGCGCCAGGACGTCAAGTGCATCGACATGGCCGCACACTTGTCCAAGGACTGCAAGCACATCCCCGTCGGATGCTCCGAGTGCCAGCGACTCTTCAACTCGCCCGACCAGATAGCAGGGGGCAAGCACAAGGACCCCTGCATCCACACCTGCGCCTGCGGGCGAAAGGTCTATGCGCAAGAGGAGGGCTTCCACGCCAAGATGTGCCCCGAGAAGCGCAGCGAAAAGTCAGCCTCTGAGAAGCCCCCGCAGCGCGAGTGGGAAAAGGTCCTCGTGGACAAGAAAAAGTACCCGGGCGACGCCGAGAAGCTTGTCGGCCAGGCCAGCGGCAAATGGAGCCACTACCTGGCATCGCTCGGCACGGCGCAAAAGGCATACTGGGAGTCCTTTGGCGCCAGCGAGCACATGCCTGCAGCCGAGGCCCTCTCTGAACTGGCTGGGCTCTATGCGACCGCCATCGCCTCTAACCTTGAGTCTGTCTCGGTTCGCGGCGGCAAACCCGACGAGAACCTGTGCATCCAGCTCGGCAAGGCCCTTGAGGAGAAGGGGATATGCACGGACCTGTTTCCGCCCCACCAGAAGAGCAAGGCGGCACAGGGAAGCAACAGCTCCACGACGCCTTCCGACGACTTCATGGGCGACGAGGTCAACGGGTGTCTTGCCCAGCTGAATGTCGATTCGGGTGCGAGCGATGTGGTCAAACTCCGGGCGCTGGAGGCAGAGTACCAGCGACTCCTTGGGCTTGGACTCTCGGACCAGGTAAACAATGCCCGGGGAAACGCTACGGCAGCGGGATCCAGGGTGTGCAGAGTTTGCCGCTCGCTGACAGTTTCGTGCTCGTCTCAAAAACCAAAGGCACAAGAAGTGCAGGGGCTCTATGCATGGAAGCTCAAGCAGGTCATTTCGACTGGCGGCCAAATCGACGACCAGGGCAAAGCAGGATCGTTGTCGGGCAGCACCGTCCATGCAATGGAAAAGTACCAAGATGCCACCCGCATCAATCCCGAGAACCCAGATGCTGCGTGAGTGTGCTCGACCGTCAGCAGCACGCCAACTGACCGAGATCCAACTTGGTCGTTATTGGGGCGGTGGCTGATGTTTGCAGTTGCTCCGGATACAGCAAGATGAGGTCTACACGGCGGCACTGTGATTGCCGCGGCTGCATAGCTTGCAAAGGGCACCCTACATCGCCGAATGCTGCCCCGCTTCTCATTACCGGCTTTCATTCGTTGTGACCATGGCCGACCCAGTCTGCACTACGGTCGACTCCTGCTCCAGTCCGAGCGCATACCCGAGGCCATCAAGTATCTGCGGACATCCCTGTCGTTCAAGCCAACAAACAGACCCGTGCGAATGTATTTGGTGAGTCCGGGGCTCTCACCTGCGGCACTCCCAGGCGAGCGACATATTTCCGTCGGTGAGCCAAACATCGCTGACACACTCTCCCCCAGGGACTCGCGCTGATAAAGTGCGACGGCTCTGGACCAGAGGAGATTTCCGAAGCATTGGTGTATCTGAAGGAGGCCCTCTCGGATTTTTACTCGTCAGTGTCGTTGAATGGGCTCCAGCCCGCCTCAGGCCAAAACGGCGAGCTCCTCATCGACACTCACAGTCGGCCCACTTGCCCCGCCTTCCTGGGCGTCGCCAACGCCCTTGCGCGTGGGTACATGGTTCAGAGTCGCCTGGATGCCGCCGAAGAAACGCTGAGCGATCTGCTGGACCTGCTGCCGGATGTGATGGTGAGGACCAACCGGAGGAGCAAGGCGTTTTCGGCCATGGGTGAGGCCATGTGCACGGCGCTCAAGAACCTGCTCGAGGTGCTCTACTGCCAGAGCAGTCAAGTCCAAGCCAAGAAGCGCTTCGACAGCATCAAGCTCTCGCTGCTACACATCCAGCGCCTTGTTTCGGCGGCCGAGGTTGAGCAGCAAGTCTCGTTTATCGAGGCGTCCGAGCAAGTCGCCCAGGCCCTGGTGATCCTGGACCCGAGCCAAAATGAGTTCTTGGCTGCCTTTGGCGACACGCAGCTTTCGCAGTTTGACTACAATCCCAAATACGAAAAGAGCCCGGCGCGGCTGCTCTGGGCCGAGGAGGCCTTTGCTGCCTCGATTGCATGCGAGCGGCCGGGATCCAAGGAGGCCTCGGATGCACTCGCCAAGGTCTACGTGCACGAATGGTATGTGTCCGAGAAGAGCAAGATTGAGCAGATCAAGAGCCAGTTCGAAAAGCCCCCCGCGCCGGCCGGGAAGCCCAGTCCAGCCGAAAAGCCAAAGGCAGGTGGCCCGCCGGCCAAGGCAGCGCCAGGTACCAAGCCGCCAGTCGCCAAAGGGCCGGGAGCAGGAGGAGCGGGAGCAAAGGCTCCAGCAGGAGCAGCACCCAAAACACAGGGCGCTGCACCCAGCAGCGGGCCAAAGGCAGCAGCCAAGGCACAGCCCGGAGCCGACAACATTCCGCAGGCGCAGAAGAATATGATAGTCAAGACGGCCGAGAAGGTTGACAAGGCCGAGCCAGCGAAGAAAGCTGCACCAGGTACGGTTGGATTCTGCTGGCTGATGTACTTGAACGTGCCCCGCATCGCACCATCGTGACTCTGTATTTGTTCTCATACCCTGACATACTCGTGTCTCTGACTTGATGGGGTTGCCGATTTGGAATCCGCAGGGCCTGCAGGAAAGGCAGCGCCAGCACCTCCAGCAGCTCAGACCAAGAAGCCAGCAGCTGCCAACGCCGCGAGTGGAGCCAAACCAGCAGGGGCAAAGCCCATGAAGAAAGATGCATCTGGTGCTGAGCCCGCGGCGCCGCCTGCAGCGACCGAGTCCAAGGCGACGACATCGGATCCATCGCCTGCGCCAGTCGAGGCTGCTGCAACCACACCGACACCCGAGGCTGTCCTGCCTCCACAGTTCAAGCCGCGGATCGGGGTCGCCCGAGTACTCTCCCGCAAAATCGGACTCACGACGGGCGACAAGACCCAGCTGGTGCTGGATGCCAAGAAGTGGTACCTCGAGGCCATCGGGCTGAACAAATCCTTCCACGACTCGTACATCGAGCTCGGGGCGCTTGTTGAGAAGCATGGCACCCTGGAGGAGGCTGCAGATGTGTACGCCTCGTTCCCGTTTCCGCCCCTGGACTCACAGAACCCCAGCCAGGACGACCTGTTTCTGCACGGCGAAGTGACCAGGTTCGTGTGCCAAGCGTCGGCGAGACTCGGTGGAGACTTGGTGGAGACCCCTGCGTTTGGATGCTTGGCGGTTGTTGTGCCGCTACTCACTATCGACTCGCGCGCTGCCCTCCTCGTCTCTGTATGCTGCCAGAACATTCATGAAGTGCAAGCGATTCAAGGACGAGCGCCTGGTGCGAAGTCTGATCGCCGAGGGACGAGCGTCCAGCATCGCTGTCATTTCCAAGTACGTCGAGATACTCGACCAAGCCTCGGAGACTCAGACGCTCAAGCAGGTCTTTGCCGGTGTCAACCGCAAGCCCATCGACCACCCGGACATGGTGGCATTCTTCAAGATGAAATACTGGGCATAGTTCACACGCGCCTGTGGTGTCGCCAGCGGTGCGTGCTGATGAATCAAGACATGTATTTGGTACCATTTCGAAGGCAGGAAGTAATACAGGAGTGTGGTTGTGGTTCAACGATTAGCAGCCAGAGGTCTTGTAGTGTGGGGAGGGGTGAGAGGCGTGAGGAGCGGCTGGGGCCAAGGCAGAGTGATGAAGGCGAGACGAACGCTCATAAGCCGAGAGCGTTCAACCGGGAGATATGTGGGGACATCCACAATCTGGAGACAGATCTAGATCGACTCGGGCAGGGCTCCGTTGTTGGTTTCCTTGAGCTTGCCAAACTTGCGGAGCAAGACTTTCATCCAGGGAGGGAGCATATCGGAGCTGTTTTCGGTGCCCCACATCTCCTTCATATCCTTGTCGGTGGGCTTGATGCGACCGCCGGAGACCAACTCGACCAAGTAGATGGTGCCGTGGATGGCAATGTACGCGCCGATACCGGCGATCAGGCCGTAGGCAATCGAGTAGGTCAGGGGCATCAGAGCCATGGTAAGGAAGGCAGGGATGGCATCGGGGAGGTAGTCCCAGTTGATGCTACGGAGCGAGCCCTTGGCCATCAGGACGCCGACAAAGATAAGGGCGGGACCGGTGGCCCAACGCGGGAACGACGCAAAGATGGGGGCAAAGAAGAGGGACAAGACAAAGAAGAAAGCGGTGGTGATGGCAGTGAGGCCGGTGCGGCCGCCTGGTTGTAGAGTGAAGTAGCGTGGAGTGGTTGTGTGGGGTGACGAGGATATTGATTGGTTAGATCCAGCAAGTGAGATTCCAACGCTGAACGAGGCAGATGCACTGATACCGAGGCGTGTCTTTCAGCGCTCCGATCATTACCTTCGGCGATACCAGCACCGGATTCGATAAAGGCTGTGTTGGGGGAGCTTCCAAAGAGGGCGCCAAGCGAGATACTCGTGGCGTCAGCCAAGAACGCCCAGAAGGAGCCTTCAAAGTCGCCGGTGCGGTCATCGGCAAAGCCGGCAAACTGGATGTATCGGACCCATGGGCATTAGAGAGTGCCGGGTCATGGATGGGCGCTATGTGGCTGGTCCAACATAGCAGAATCGGTGACCAACGCAGCGCGTAGGTGCGCTCCGGCGGACGCTGGATCGTCGCAGCGACTGTGCCTACCTTGGCCATGGAGTAGAGGGTTCCGGTTGTGTCCATGATATCGACATAGAGGAAGGTCACGAGGGCGACCCAGACCTCGGAGGTGCCAAGGTTCCAGTCCATGGCGAGGCCAGTGCGGCGGATCTGGGGAACGGCAACGACGGTCTTGAAAAAGTCTGTCAAGGAGCACAAATGTCACTGTCAGCGGATGCAGTCGATTCTGTCTGCAGCTGGGGCTGCTCACAAAGGCAGTGACAGAGAAACGGCTCTTTCTCTTGGAAGGCCCACTTCCGCTTCAACCAAATAGGCAATCGCCTGCGAGTGAGTCTGCGCTGCGGTTGGGGAGTAGCCACATACCAAAGGCAGCGTCGCCAGCAGGAGTGGCGGGGAAGGCGGTGATGGAGGTGTTTCGGAACCAGGAGATGGCCGAAATGAAGACGATGCCGATGAGGATGCCGCCCTTGACGCGGAACGAGGCCAGGAGGGCAATGATGACGAAACCAAAGATGCCAATCCAAGTGGTGCCGCTTTCCATGCCATGGCTGAGACACTGGCCGGAGGTCGGGTCCTTGTATTGGTCGGCACAGCCGCCGATGGTGACGAGGGTTGCGGGATCGTATGTGACCAGACCTGGCGGAACAGAAAGGTTGGGCCAGATGATCGGCGGTCGAAGGTGTGGCTCGACGTCAGCGGCAAATACGCACGCCTCAACTTTGTGGGCTAATCACAGAATGCTGCCGATGATGAGCACACGCCTCTTACCGATGCCGGCCGAGTTCTGGAGGCCAATGAAGGTCAGGAACAGGCCAATGCCAGCGCCGGTGGCGATCTTGACGGACTTGGGCACGGCCTTGGCGAGGAGCTGACGCAGACCCAGCAGCGAGATGACAATGAAGAGAATGCCCTCAATGAAGACGGCAGCGACGGCGGTGCGATAGGGGATCTTGCCGCTGCCCTGGAAGCCGACGACCTGGTAGGCAAAGTAGGCGTTCAAGCCCATACCCGGGGCCAAGCCAAGAGGCAGGTTGGCCATGGCGCCCATGAGGAAAGTGGCGATGGCGGCGGCGGCTGTGGAGAGGAAGGGTTGTTCAGCCGGTATGGTCAGGAGACGCACGGGCGAATCGATCAGCAGCGGACATCAGCACCGACGCTGCCAGTGGACGGGATAGCATGCTTACCAGATGTCGCGGTGATAAAGTCTGCATAGAGTGAATGATGGAACGATGCATCAGCGGGTGCCGTGATCAACGCAAGGGCCCAGACTGGGTGGATAGAGACTTGCCTTTCTTGATATCATTGAGACAGAGCTGATAGTTGGGATCCTTCAAGCACGTATCGGGCGACGAGGTGCAGCCACAGGGGCCGCCAGAGTCGCTGAGGATGTTGGCATTGACTGTCGATCGAAGGCAAAGGACCCGTCAGCAGGTGATGGATATTCAACAGCGTCCAGAGCCGAGCTCCTCATGGGCAGCCGGATCGGTCTGACGGCTGAATCACTCGTTCCATGCGGCGACGATTGGCGCCACCGGGCATGACGATTTCCCTGGCTCGAAGCATACCCGAGATGATATAGGCCATGGTCACAAAGGTCGCCAAGCCTGGTCAGGATGGCCGAATGAAGGGCGTCAGTATCGACGTCCGAACGCGGCGGGGCGGTGGCCAACAACAGCGACGGGACGAGTCGGATGTGTTGGCAGATATGGAAGATTGGCGATGCTTGGGCGACACGGCTGCTGGACAGACATCGGACCTGCACGGAGCTCGGTGGTGAACGAGGTGTTGGGGCGGATGCCCTTGCGGCCGCTGCCGTCGTCGAGCTTGAAGTAGCGACCGACGAAGGACGAGGCGACGGACTTGTTGAGGGAGTCGAAGATGCCCATGACGGCGATGGTCCTTGGGGGTGATGTGGATTTTCCGAGGCGGCGATGGTCGCTGGACGGGAGAGCAAGAAGGCAGACGGGGCGAAGGAGCTGCCTGAAGAAATATCCTGGAGAAACTGCCTGGAGAAACTGCCTGGAGAAATATCCTGGGGAATCGGCCTGCCCCTCGGAGTGCCACCGCCACCCAAAAAATTTTTTCGGTCTTCCACCGACGACGCGCTCACGGCATTCCGCGCCGGCGGTCTGGCACGAGGTGCGGCCCCCGCTTTGTTTGCCAAATGGCGCTGTGTCAGCTGTGTGGTGGGGGAGGCACTGCGCACTGTTTCTGTGGCCCTGTGGCGTCGCACCCCCGCGCGTTGTGTGCAACCAGGGCACGCACCAGCCTCAACAGTGTGTGCGCAGCTGCAGGCAAACAGACCCAGCCCTTGTGGCTGGACCAAACTTCGCCCTGCGGACACACGCGCCGGCGTCGCACACGCCTGGGAAAGTACTTTCAGCAGTGAGTCAGGGCGACACAGATGCCCTCGGCTCGACTGCCAGCAAGGTCGACTCACGCGCCTGGATGTCCACAGCGACCGCGTGCGACAAACTCGGCGTCAATCTCCGACAATCAGCCTGTTCAGAACGGCACGGGACAGCGACCCGCACGCTGCAGCCATGTGATTGTTTCTGCTTGACCTCCGGAATCCGCCTGGCCGATCCCCTGCGGTAATGATCAGCAGGCACACCGCAGGGCAGCTTGGATCGCAGCATGGTGGATAGGTTTGTATTCGGAACCCATAGAGGGCCACCATCCACACGAATATGCCCCGCCATCGCCGTCGACACATCCGCTCCGCGACGACACCTCAGCCCGATGTCCGAGAGTAGTACTGTGGGGCCGCTTGAATGGCCCAGTCGAGCTGGATCTCCGAGACGTTGCGCATATACTTTTTGGACGTGTGGACCTTGGGTGCGTGGGGGGGGGGAAGAGTCGGTCAGCAAGTCGGTCTCGCAACAACCATTCGTCTCGATAGCAAGGATATCGCACCAAGCGGGTCGCGACTCTCCAGCAGTACTACTCACCAGCTCAGTAAACATCAGGACAGTGGGCTTGCGATTGAACAGCACCGAAGACGGGTGGATATGTACCTCCTGCAGCACATGTTGCGAGCGGCAACACAGAGCCATTAGAACCTTCTGCCCGTTCTATCCCAACACCACCCAACACCACGCCACCCAACATCACCGAACAGCACATCGCATGCGATCGTCTCTGTCTGCGCTCGACATGTCCATACCTGGCGATGCACCAATGTTCTGTACACGCCATTGGGTTCCCGGACAGCCACGTTCGTGAACCACCCTTCCAGGAAGCACCGCAGCACAGCCTCGCTTGAGTTGCTTCCGCTCGAGATCCTGTGGTCGATGCCGACTTGCTCACAGAGCTCATTCAGCTGCGTCCGGATTTCGAGGGCCTGCTTGAGCGCTCGGTGCGATATAAAGTTGTCCTGACACCAGGTACCCGGTGCCGAGTCCACGGACTGGTACGCTTGCAGCGCATTCAGTAGTGTCAAATGGTCGCCTGGGGAGTGATGGAGCCATCCTGTTAACTGCGAAGGCCGTTGGGGGGAACTGGATCCGCTGTGCGGTGTTGATGCATACCGTCATAGTTCAGGAACTTTTTCTTGGCCTCGGCAGCCTCCTCGCGCTTGTTGTTGGGAGTATAGAACACGTTGTCCACGGACAACAGCGACACGATCGCAATCGCCTCGAAAGTGCACTTGAGGACCTACGCGCCACAATGCCATATTGACGCCGTTTGGTGTTGAAGAAGCCCCATTGGTTCTGAGTGAGCTGCGCCATGGTTCTGTTCGATGATACACCACTGACAGGCGGCAAACAACAATACGGCCCCCAGGCCGATGCCCCGGATCTTTACCTTTGATTTGATCAGGACTTTTGAGAACTGCGGGTCCAGCGGGAACAGCGACATCTGGCGGCCCAGTTCGGTAAGCTGTCCGCGCTCGTCGAGAGCACTGAGGGCATACAGCTGCTCCAGCGCTCTGACCACTAATTAGATGGGCGTGTCAGTATCGCACGTCCACAGTATCATCCATCAAAGTCAAGTCGGCGATGGCAGGCACTTACATCCGTCGCGCGAGGGGCGGTCTATATAGTCAAAGTTAAAAATATCGCTCACACCCGAGGCTTTCAGCAGCAGCAGCACGCTGGCAAGATTTACGCTGTCGTCATGCCCCCACCCAAAAAGTACCCGTGTGTCAGTGCAATCGGACCACAGCAACGAGGGCGACGGCGATATCCTGCACTCACCGCTTTATCTCAGGCTCGGTCTCTTCATCCAGCTGGAGATAATCCTCTTCGGGATAGAGTCGGAAGCAGATGCCAGGCGCCTAGAATAGATGCAGTCAGAGTCGCCTGAGTCAACATGCGATATCCGCATGCAGTTTTCTCCAAACGAGCGGTGGCTGAGCCACGGATCAAGTGTGATCGAGAGTCTGCACAAACCTCACGACCGGCACGGCCTGTTCGCTGGCTGGCCGATGCCTTGCTGATGGGCTCAATCTTCAAGCTCTCGAGTCCTGCACAAACAAGGACCGCGATGAATTGGGCGGAGGTGTCAATGACGAATAAGTGGCTTTGTATATGCGATAACGAGGTGGAGTTGGCCACATTGAGCGTCCTAGGTCACCCAGGGGGGCAAGCGTCTTCACGACAATCACAGGTCCTGCCAGACTTGCCTATCTTTGGGTTGTAGCTCCGCACCTTCGCCAGTCCCGTATCGATGACATATCGAACGCCACTGATGGTGATACTTGTCTCGGCAATGTTGGTCGAGAGGATGATCTTGCGGGTTCCGTGTGGTGTTGGCTCAAAGACCCTAGACTGCTGCGATGTTGGCATGGCTGCAAAGATAGGACACACCAACATCTAGGCCAGCAGCGTTGGTGGGTTGTGGCCATGTCAGGTGGGTGTGCCGCATCAGCATGGGAAGTCGTGATGCGAGAGCAGGCACGTACAATGAGGGCCAACAGCACAACGCCGCTTGATGCCTCGCTTGGGGTCGCCAAGAGGAGCACACAAAATCCCACAATGTGGCTTACCTTATCGGCATCGTGGGGCAGATCGTGCGTATGCTCTCCAATGAGCTTTTCGAGGTTTTCGATTTCTTCTTGGCCTGACAATCGCCGAGAACAGCACACCGTCATCAGCATGCGCAAATCGAGGCAACAGCACCACCAGGCCACGCGGCCGCAATTGATCGCCGAAATGAATGGTGATTGTATGCTCTGGAGCCACTGCCATATGCTGACCTGTGAGAAAGACCAGGATATCTCCCGGCGGCTGCTCCAGGTGCGTCTGGAAGATTGAGACAAGGGCCGAGTCGACGTGGTCCTCCAGTCGTTCGGGTGCATGGAAGATCTCGACCGGGAACTGCCGGCCGTGGATGTGAAGAATTTTGGCGCTGGCGAGTCAACGAAGGAGCATGGGCGATGCCGCCATAAGCAGGGTGATGAGTATCCATCTCCTGAGCGGGGTGTGCAGTCGCGGTCGAGATGTCAACAGGCAGCATGGGGAGGGGAGCTGGCCCATGGCTGCAATTAAAGCTCGCGACATACTTTCCGAAAAACTTGGAAAACTTTTCGGCATTCAGCGTTGCCGACATCACCACCACCCTCAAATCAGGTCGCTCGCGCTGGATCGACTTGATCATGCCAAACAAGACATCGGTCCGAAGGGTGCGCTCGTGAGCCTCGTCGAGAACGATGGTCGAGTATCGCTTGAGCTGGTTGTCGGAGAGGAGCTCGCGGAGCAGCATGCCGTCTGTCATGTACTTGATCTTGGTTTGTGACGAGGTACAGTCTTCGAATCGGATCGAGTAGCCGACGGTGGTGCCCAGGGCGGTGCCCATTTCCTCAGAGACACGCTTGGCGATCGAGATGGCAGCAACCCTCCTCGGCTGCGTCACTGCAATCATGCCTTTGGAAGTGAGGCCGGCCTCGTACAGGAACTGTGGAATTTGGGTCGTCTTGCCGGAGCCGGTCTCACCGACGATCACGACGGCGTTGCTGCTCCGAACTTCGTGGAGGATCGAGGCCCTGGCTGGTGTTGCACGATTCCATCAGCAATTGCGAACATATACAGCAGGCGCGCCAGGAAATATTGGTGGCATCAAGACATGAGATCGGAATCAAGATCGAAGAAACGGGGGCCACCTTGGCCGAGCCTTTTGGCATTGGCATGGGCATGGGCATGGATGGACATGGGCACTTGCATCTCCTCGAAAGCCCGCATGAGGCTCGAGACAAAGTGCCTCAGAACACCTACCGCTCCACACTGGCAGTGCCTTTCGTGCATCCAGGAACTGCTTTGGATCCGGAAGATGCGTCGCCTCGGGTACAATTCTCCGTTTCTTGCTACTCTTCCCTGCCTCTGCCAATTGCTTGCCCTCGAGAGTGCTGGCTCGATCATTGGCGCTGTCGCCATCCAGATTTAGATTGTCGAAGAAATTGACGACTTTGGTTCCGTTCTTGACCACAGCAGAACTCGCGGAGGATTTTGGGGCGGCAGAGAGGGACGTCGAAAGCGGGGCCGAGGAAACAGGAGAGATGGGTTTGGACGGTTTGGATGAGGAGGCGACGGAGGGCGACGAAAGGAGCGTGGAGCCAGGGGCGGTGGAAACCGCTGCTGATTTCTTGGGCTGGCTCAGAGACGAATGGCCCCCTTTCGCCGATGGTATCGTGTTGTTGGCATCAGGGCCGGTCTTGGGAGACTTGCTTGGGTGTTTACTTCCGTCCAGTTCGCTATCCGAGTCAGAGCCACGGCCTGAGAGGCTCTGGGGGTTGATGCGAGTGAGCGGGGAGTCCAGGCCGTCCACCAGCTCACGAGAGCGCTTAGCGCCTCGCTTTCGTTTCCGTTTGGTGATTTGCTGCTGTTGGAGCTGGGAAGCGCCGACGGTTTGGACCATTCTGTTCGGAGGGTGATGTGGTGGTGGGATGCACAGAAGGCAGGATGATCGCAGGGAGACGAATATACGATGTCGAAAGAGCAATTCGATCTGCACAGTCAAAAATCGGCGATGGCAATGGCAGCCTTCAGCGGATGAGCCGGGGCTGGAGCCGGTCAGGGTCAGATGCGGGGGGATGGCGAGGTGGTTGTTGGAATCTGGGTTGGCAAGGCAGATCGCCCGATCAATTTTTTCCGGCCCCTCGCGGCTGCTCATCTCGGTCACCTGAAAGTCACGTCGAATGTGGCGCAGCAAAAGTTGGAATCCGGCCATGGCCGGTTGACGGCATTTGGTATCGTCTTGAGCCGATTGACGGTGGTGGTGGGCAATTGGTGTGGAGGAATGACCAATTGTATCATTGTTGGAAGCTCCACTCCGATTGCGGACAAGAACCGCCACCATCTGAATCTCTCTGGTTGGAACCTAGTCAAGCGTGGCTGTGTGTCAGCGAGATGACATGATCGTTTGGCTATCGGGCAAGACTCACCTTGACAAGATGTCTTCGCACGACTGATTGAGCGAGCGATGCGTTTCTGGATCTGAATCAAGGACGCCACTGCGCAGTATCTCTGCCAGCCCAAAATGCGCTGGTTTTGAGGAGAGTTTTTCTTCCCCAAGGGCAGAACCAGCCATCGTCGCTATTTTCTCGCCAGATGGCTCCCCGCAAGAGAAAGACACCACCCAGGCGACCAAGTGGATCCAGAGCACCCACAAGATCCTTGATCTGCAGGAATGGATGAGCACCACACCAAGTCCCAAGATCCCCGGGTTGGCTTCCTTCCTGCAATACATTCGCCATGTGTTCGATGGAGACATGCTGGACAAACAGCTGTACTTCAGCCTGACCCGGCGACGGCGATTCAAGCGACTCGATCTCTACGGCAAGCGACAGCGCACCGTCCACGAGATGTGCAAGCAAGTCATCGACCAGGCACCAAGGGAGACCGACATCGTGATTGCCTTTGGGAATGCATCCTGGAAGCAAGGGAAGGGATATGCATCCAGTCCCAGGAGACTCAGGTTTGCCAAGTACTTTGAGCAGTTCCACCACCACCAGAGACGACCACCAGACCAATCCGTCTCCAAGATCCATGTGTGCTCGGTGAACGAGTTCAACACATCCCAGGTGTGCTCACACTGTCGGGAAGCCAAGCGACTCGAGAAGGTCGAGCATCTTGATATCGAGAAACCACACTTTGTCCGGAGCTGTGCAAGCTGCCATACGCTGTGGGATCGAGACATCAATGCAGCCAGGAACATGATCTCGGTATGCCAGTCGATCATCGCCACAGGAGATCGACCGGGTGTACTCACGACGATCCTTCCCAAACCAAAGTGACCCTCGAGAGCATGAGTGGCTCCATGCGTCTCAAGTGAAAACCGGCATGTCACGATGCATCTGTCACTGTTTTCAATCAATTCATTCGTCTCTGTTCATTTGACCTTTGTTCTAAACGCATAGAAGGCGGGGGGAGGGGGGAAGGGCTGGCATTGCTCATAGAAACGGTTGAGCACATCCGACGAGACTGGAGAGAGAGGGAAGGCAGGCCCAGGGACCTCGTTCCGCAAAACATCGTATCTCTATCGATATCTACGCGTCCTCGTCCATGATCCACATTCGATCTCCAGAGCTGGTGAATGTGGAATCATGCCGGACATATTGAATGGCGAATCGGAGCAGAGTAAGGAGGAAAAAGCAATGGAAGAGAAAGAAGAGGGAGAGGGTAGACGACAGTGGAATCGTTGTGCAAAGAGGGGGGGGCATCGAACGAAAAAGAAGAATCGGTCAAGGGCGAAAAGCGAGAGCGGCACAGGGTGAGGCAGTTAGGCTAAAGAAAGTATTATAGCATAGAAATATTCAAGTGAAGTAGAAGCTGCGTTGGCAGAGGGGCAACGAAAGAGAAAGTGGCTGAGAGTTCGGAGACAGCGACGCACAGCGACTTTGATCCGAAGAGCATCATCACAGCCCCAACGAGGGTAGAGGGGAAGGGCAGGGGAAGGGACAGAACCGGTGGCGTGAGCGTCAGATCAACAGGGGGCGGGTTGTCCGGGATCCACGAATATGGTTCCCGGGTGGAGCTTGGTGGGTATTGTTTGGTCGGGTAAGTGTTGTCGAGGGTGGGATGGTGAGTGCAAGGATCCGTCGTAGCGACTCCTCGCTCGTAGTGCTGTCTGCCAGGAGCTGTAGGGGCGGTCTTTGCTCGAAGCCAAGCGGCAGAGTACTCGGAACAACGACAAAGAAGGGGAGGCAATGACGAATCCCCGTGCACGATCTTCTGTTTCACCAGGGATGGTATTACACCTTCCAGGACTCGCGGAACCAGTGGGCATCCTCGGTGGTGACGACGAGGTGCTGCAGCTGTCGCATCATGGCTTCCGGTCCAGCCCCCATGACGGCAATCGGAGCGGCACGCTTCTTGCTCAAGACACGAGCCGCGGACGAGGTCGACTGCGGGCTCATCGGGCCGCTGCTTTCTCTTCTTCCTCCGTCACCATCCTCGTTCTCTCCACGGCAGTCCTTGACAATGTCCCCGAGGATCTTGGCAAAGTCAGGTCGGCCAGAGAACCAGTTGATGGACTCGGGAATGTGGTTGAGGGCCGAGATGGGGATGCCGGCGTCGAGGTTGTCGTCCACGAGGCTGAGGATGTACTCCTTGCTGTCGCTCGGGGACTTTGTGCCGGCAGCGACTGGCTCGGGCTTCTCTGGCGAGTCGGAGGAGTCCGGGCCGATGCGGGTGCGGGCATATTCGTGTGTGCGCGTGCGGCGAATGTAGTTCGAGACCAGGATGACCAGCCGCCCGCCAGCGAGGGCAAAGACGCACGCCAGCACCTCGGCGGCCCAGTTGAACCAGTAAAAGCACACAAAGTGCGTGAGGCCCTGGGTCAGATACGCATCGGTGCCCGTGCAGGTGTTCATGTCGAAGCCGGGCTGGATCAGCCGTCCAAAGACAAAGCCGACTGCGGCCATGCCAAAGACGGCCACGGCCAGAATCACCTGGGCCGACCGCGGCGATCTGAATCGCTTCTCGGGCAGTTGCTGGGGCAGTTGCTGGCGCTGCGGGTCGGTCAGGGGAGTGCCTGCGAGCAAAGTGTCAGCCGAGGCCTGGGTTGTCTTGGAAAGCGCTGTCTCGGGACTGTATGCGCCCTGCTCGAGCGGATCATGCACGCCCACGTCGTCTGGGTCGGTGGTGATGATGCGGGGCGAGTTGCTGTATGGGTTGGAGTGATGGCTCTCTGCGTGCAGGCTCTGGCGCTTGCTAAAGAGCTTGATGTCGAGGCTGATTTCGGGCTCGTCAAAGTTCATGATCTCGTGGAGGGCCTTGCGCAGACCGGGGGTGTTGGAGCCCACCATGGGGGACGTGATTGGATCCACATCGGCCACGAGGATGTCGAGGATGGATCGCGACCGGCGGTGTGCCATCGCTGTCGTCGTCGAGGGTACGTTGCCGTCCTCGTCGTGGATCGGGCGGAGCGTTCGAGTGCTGTGCTTGTTGTGGATGTTGGAGCCACGGGGAGCCATGCCCGGCGACGACTCGGCCAGTCCCAGTCCTAGGGAGTTGTTTTGATCGACGGGCTTGAGCGAGTGGTGCGAAGACTTGCGGGTGGTTGCGGCCGACGAGGTTGCGGCCATCCTGGGTGCCGGCGAGAGGATGCCTTCGCTCTTGATGGGCTTCAGGGACCGTGTCGTCTTGGACTTTGACGAGCTGGCGAGGGCCATCGGGGGCGACTGGACGGCGACGTCGACCTCCATATCCGCGACGACGTTGAGATCGTCCAGGACGATGGCGACGGGTTCGGACGGCGGCGACATGGCGGCCCACTTCATGATGGCCTGATAGCCAACGAGCGGCGTCATTCCGGGCTGGACGGCCGTGGACGAGGTCTCGACATAGTCGTCGTAGAACTCGGGGAACTCCTTATGGACGGATCGCGGGGTACCGACAAAAGAGCGCTTGTGGGCCATCCCGGGCGACTTTGGGGCAGACTTGTGGCTCACGAACGAGCGCGGGCGCTTGGACCCCGAGCGGTGCGAGAGTGCCGGCGAGCCGACGACGTCGACCAGGTCCTCGTAGGCGCGGTCATCTTCGACGTCAAAGGCCTCGTCGTCGCTCAGATCGGCCTCCTCGGCCGTGACGAGCTCGAGGTACGACTTTTTCTGCAGCACCGGGGTCTTGGCCTTTGGTGGCTGCTTGGTAAAGTGCAGATGGACCTTGACGCGGCCAAAGAGGGACGAGTTTGGGTTGGAGAGGTCGGACAGCAGCCGCCAGTAGACCAGGATGTCGGTCTCCTTCTTGGCCATCCAGACGAGGTGGATCTTGGCCTGCGGCGAGGCGGCGACGACAAAGTGGCGCATGAACGGGATCAGGGCACCGATACCAGTGCCGGCGCCAACGAGCATCAGGTTGTCAAAGGCCAGATACGAGGTGCGGCGGGATCCGAAAGGTCCATCGACATTGACGGGCACAAGGACATCGTCTTCGACGGCGACAATGTCGTTGAGGGCCTGGGTCCAGCGGCCATGGACACGCACAAACAGAGTCATGCGGTCGGGGGTGTCGAGGTTGTAAGAGGCGATACTGAAGGGGTGCCAGTCGGAGGATATCGAGGGCACTTGGATGGAGATCCAGTCGCCAGGGGCGTATCGCGAGGTCGACTTCCAGCCAGGGAGAATGGGGATGTCGACCTTGACGATGGACTCGGAGGTGGTTTGGCTGATCAGGGCGTGTGCCTGGCGCTTGGTGCGCAGATGGGCGCTCAGGCGGTCAAAGATGAACAGGACGATGGCCGAGAGCACAGGGTAGATACAGCGGATGCCCATATGGGAGGCGGCAAAGAGAATGAAGATGACATAGAGCTTGTGTGTCCAGGCAAAGAGACGATAGTTGCGGCGACGGGCCTGGGGAGGGGTGAGAAGGATGTTGTGGTGACGAAGGGGAGCAAGATGGAGTGAGTGCGGCGACAAACAAGTATGGCAGAGCCGTACACTGCAGCCGGCGGTAATAGAGCAGGCACAAACATGATGCAATCGTTGCGTCGTCCTCATTCTCGTTCTCATTCTCGTCTGGACACTCACCTTATAGATTGATGTCGCGACCATGATGATCATGGCCACCCACGAAATGAACCCGGTGCCGTTGGAGTAGCCCAGGGTCGACAGCCACGGGAACATGCTGGCCGCAAAGACGCCGTTCACCGAGTAAAAGACGATAAAGAAGAGGCAGTGGAAGGAGATCAGGAAGAAGCTGATGTAGCCCAGGGCAATGTGGAACCGAATGCCGGTGTGGAACTGCCCAGCCTCGGCGCCGGCAACGCTCTTGACGATATAGTTTTCGCGGATGGCAAAGGCGATGGCGAGGCCAGCATCCCACATGCCAGGGAGGGCTGTTGGATGGCATGGGCGGTCGAAGCATGCAAGCGAGCGAGGGGAGTGAGTTTGGTGGGTTGTGCCAAAGACCCGGCAACGGGTGGCCGGGTTGCGGGTAAGAGTGTCAGATGGTGAGGGAGATGTGCACCAGGCAGCGCACCAGGCAGTGCACCAGGGACCGAGAATGAAAAACGGCAAAGGAACCCAGATGGGCGAGTTGGAGACTGAGTGTTAGAGCGGAAAGGCACGAACGGCGACGTGGGCCATTGTCCCTGATCCACATGGACCAAACATGTGTCCAGGCGAGGGGGACCACAGATGGTGAATGGGCCCACCCTCCAATCACCCCAAACCATCGCCATCACCATCACCATCGCCATCACCATCGCCATCAGCACTGCAATCGACATCACAAGCGCGGAGCGGATCGAACCTGAGTGCGCAAACATCCCGAGGACCTGGAGCCACATCGGATCGGAGGTCTTTGGCCCAAGCAGTCCCGTGACGACCGGCAGCGACCACAGGTACAGGTTCAGCAGAAAGATAAAGAGGGCAATCAGGATGTCGCCGACGGACCACGGGTTGCCAAGGATGGTGTAGCGCTTCTTGAGGTGCTTCAGGACCTCAAAGCGGGGCCGCCAGATGTTTTGCAGGGAGTGGTTGAGGTCAAGGGCCTGGCATCGATGCAGGGCGGCTTGGATGGAGATGTCCGAGAGCGAGTTGATGACGGTTATGGCAGCGACGGGGAGCAGCGAGAGAAGCAGATAGCCCAAGTCGGCCTGGTCGACCACTCGCACGGTAGGATGGAACTTGACATTGTTGTGGTATAGCCAGAACCATGCAAAGGTGAAGAATGTCGGGCCGAGAACCAGCACGAAGATGACGATCCGCACAGGCACCGAGGTCATGGCGGAAGGGGTTGGGATGGTGGGGTGCTGGAGAGGGGGGAGGGCGGATGAGCAGACAGCAGTCCCGACGCAGGGATGAAGCGGGCTGGAGGCAAGACCAGACGACCTGGCGAGGCAAAGGACAGACAGAGGGAGCTGGACAGCCAAGCCAGAGAGCCAGCAGGAAAGGGGGAGGAAGCCGGCACGGGCGGGATCAGGGGAGAGAAAGCCGGAAGGAAAGGAGGCTGCTGAGCCGACTGCTGCTTATAAGATGAATAGCGAGCCGAGGGAGGGCGGATTGGGTTTTGAAAAAAGGGGGAGGGTGGAGGCAGCCTGGGTGATACTCCTGGGAGAGGATGCAGCCAGGCAGGACGGATGGGAATCAGTGGATCTGGAGGAACGACGTCGATCTTTTGCTTTGAAAGTTAGGGCGACTCGGCCGACGCGAGCACAAGGTCTCATAACGGAGTACAAATCAAGGCGAGTCTGGCCGCATTGTCAGCAGGGACCGACCAAGGCCAACAGGGCCGCTGAGCAAACACAGGGATGGAGGTGGGGGAGCCGTGCGGCAAGACATTTGCGAGTGAGGGGGGCTGTTTACGAGCGAGGGGATACTTGTGGGCCAGGGGTGTTGGAGGAGCATCATGGTGCTTGACTCGTGGCATACGATGCATCGTGCTGGATTCATGTGCACATCGAGCTGGTGTCGATGTCGATCGGGACAGCAAGTTACCAACGACCCCGAGAGCAATATTCGAACGGGCTTGCCTGGCTGGCGAACAAGGGAGCCACACTGAACGCACAGGAATGGCCAACGGTCAGGGCAGCACAGCGCCCCACGACAGGCAAGGAACACCAGCCCGGGTGGGGGAGAGCCGTGTATTGGCGATGAGAGTGTCAAGGACAAATCGCGGCAGGGTCTGGCAAGGAACGCAAGAAAAATCCAGCAACGACGTTGGCAGCGATATCGCTGACCGACGGGTGGACGATTGAAGACCTCGGTTTCATGGAGCGAATTGGATGCAATCGCAGGACCGAGTTGCAGGAGTCGCAGGCCGAGTCGCAGCATCAGAACCAAGCTGCAGCTCGGTGTGCAGCACATATACTGTGCAGACGCGTCACACTGCGGCTGAACTGCTCCCCGACTTGCCGACTGGCCGTTTCTTTCGCCGCGCACTGCAGGTGACGCCGCTCAGCAACAAAGACGTGTTGCACTTGTGTGCGACATGCGGCGTCGTTGCTGTTGTTGCTATTGTTGCTGTTGTTGCTGTTGCTGTTGCTGTTGCTGTTGCTGTTGCTGTTGCTGTTGCTGTTGCTGTTGCTGTTGCTGTTGCTGTTGCTGTTGCTGTTGCTGTTGCTGTTGCTGTTGCTGTTGTTGCTGGACGAGTCTTCGTCATTTCAACGGCTGTCGTCGACTATCATCCAACTCTCCCTCTCGAACGCACTGCATCGCGAAATCAACATCAACGTGTCCCATCATACGAACACCCTTGCGTCGCCTGTGCCGTCCGTGCTGCACGGCTGTCGCGCACACTGTCGGTGCTATGCAGACATCCCACAGCCAGTGCTCGGCGGACCAATCGCGTGGTCTTGCGCGGCTGTGACTCGATTGCCCCGGCTTGGTGGTGGCGCTGGAGGGCGATGTTCCATGTCTGCGGGGTGGGTGGGCAGCACCAGTGGTGTCGGTGTGGACGGGGTGGGTTCCCGCGGCGATGGTGTCGATGGTGTCTGGCGTGGGCCAGGCCCATTTGCATGGTGAATAAGGGTAAATCGGTGTGCGATCCCAGAGGATGCAGCGCCGGCATCGGCCATCGCAACAACCGTGCTAACAACCGTGCTAACAACCGTGCTAACAACCGTGCTAACAACCGTGCTAACAACCGTGCTAACAACCGTGCTAACAACCGTGCTAACAACCGTGCTAACAACCGCGACAGCAACCATCGCGACAACCACCGCGACAACTCTTAAACAGCCACAAACACATTGGCTCTCCTGTCCACCAAAGTCCCATGCCGCCACGATCCTGGCCTCCTGTGGTTCGTTCCCCTGGCCCGCAGTCCGTGCGCGTCTGCCATCGGTTCCCCCCCGGCCTGCACGAGTCGTCGCCGGCCTTTCTTTTTGTTAATTTCACTCCGGTGCACAGGCCGTCGGGCTTCAGCCGCAATCTTGGCTGAGCCGCTCCTGGTTCAGCCTGTCTCTCGTCCTGGGCATCCCCTCGCTCCACCGCTCGTCTTGCACTCAGTGTCCATCCGTCTGCCCAGCAATCGCTCGTCCGCAGCCGCATCTCCTTCCGTCACCAGTCGACTCACCTCATATCGTCAGCCGCATCACCGCCGACCATGGGTCGCTCGTGGTGCTCCCCTGGCCCGTCAAATGATAGCACCCCAGCCGGTCGTTTCGTCTCGCACGGACTTTCTTCGCAGACTTGGCAGAGTCACTGCGTTGGTCCTCGTTGCCAGACGCAAGCAACTTTCCTTTTGCCGTCGCGGCCTGGCGATCGACTCAGCAGTCGGGCGAGGGCCTGCGACAAGCCGATTGAGCAACTTCCGACCGCCCACCGGCCTTGTCCACCATGACCCCGTCCTGTGACCCGGCCCTGGCGCTCGCATGCCTCACCTCCCTCTCGTGCTCGTGCGTTGTTGCTCGGCGCCTGATCCCTTCGCAACCATGTGCCTCGGATGCGCACGTGTGGGTTTCAACTCCGTACAGCTTGCGCGGTGAGCACCCCCGCCGATGCTTCGATGTATTCGGATCTCTTCTCGATGAAGAGCGTGTTGGTCCAAGATATCCGAGCCGATCAAAGGATCGTGCTGATGACCGGATGATGGCAGAATCGACCTCACTTCCTGGGATCTGCCGAGACAGACTCCAGAGTCGAGGATAGTCTGCGTTGGGTGAATGGGCCACTTCGCGCAGTGCCTGTCATCCCGATGTTCCATGCGAAACACAATACATGCATACCTGGAGAGCGGTGCTCTGATGCAGATCGAGAGCACCCTGGCCGGGCGACCGGATGAGCTGATCGATGGAACAGAACCATCCATCGAGTCCTGCGTTTACGGCAGATCTTGTTTTGAAACGAGACACATTCACACCCGGATGGCTTGTGGATCGGTTGATGTTGATCGATCTGGCTGAACGGCTTTGATCGGTTCTCAAACCAGCGATAATGCTCTTCCACCCTCATCCCAGGGTGGCTTCTGCTCTGACCCGCAGTGGCTGCATCTGCAGCGACTCGCTGGCCCCCGTCATGCCCACTCATTCCATGCATCTCCCTCACTCAGGGAAATGATTTGACCCATTTGACCGGGTGTGTGATATGATCCGGCTACGTGCTTGTCCGAATGAGTCGATGTGTCCCATTCTTCGACCCGCTGTGCGGCAGAACACCGCCATTTCGTCCAGCTCCCCGATTTGACCAACACCGGTATGATCGATTCACATTGCTCATTTGCTGCCATGGCAACGAGTCGTCCGCAAGACCCGGGTTGAGCTGCGATCCAAAGACATCATCATCTGCCCGTAACTGGTCCAGCACCGCCGGCCTCGTCGTATCCGAGCCCAATGTGGTTTTCGGCTCCTCCGCTTCCGTCCAGCATCACCCTCCGTCCAGACGAAGCCCTGGTCGTCACCGTTTCCATAATCGACAATGGCCACTCGTCATTCGGTCTCTCGCATCCATCGCACAGTCCCCCAGCCGGCACTCTGGATATCCAGGCTTGGACCAATGCCCTCTCGTCAAGCAATGCGCTGGACCGACCCTGGGCTGCCGTTTCGCTTCCCCAAGTTGCTGCATCCAACGACTGCCCGCTGCTCGGCAAGCTCCAGGACAGTCAGGCTGTTCGTCTGTTCTCTGGATCTATCCAGCCCTCCGATCGGACCATTACCCGATATGAGCTCACCCTCCGAGCCGTCTGGACGATGCCCGACGGCTCCTCAGAAATCCAGTGGCTGAGCCCCGGCAACAACTTGGTCGTCTCCCTCGCCGGCGATGCCGATCCGCCTGTCGATGTGTCCGAATACATCGACTACGGTCTCTCTGGGCGCATCGAGAAGCTGCCTCCCCGAGACCACACCAGCCTGATTGCCTTCGTCCGCGACTGGCAGTCGATCGTCGTCCTGGATCCCGGATACGAGGCCGTTTTCTGGGAGCGCCGCAATACCCAGTGGATCGAGCCCTCCTTCTCGGGTCCCTCGGGCTTTGTCGTCACTGGTCGACCGATCTTTACAGCTTGTTGGCAACATGCCCGAAGCGGTCGATGGCTGGTCCTCATTCCAAGCCTGCTCTCGAGCCCCATCGTCGCTGGGGGCAGCAACGTCATCGTCGCTGGGCATCAGGATCCCGATCGTCCAGCGGAAGCACTTTTGGCAGTCGGGCTGGCCGGTGAGGGTCTGCCGCCTTTGCTGGTCGAGAGCTGGTCCGTCCTCCGGGGGTCGCCCGTTTCGAGGCAAACCTCATCCTCCTGCTTCGGAGGGTCGCCGTTTGACTCCCTGGGATTCTGGTACGTTGGAACACCATCTTCAATAGCAGGTGCAGTAGCGGATGAATGGCGGATGCAATAGCAAATGTACTCATCCACACCGATTTGTGGCTGCATCTCACTGTTCCTCTGCCGGGCATTGCCCTTTCAACCTCGCTACGCGACCAGTACATGGAATACATTCGGTACCGACGTGTCGGCTGCAGCGATTGTGGAGGAAGTCAAGGTGACGAGTCCTGCCCGAATCCACAGCTCTCTTGTCGACTCGTCCTCCTCCCTTTGGTCTCACACGTATATGCTGTTTCATCACCTCCTTGGTCCACAGAGCTTCCACACAAGCGAAATCCCGGTCAGAGTAGTATTGGTCGATGATGGGTGGCAAGATACCACCGCAGACCGGAGACTTGTCTCGCTTGAGGCGGTATGTGGGATCCAGCTGCTCTTGGCTTGTCTATCCTACAATCGGCACCAGCGGCGAGTCCACCACAAAACCTCCAAGGACGTCTCAATCTCATCTGGATGCGGCTCGTGGTTCTTCCCTCCCCACCATATAGAACTCAGCAAGATTCCCACACGGACTCTGTTCGCTCGTCGAGGAGCTCCGATTCAACGGAGTTGACTCTGTCGGCGTATGGCATGCCATTGTCGGATATTGGTATGGGCTCGGGGATATACGAGAGTCCCGCAATGCCTCATCGACCTTACTGCATGGAGCATGCTTGCTCTTGCGTCGTCGGGACTCTGTATCGGCATATGACCAAGCTTGTGTTGCGATATGGCCAGGCTCGGATTTGGGCCTGATGGTCCGCCAGGTCGCTGTCCTGTTCCGCTCATCTTTGGTTGACCAACTCCTCGCCTGACGGTTAGGGACGGCATCGAGCCCGGCTCTGAGTTGGCGAGAAAGTACACCTGTCGCCGGGTTGCAACAAAGAGTGGATCGCTCAAGTGGATCATCGACCCAACGTCACTCTCGGCCTTTTACTCGGATTTTTATGCCAGACTCAAGTCGTTGGGGATAGCATTCGTCAAGGTCGACTATCAGGTGCGCCTCTAGGACCAGATACGATGCAACTCAATCCGATCGCATCGGACCCAGTCGACCCGGACACTCCCCAAAGTCTGACGAGCGAGCAGAGCCCAAGCGACGCTGATGGCGGCTGGACTGGCGATGCCACTGCACTCCTGCGGCGATGTTGCCACAGAACGACGTAGCGATGTACTGACTCGATCAATATTCTGGAAACCCGTCAATGCTGGTGGCGGAACGGGGTGCTAGAATGTATTCGATGAACTCGAGGATGGATCGGAATTGTGCCGGCTCTACCAAGATGTCCTCATTCAGGCAGCCCGAAAGTACCAGGTTATTGCTTCGCTATGCACATGTTCGTTTCTTGCTGCGGCCGGTTTTGATGTATCGTTGAATGGGATTGCTCATCAGCCCCAATGTTCTTTCAAACAGCTTTCTGTCATCTGGTGCATGTGCCACACCCCAGAGATACTCCATCACACCTTTCTGCCCGGGCACACCCTTGGAATCGACAACACCCTTCGCAACTCCGAAGACTACTTCCCAGGTGCACCTGTTGTTGCAGATCATGCTCGCTATCCCCCGTCGATTCTCAGCGTTGCTGTGGCTGCATCGCTTACACTGTGCTGTCCTGTGTCCAGACGACTTTTCATCGCAGCAATGGCACATCGTCACCAACATCTTCAACTCTCTACTGTTCGACTCGATCATGCCCTCGGAGCACTCCACTCGTCTCGACTGGGACATGTTTCGGACCGCCGACGCATTCGGATATTCTGAGGTGCAAGCCCTTGCACGCTTCATGAGCGCCGGCCCGATATTCATGAGCGACAAGAGCCGAGTACACAACGCAGATGTCCTCAAGTGCATGCATCGGAACGGGAAACTGGTGTCGCTCCGCCACTCTGGCCTGCCAATGACTAGACTCTCCCTTGGCCTTGCCGGAATATCCAATGGCCTTGTCACGATCCAAACGCAGCGCCCAGACGGCCAACTCATGTCCATGCTTGCCGTATTCAATCTCGCAGACACCCCTCAGCTCGCAGGCATCACCGTCGATGACATTTTCGATGACACTGTCGATGTCTCGGATGCGTCTCCTTCACCGAAAGTATTTGCTGCCCGTGGCTTTGACGACAAAAGGACCGTGTTGGTTTCGGCTCAGCGTCCACTCTCGGTGCTCGTTCCGCCTCGCCAGGCTGTCGTCATCGCCATCTCGCCTGTCATCTCTCTACAGCAACGCCCTCTGGATCTGGCGTCGCTGCGGGGTACAAGATCGCCCAATAGCCAGCTCGATCCACTCTCTCTGCCACTCGGGGCGTTACTGTGCTTCGGCTTCGTCGATCAGGTTCGGTCGAATTGCATCCGCTGAGCGAAGCATCATCTCAGATTCCGGGCAGTTGCTGATCGGCCGTTTTCATCCCTGCAGCTCGTTGGAAACGACCCAATTCGTGGACTCTCTGTGAGAATGCTCGATGCGCCCGCATCCGAAGCGACCGAGCTGCTGGTCGAGCTTGAGACCCGCGACAGCGGTACCCTGATGCTGTGGTGTCATGGAGCCGGCACTCGAATCCACAGCGTGGCCGTTGGGCGATCGCCTGACGCCGAAATGGTCTCGCACATGGATCCAAATCCGTTCTGGAAGTCCGAGATCGAAGCACTCGCATGGCCCGAGCACATCACCGGAGTGTCCGTGTACATCGACTTGGCCAAGGCTGGTCTTGATAGCCATCTTGGCAATAGTGCCAAGGTCCACCTGCGCATGATATACTCTGCAGCGTCCTGAGTGCTCTCCAAACTGTGCATGGACTCGAGGCGAGTTGTCGCAGAGTCGCAGCATTCACAAATCAACACGGCTACCTGTGCTTGAGATCAAAATCCCCTCCCTCTTGAATGTTCCATGCACTGCAACCCATATGGTGTGTCCAAGCGCACAGCCACTTGCCGCGCTCGACTTTTGGATGCAGTTGGCATATATATGTGTGTGTGCATCGGCAGAATGCCCGAGGTGTACAGCGTGGAGCAAGAATATCGCAGGTGGAAAGGGGGGGGTATATGTGTACGCTTGCTCTGCCGGTGTTTCCCTGGTAGGTTGAAAGCAACATACTTTGGAGGCCAATCATGGAGAAGTAAATTGGATTCAAGATGCATCAAAATGGTCTTATCGACAAAGGCACACACTGGCTTTGCCGCGGTGGCAGTCGTGACGAACCTGTCAATGAACGACAGCTCGAGTGCGGCAAAACGATGCAAACCAGACCGGTGGTGAAAACCACGGCTGTCGCATGTCAATGACAAGAAAGAGAGGAATTCTGACGGGAGAGTGAATGAACAACGCCCCGACGGATGGATCCTTCGAGGAGAGTGCTTGCATCGTTGCTTACACTGAGCCTTGTCCAAAGAATCGGAGACCAATCGCCACCAGAACGGCGGCACTGGCAACGACCGTGGCTGTCACGATCGAAGTCGACGGGGCTCTGGAGCGAGATGTCTGGGCCACGATCTCTTGGGCTCGCGTCTTGGCCTGAGGGTCCGAGCGGGTTTGGGGCGATTTGGCTTTGGGGGACTTGGCTTTGGGGGACTTGCTAGCGACGCCCGAGGGCACAGGGACGGTCGAGACGGCTGCAGGTCGCTTGGATCGGAGCGAAAGCATGGAAAGCTGATAGTCCTCGATCTCACGGTGGTTGGGGATCATGTACGACGTCGATTCCTCAGAGTCTCGGTGGAGAGTATAGGGGATATTGTTGCTGAAGTTCATGTAGGGTCTCTCGACCTTGGGTGTCTGCCCGGCACGGAGGCAACAGATCAGAATCTGGCCCGATATGATTGCAGCCTCGTAGCTGTGTATCCACATCAGCAAGCGGTCCTACCTTGGCTGCGACTCTGGGCTGCTGGCTTGCCGTTCGGCTTCGAATGGGACTCACGGTCTCTGTTGGGGGACAATGAAGGGGGAGGCACAGATCCGATGCACGGACAAATCAGCACAACCCACAAGTGCGCCTCAGCACCACCAGGCCGGGGTCGGCAGCAAACAGTCGACCAGCAGCATTCTGTGTCGACGGGGAGACGCAACTGATTCGCAGAGCGATCATTGAGCGACACGACTTGCTCGTTGGCGCATTCGTTGCTCCTTACCTGTCTCTTCATCATAGTCCCAAAAGTGCTCCCAGATTGATGGTCCATCAACATCGAGGCTGATTTCTTGATTCTTGCGGCGGCTCTGGGCCGAGTTCTGGGCCGAGTTCCGGGCCGAGTTTTGAGAAATGAAAGTCGTTTTCAGTGCATTGGTCGCTCCGCACTTTCCTCATGCATCGGCGACAATTGTCATCAGAGTCTATACCAGTGTGTGCGCACTATCTTCATCTCTCTCCAAATCCAAATCGCAGCATAGTGTCATGCTAGAACCTGCCCGCAGCTGAGCTCCACTCACACACACGCTGATCGATGGAAACACACTTACCGGCTGCGCCTGGGGCTTTTGGTGGGCGAGCGACGAGTCTTTCTTCAAGTAAGAGGCCCAGGTCGGCTTGATGGTGCTCTTCTCAGCCGACTGGACGGGCTTCTTGGCAGCTTTGGAGGCCCCCTTGTTGAGTTCGATGACAACATCTCTGCCCGACGAAATATAATCGGCCCAAACCTCTGGGGTGTTGCCTGTTGGAGACGGGTTGGACGACTGGCGGGAGCGGCTGGAAGCGGCCGAGGCCGAGGTAGGGCGCGGGGCTCGGATTGTTTTGGCCGGGGCCGTTGTCAACTTTGCAGCAGTCGAGGCTGAGGATCCTGCGACCGTCTTCAGGCTGCGCTCAATGACAATATCCTTTCCAGGCGAGATGTAGTCGGCCCAGACATCGGGGGTGTCACCGACAGGAGAGCTGTTGGACGATTGACGGGAACGACGAGCCGGGGCAGACACTGGACGAGAAGCAGGACGAGACAGGGTTGGAGCCGGCGCAGCAGCCTTTGGCCCAGGACGCCCGGACGTTTTCTCGACAACAATGCTTCTTCCGGGCGAAATGTACTCAGCCCAGATATCGGGGGTGTCGCCAACCGGCGAGGAGTTGGAAGACTGGCGAGAGCGGCCCGACGACGCCGACCGAGAGCGCTCAGGTCGGGTCTGTGGCTTGAGACTGCCGGACTGGGCCTTGGCACCATTGGTCTGTCTCTCAATCACAACTGGATTGGAGGGCGAGATGTAGTCGGCCCACACATCCGGAGTATTGCCTGTGGGAGAAGACGACGACTGGCGGCTATGGGCTTTTGACTGTGGCTGGGAGCTTGCCTGAGAGGAATGCGCTCTGTACGAGTCCTGGGCCTTGGCAGAGAGCATTGACCAGGTAATCTGGTCATTCGCGAGCGTCGTGAGCTTCTGAGGGCTGGACGATGGGTTTCTGGAGCGGGCCGGGGTCGATGTGGCCGGGGTAGCCTGGGCGGACAAGCGCTGGTAGGTATCCTGGGCTCGGTTCGGGAGCATCGACCAGGCGATATCATCGCCGCGTTCGGTGGACATATTTGCGAGCCTCGGGGACCTGTTGTGCGCATACTGGCGGTATGCTGTCTGAACCTTGACAGAAAGCATATCCCAGGAGATTTGTTCGTTCTTCTGGACTGGTCCGGTTGCGTATTTGAGACGCTGGTCGTTGGCAGCACGAGCATTGCCAGGAAGCATCGTCCAGGAAATTTCTTCGTCGTGGGGGCTCATTTGCATGGCCGTGGGACGGGTGCTCAGATAGGGCTCCTGACTGGCCTGGCCGAGTTTTTGGTTGATCCAATCCTGGGTAGCGATCTGGAAGGTTCCAGGCAATTGTGTGTGGTGGAGGTAATTGCCGGTGAAGATAATCGCCGGTGAAGTGACGAGTAACGAATGAGCAAGCGGCGACACGAGCACATGAACGGCGCCGCATCGAAACCTCAAAGGCGAGGGTAACAGTTGCTCCTCATCTTTCCTGGATTGCCAGTACTCAATGCTGCATTCTCGCTGTGGGGGGAAGGCACCGTCCAACTGAAACAGTAACACGAGTGCTGTACCTTGGAGGGCTGCGAGCGAGGACTCTTGCTTTCTTGGGAGGCCTGCTTGGTCCCGGGTGCCTTGTCACTGCGCGAGCTCTTAGCCGAGGCCGAGAGTGCGGGAGAGCGGACGGTGGTTCCCTGTTTGTGCAAAGCGATCCGCCCCAACAAGATCAGCAAACAAGGACTGTATGTCGAAAGGAGAGCAGGGGATCGAGGAAACTTTTCACTCGCGCACATGTTCCGTCAGTTCCCACACACGATATGGATGCTCGCAAGCTGCCACAGCGCTCACCATGGATCCGTAAATGTTGGTGTTCTGTCCTGGGTGTCTCAAGCTCTGCAGCTCTCGGAAGAGAGAGTGGTTCAGTGCCTGGAGCTGATCGACGCTCTGAGCATCAAGGTTCTGGAACCGAGTCTCGTTCGAAAGACGGGCACGGCCGACTTGCGAGCGAAGGCCGTCGACCTCGCGCAGCTGGGCCCGGATCGCCGTCTGCAACTGCTGCTGCTGGAGGAGCTGCTGTCCTTGCTGGTGCTTTCTATTCTGCTCTGGGGTGCCGATCTTGGCACCTTTGGCGCCCTTCGTCGAGGCCGCTGCAGCCTTGCCCAGCTGAGGCGACTTGGACGGCTGCACCGAGGCAAAGCCGTAGGTGGGGCTGGATATGTTGTAGCTCATGCTCACTGATTTCTGCGTCTGATACACTGTTTTGGCGAGCACAGATCAAAGCGAGGTCTGGTTTTGTTACGATCGAGTCTGGACAGAGTCAGGAAGCACATATTCGACAGGTGAGTCGACAGGAATAGCCGATGATGAGATCCCGAGATGACAGCGACGCACAGCCGAGCCACACAGAAACCCGATCTGTTGCCATGCGGGCCTCGTCACCCGACAGAGGGACATCGACCCACAAACGTATACAGACCCGAGTGGAGATGGGGTATAGAGCAGCGAGTCGGTGGGGAGGCCGATGTCGGATGAAGCAAGTCGGGGAGGGGAAGGAGCTGGGCGACCCTGATAAGAACGAAGCCGTTGGAAATGGCTGATTGATATTGTTTGGATGCGTTCCCACACAAATGGGCTTGCGATCTTCCAAACGGAAGGTGTCTTTCCTGCCTCCCCAGCAAACAGACACCAGGCCACCGCCGACAACCAAACACGCTCCAACTGCTCTGGTACATTGGATCGGACAGAGCAGGACACAAGCCATCGGGTTGTTGGCACCGCAGCGTCGCGATTTGTGCACTGGGGCTCTGCGAGCATGCAACGGGGCAGGCCATCACACCGCGCGCATGCTCTGCGGATCATTCCTCCCTCTTCAAGAAGGCGAGGCACCCGAGATGCTATGGCTGGGGTGCCATGCGAGCGTTGCAATCCGCCCTTCTTCACAACAACGCCAAACCACACTCCATTCCAGCCTCTCGCAGCAACGTCCTGGAATCGGCATTTCATCTCTCGCGCCCTGCAAGACCCGCAAGATTGTAACTCGTGTTGCTGAGCAAATCTGTCGCATTAATAGTGACGGCAAACAGGGCACATTGATCCGAGCAGGCTGTGGAGTGACTGTGTGGCTGCTTACGGCATTACCCCTTGGGCGAAACAGAGTCGTATAGCGACGCCTCGTCGCTAACAATCGCTCGGAGCTCGGCCAGGGGCAGGCGAGTTTTCTCCTGCAGCTGCACAATCGTGTTGAGCATGTCCTGAAACTGACTGAACGCCTTCTCTGTCTGCGTCGCGCAGCGGGTCCGAGTTTGCTCAAATCTACAATAGGTTGTCATGGCGTTAGACGGGTTCCATCGGACCATGCGACGCATGTGATGCGTTTCCGCTGTTCGCCCAACTGTTGCTAGATCACATGTCTGAAGTGGATCGAAAACATAGAGCACGACGACGTACTGGATAGTCAGTTGCTGTGATCGATAATGGGCGCTTTGGAGACTGTTGGTGGCCTCGGTTCTCATCCGGGGAATGGTTTTCTCAAGGTGCTCGATCTCTTGCTGGCTGGTTGCATCGGTGGTGCCGCTCAGCTGTGAACATAGTTATTCAGTGATCAGGGAAACAATCGGCCATCGCCGCAGTGAAAAGTATGGCTCTGGACAGACAGAATTTGACGCGACTAGACACCATCGCCACCAGAAAAATGGACAACCAGATCTATGTCAGCATACCTCCTTTTCTTCATTAAATTGATCGTTGGCCTTCTTGATCCTGTCCTCGATGGCTGCGAGCTCTTCCAACTTCTCGTGAAAGGCTTCGTTGATGTGGTCCAGCTTCTCTTGCAGTTGCAGGATTTCTTCGTTGGTTTGCTGCGCAGCAGCAGCATATTGCTGGCGGACGGCATAGAGCGCCGGCTGATGGATCGGTCCAGTGTTCATTCGTAGGATCAAATTAGCGCATGCATTCGCTTGGATATCACAGTGCAGACCTCGGCAGCCCAGCGCAGATCCGAGCGCTATCGACAACCCAGCCGTGCCGACAGCCGATTCGTGTCAAGATGTGCTTTCGGCTCCGAGATCCCAGAACTCGACAGATCCCAGATCTCACCTTGACGACCTCTTGAATGTCAATCGAAAGCATTTGAGAGGCGTTCGGAGCCGAAGGCCGGACGCTCAGCTCATGCTTGAGAATCTGACTGAGTCTCTCATCTTTCTGATTGCGACAAAAGATCCTGGGACTGTTGTAGTCCTTGACGGTTGCAGTGAGCTATCGGGCAAACCATACATACGACGAGATTTCAGTAGTCCGCGGAGCACTCTAAATGCTGCCAAACCGACTCGGGCACATGCTTGCCGATTACAGGAGTGTCTAGTGGCCAGGCTAATCCAACTTACCCCATCGCACATCCGCTGGTACTCGATTTCGATTTCCCAGCATTTCTTGTCGATTTCTTTGATGCTGTCTTCCAGACTGGCCAGCTGCGAAGTGAGCTTCTCCCTCTCCGTGTTGATCTTGTCGATTTCGGCGGGTGAGATCTCTTGTGTATCGACGATGTGTTGAAGGTGGTTGCGCTCATTTGTCACGCTCACGAGTTCGCTTTCTGTTGCGGGATACGTATTTGAGAGCCAGAATCAGCAACAAGCATGGGTCGCGGCGGATGCGCACGAACTAGCGGTCTGGGGGGGGGGGCAGATTTATCGGTATCAGTGCCGATGGTCCGATACGCTACGTTTCAGTGCAATATTCTCCCTGAGTGTGGCATTTTCTTCGACGACCTTGGTCTTCCGCGCCTGGCGATGAGCCATGAGCTGCTTCAGCTTCGAGGCGTCTCCACGCAGCGTGGCCTCTTCTTTGGAGAGCGCCACGAGGGGATCTTCACCCTCGGCGAGGGCTTGGTATTCGGCCTCAAGCACCTTGATTTCCTGGTCGAGCTGATCGGTCTCGGAGACGAGATCCGCAAGCTTTCCTTCTGTTGGTTACAGAGAGGCATTTGTACCGGTCAAACTCGGTCAGTCAACCAGCTGTCCGTGAGTGTCCAGACCGGCTCACCAGATGGTGGCAGCACTGCTTTGCGCGTAAGTCGGTCTGAATGCCTCCCCGCCCTTGCACGCCTCACCAAAATAGAGAAGAAGCTCTTTGTCCTCGGGATCGTAGTTCACATCCCGCATGTAGTTGGTGTAGGATTTGGCCAGGTACCAACAATAGGCGATTTCGACAGTGTTCTCGTCTGCGTTGGTCAGGTCGACGTTCGAGGTCACAACTTGGTCGCCGCACTGCCGATACGATTGAAAAGCAATGAAAATAAAGCGGGTGTTAGCTTTGAAACGAAAACTGTGGGCTAGTCAGAACTATCTCGTGTCTGGCGGTGCAGGACATTGGACCTACGATAATGAGCTCGACCATCCAAGTCAGCATAGCAAGCAGTGTTGGCCAGGCGTGCATCGCTCCGACTGAGTGCAGAATGGATTTGGTGATCATATCGGCGAAGGGATATCTGGATCGCAAGAGTCATCGAGGATGAGCACACCACCTCCCGGATTAGATTGCTCGGGCATGGCAGAACATCGGCTCGTTTGTGTCGCAAGGCGTAGTTGGGGCAGTGATAGATGCTCGCAGCAAACTATGACGGGCCCACTCTCTCATAGCATTCAGCAACCCACCGCAGCCCACGGAGGATCAGGGGAACTTCTTCTTCAAACTTCTTCTGATAAGCATACTGCGGATCCAGCAGTGCGTAAAGGAAGCGGAATATGCCTTGGAAATCCTTCAGCGACGGCGCCTGAAGCTGTTTGGCTGAAATCGGCTGATCGTAGCCGGCATTCACGAGAAAGTTGATCAGCTGCTTGATCATCTGTGCTTGCCACGGCTTGTCTCGGGTCGGGCGAGGGTCTGATGTGTTTGAGCGCCCTCCGACGCCGGAGGGACGGTTCGCAGCGTAGACACTGGATCGCCTGTTCAATGCCACCACCGTGGATCGTTGTAGGTTAGTACCGCTGAAGAAGCATCGTCGAGACCGCACCATGCAGCTGTTTCCACATGACTGCGTTTGAGCCGAATGAGCCCGAACAGACATTGCCCGCGGCATGAAGCACCGGGAGCGAAAGCTGGGTATGTGCGGCATAGTTGTGGGTCGATTCTCTGTGGCAGCGATTGTTGCGGCGTGGTGGTACCTCGGCACGGTGCCTTGGGCGCTGCCAGCATTCCGCTGGAGGGGATTGATGCCGCTTGTTCGGCCGGGAGGGCCCATCGCTAGCCCGCTCATGCCCTCCACCATGCTGTTCATGGCGACGGAGGGCTTGAGCGACGGCCGTGTTGGCTGTGATAACCGGGACGTGAAGCTCATGCTGAAGGAAGGATGGTGTCCGGCTGCTGCGAGGGGTCCAGCTTGGTGCCGATGTGCTGTTGGCAAACGAAAGGTGCTGCCAAAAGAACGGTGCTGCCAAAAAGAAAGATGCGGCCGGCAGGTTGTTCTTGGGATGCTCTTGGGCAGGAGCAGGGTGGCCGGCGCCGGGCAGAAACAGCAACCGAGATGGCGGGGCTGTATATGGCCATATTTGGACATTCACGTGACCGCGCAGCTCAACACAGGCCGCCGGCCCGTTCCAGGATCCACGCGCCCGTCCATGTTCCATGGCCCGCACGCCAGCCGATGCTCTCTTTTGCACCCGCCCGGTCGGCAAACGCAGCCAGGAAAGGGACCAGTATCGAGCGCAGTTCGTGTTTCAGCGGATGTGCGAGCTGCGGCTCACACAGCCTGAGCAGCAAGGGCAACCCGGAGAATGTCGTTGCCACCTTTGACTATGAGTGTGTCCTTGACCGGGCCAGTGCGCTCAGGACGGTATTCTATCTCGACCGAGCGGCTCTTTCCGCTCTCAATTTTGAAGCGCCGTTCCTTCAGAATCGTGAAGGGCTTCCCAACCATGACCTCGACGATGATGGTTTTCTTTGTGTTGTTGTTGTGGACCGTGAGGACCTGCGTGGCCGCCTGTCCCAGCGGCGTCGGACCGAGTGCTTCGTAAAAGTCAATCAACTTTGGTGACCGGGCGCCGCTCACCTGGAGCTCAATGTCTCTCCGCTTGGAAGACAGTGCGGTATAGGAGGCGACGGGGGCTGCAGCTCGACTGGGCGCACCCTGACTGGCCACAGCCTTCCGGGGCATTGTCTCTCCGATTGCAGTCGAGGCGATGGCTTTGGGAGCGGCATATGGGGCTTGGTGATCACGCAGCTCAAGACGAGCTTCAAGGTTGGTGCGATGTCGAGCTACCATGTGCGATCGGGTCTTCAGAGGCCTTGTTGCTGCACGGTCCGCAGCTTGGGTCGCCCGGGTTTTGCGAACCTCGCGGATGCCAGGAGGACGAACCTGGCCGCGCAGAGCATTAGCGCGAGTGTGCGTCTTGGAAGCAGCGAGCCCATCTCCCATTTTCGAGACAGCATCGATGGCTCCTGACTTGATTGATCGCTTCAAGACCGAAGCACTCGAGCCCAAGGGGCCCGATACAGATGTCCCGGAGCTTGACATGCTGGTAGGTGTCGGGGTGATCCGTGGCCGAGTGACGTCAATCTCGAACTGAAGGTGGGTCATCCTGGATTGACTGCGGAGCTGGTACTTTTGCGTGTACTTGGCCGCCATCGGCTTTGGCGTAAAGTCGATTGAAATCGCCAGTGTTTCAAAGGCTCCGAGTCGACCGCTGTTCTGGCTATGGCGAAAGACGGTTTCGTCGGCCAGAGCTTGCAGCGGTGCACCGGGTCCTCGGGTCGAGGAGGCGGAGGAATCGGCATATGTTCGTCCTAAACGTTCGAGGCTCCAAGGAACAGGCTTCTCACCCAAGTTGCAAAGCAGCAGGGTGTACTTGGAAGCGTCGTCGTATGAAATGGTTGGAATCTCGACCTTGATGTTCCGAGGCTGACTACCTGATCGGCTTCCCAGTATCACGGCTGTCTGGACAGGGTTTTCGGCGAGCTTGGCCTGAACATGCAGCTGCAGTTCTTGCGTCTGCTGCTGAAGCGTAATTTGTTGTTGTTGCTGCTGCGGTTGCTGTTGCTGCTGCCGCTGGAAGTTTAGCTGCGCCAGCACCTTATTCTTATTCAGAAGAACCTGCTGTGTTGCTACTGGCCGGGCGACTTGCTGTGGCTGATCGCCGTGGGCTTTATAGTTTTGGATGTTTTGGAGAACCTTTCCATTGGACTTCTTGGTCTCTGCTTTGAGCTCTAACTGCTGCTCTGGAGCGGGTCCCTTCGTTCGCGTTGGCGATGACAGCTGGCTTTGGCTTTTGTTTTGGGCTCGAAGTGCTGCTGGGGTCGATGGGAGCTTGCGGAAGCCGATTCCGGGTGAGTTCTACAGCGGCACGAGCGAGAGTGGCGGCGATAGAACAGTAAAACACTGATGGTCAGAATCGTGCAGTTTATAAGCAGCGGCGCTCACTGTCTACGGATTGCGGTTGATTCACTGGGCATCACTCACCAATATGTCCACCTTTCCTTCGGCCTGTTCCATGGTACCGTGGGGATAGGGAAACATCGGTCAGAACACAGTAGACGGATTTGCCTTGTCAGCACAGGCAACTGTACCTTGGGCGTGGGGGCCTCATACTCGGGAATATATCGGCCCCGTGCGTCCCGCTTGGGTGTGAAGAGAAAAGGCTGCAGCGGTCGCGTGTGACCAAAAGTGAGATGGAAAGTGACACTATGGTTAGTGTTCATTGGGGCGCACTGCTGCAGGCACGGAGGGAGTCGCAATTCACCAACTGCTCGATGCCAATATCGAGCCAAGTGCGGAGGAGTAATAGCGACGCTTGTTCACAGTGGATATTTGGGCAGTCGCAGCGCACTCTCCAATCGCATACCCCTTCTGATCGATCGCTCCCATCTAGTCTTCCCAACGGGAACGACTGGGCAGCGAAATATTCATCCATGGGTGGGAATCCAGAGGCCAGCTCTTGTGGAGAGAGTCGTGGCTCGAAGAAATGCGGAATGTTGTCCTGGGCGATCAAGTGCCCTCCGGCGGTTTGCTCTTGGACGGTCGGCTCTTGCGAAACGAGCTCCATGGCAGAGGTCAGGGCAGCCAATGGTGAATCCAATATCACGCCATTCCGCTGATCCGGAGGGGAAGTGAAGCCCACAACGCCTTCACTACTTGCATTGGGGATCATTCCTACGGTGGACGCTGGCATGCAAGTGTCGGAGAGGGATCGCTTTGGAGGTTGTCGAATCTGCGCAAACACGCCGCTTCCCTCCATCAAAACGGGATGGCCGGCTCTGGCGGATTCCGGCTGGGCTTCTGAGGCTTGATTGGCGAGCCCCAGCCCGGCGAAAAGGGCGCCCGCACCTTTACTTTTTGGAGGTGAGAGGAAGAGCTCCATCTCGCCGCCTGGATATGGAGCCGAATCTGCGGAGGGAATATCGATGGCGTTGCTCTCCCCGCTGTTGCTCAAACCGGGCCAATGTAGATGTCCAGTCGCTTGCTCGTCTTTGCGGATACTATCGCCAAGCACTGCCGAATTTCTTGTCAGCTCTTGGGATCGTTTGGCCGCAAGGCGTGGACTGCTGCGAAGGGACTTGCCGCTCTGGAGCTTGCGGACTCGAGGGTGTGTTTCAGCATCATCAGAGCCTTTGGATTCAACCGCTCTTGGGACAGCGGCCACTGGAGCCTGGCTTTGCTTGGCAAGCTCGACCAGTGAGTCGGCAAAGAGGGGCGGGTCCTGTCGGCCGGGCTCAGGAGGTGTGTCCTTGGACAGATGCCGGAAGATGCTGGTCCGCTTGATCGGAGTCATCGATATGCCGGTTGCAGCTTGGTGTGCGATTCTAGACTTGTCGAGCCTCAAGGCGCCAAGTTGGTTTGTGAGATCGGCGCCGGTTAGCGCTGGGGGCGACATCACCGGAATAGACGATTTGCGGAGCAGAGTCTTTTGACTCAATCGCTCGGTTGCTGAATTCGGCGATGGACTGTTTGAGCTTAGAGTCGAACTGGGAGACCGGGAGGTTGCGCCCGGGAACGAGGGCTCGGCCAAACCAGATCGCAACGCTGGCGAAAGAATCGGAATCGAAGACTTGCGGCGAAGCCGAGGGGTCTTTGCTGAGGCCGGGGGCTCGTAGGCGTCTTGGCCGATATCAACAAAAGGCCGGAGCGATGACCCGACTGGCGAAAACAAGCTGCTATTCGGACCACGGGCAGCAAGATCGAGATCAATGGTTGGGGCAGGCAGAGGAGTCTGGACAGAATGGATGCAAAAAGCAGAGGACTTGATCTCCGGAGACCCAACATCGCTGGCCTCATCCAGTATCGATCGCATGTTCATGGGCGACAGGTCGTGTTCCACGAACGACTGGAAATGGTCAAGAGACCACGATGTTTCTATGCATAATCGACATCATGTCGGCGTGAGTGCGATCCGAGAGCGACTGCTTGTTTTCCGACCTACGGGACAAGCCGGCCCAGACAAGAGACACTGTCGCCTCGGGCTATCAACTGGCTCACCTGGATGATCGAGCCAGGCTTCGGTTGGGACCGTATATGATCGATCCATCGAATCTTGCGCATATGGATGAGTCGATGAAAGCAGCTCGACGCTCTCACTCCATGAGAAGATGGATTGGTCTGGTTTGCGCATCGTACGACTATTTGGTGTCGATAGATCTATAAGGCACCAAAAAATAGTGTTCAAAAGAGTCATCGTCAACACTGGCGCCGAGATTCTGCTCTGATACAAGGACGGGTCTGCTTCAGCGAGCCAAGTCTCGACGACGAAAGCGACAACAAGACTGCAAGTCAGATCTGCGGGAATCGGGACGCCATCGGTGGCCGCACGAGGCCCGTGGATTTTATTTACCCGGCAGTGGGGCAAGCTGTGCCAGCCGGGTCCTCACGTTGTCGCTTTCCATCTGTGATGTCGTTGCTGGATCAGGACGACGGTATCGATTCGCGACCGAGGGGCTCAACGGCAGCGGATCAGGCGGCGACCCCAGACAAAGCCGAGACGGATTGTGGTACACGTGGATTCCCAAAACGGGGCATATTGTCGGCCCTGGCGAAAGCGCAAAGGCATCCACGCCGGCACAAGCAGTGCGGACACAGCGATCGCAGGCGCCGCCATGGTTGGGGAGTGGAAGTCACAAGTATATTCCGAGTCCAGAAAAACTAACCATCGGCCTCAAAACGGGTGTCCATTTTGCTTTGTGAATGCCGTTACAGCCGCATTCAGCAAAGTCATGTCGATGTGGATCCGGATATCACTCAGCGGAAGCTCGAGAAAGACGCGCTGCGGGGACGAGAGTATGTCCGTTCGGCATTGCCAATGATCGATCAGAGAGAGCAAACGGATGGTTTAGATACAACACATTGCGGTCCAATATAACTCGCTGATGCACACTGCACATCAAGCCACTGACCCTTTGAAACGCGACTGGCCGTCGGAGGGCTGACTGGATTCAGATGCCGGGCTGCCAAAGATACCTTGGCCGGGAGGGGCGAGCTGAGCAAATCCCGAGGTGCTATGCGACAGAAGCCCAGGTATCCGATTAGTCAACATTGCAGGGTGACAGTGCATCGAAACGCGGCACTGCTGCATGTCGCGGGCGTCGTGCATCGGACATACCTTGGGCCTGAGGCGAATGAAGGTATCGCACCTGAAGGCGAGATACTACACAACACGGAAACGCTCGTTAGCCAGAGATAGTCACGGCGATTTGTATCGGAGCCGCCTGGGGGGGGGTGGACAGCATCTCACCTGGCAAACGAGGTGCTGCTCGTCTCAGAGGCTGCATTTGACTGGCCAAAGACGCGGCTTGAGTCACTGGCGCCGGTTGTAGCGAAAGGAGCCGCTTTGTTAGCTGTTGCGAGCCATGTCGGTGGAATATGGCGCGGATCGCGAGTGTCAGCTCGTCCATCGAGCTTCTTACCCTCCGAATCTTGGGGCATTTGCCGGCTGAGAGCTTGCTACACCTCCAAAGGCGCTAACGCCGGCAACTTGGCCAAACGCGGGTGCCGCAGGAGCCGAGGCTTGGCCAAATTTAGGCGCCGAAGGCATCGAGGCCTGGCCAAATGCTGGAATCCCACCCGATGCGGATCCCGCGCCACCAAAGACAGATGGCATGGGTGATGGCTGGCCAAATGCAGTTGATGGCCTAGTGGCAAACGACTCAAAGGAAGTCGGTGCAGGGATTGATGGCTTGGAGAACGCTGGGCCTGCACCAAACGCAGTCTGTCTGGCGGTGGCGTTCGGGTTGGCGAAAGTCGCAACTCCAAAGGCAGGGCTTGTGTGGTGGTGTCAAGTCGATGGGCACGACAGAATTGAACAGAGTCAGAAAGCGAATGATCCCATCGTGGATCGCCGAATCGACTCTCACCTGTTGCCGCTGTCGGAGGCCCCAAAGGTCCCAAACACCGGACCAGAGACTGGAGGTGACCTGGGGTTGGCTGCGCCGAAGCGACTCGCGGCTAGCGATGTGCTTCCGAGTGACTGAGACTGGAAAAATCCTGGAGAGGAAGCATAGTTTAGCGATGATTCCGACAGCAAGCCGTTGCCAACTGTGGAGAGTCGTACCTGACGATGTGATTGTTTCATCAAGATTGCCGGACGGGGTGTTCTCATCCTTATCGTCCTGGTCAATATCCGAGAATCGATCGTACTCATCACTGATGTCGCCATCATCGGACATGGACTCCCCACGGAACGACGAAACGTTGCTGACATGGACCGGAGAGCTTCCAAGACTTGAGGGTGCTATACGATTGGAGGACGTCAGTACAAATCAGTGGAGGAATGTTCGCAGAGAGCATCGCGGCCATTACCGTTCGCTTTTTGCTTGCCATCCAGTCCGAATCCGGTAGACGGGGCGCTGGCGAAGCTCAAGCTGCCAGATGCAGATGGGGAGGAGGCAAAGTTGAGCGAGGCATTGGGCAGCCGCAGTGATCCGGATGCACTTGCAGACGCAAATCCGGAGGCGCCGAACTTGACATCGGGGGCGCTAGCAATTGGCTTGGCAACCGATTCGTCTGTTTTGGTTGGAGATGCGCCATCAAGCTTGGTGGTGGATTGAGAAGGGACAGGATTTGTCTTGGAGCTGTCCTCAGAAGGCTTGCTCGTTGAGGCCGATGCAGGAATCGAAGGGACGCCACCAAAGCTGAACCCGGCAGTAGCGGCCGTGGAGGTTGAGACCCCGGAGGCCCCGCCAGTGCCAAATCCAAAGCCACCGGCTGCATTGAATATGCTGCTGCTGCTGCTGCTGGAGCCAAACCCTCCATTGGCCCCAAATGCACTCGATCCAAATCCGCTGCTGGACGATCCACCAGCCGCTGCACCAAAGGAGAACGCAGGGGCCGGCTTCTTGGCGGAGCTGTTCTCATCCGAGCCATTCACACTTGCAGAACCAGATGGGTTTGGTGCCTCACAGGCGGCACACTTGACCTTGTCCTTGGTGTTTGTGATATCGCACACAGGACACTTCCACGAGCCTTCGGCAGGCTTGGGCATCGAGAATCCGACAGCTGCAAAGTCGAATGCGGGCTTAGGTTGAGGGGAGCTGCTCTTCTGTTCAGAGCCGTTCGCACTTGCAGAACCAGATGGGTTTGGTGCCTCACAGGCGGCACACTTGACCTTGTCCTTGGTGTTTGTGATATCGCACACAGGGCACTTCCACGAGCCTTCGGCAGGTTTGGGCATCGAGAATCCGACAGCCGCAAAGTCGAATGCGGGCTTAGGTTGAGGGGAGCTGCTCTTCTGTTCAGAGCCGTTCGCACTTGCAGAACCAGATGGGTTTGGTGCCTCACAGGCGGCACACTTGACCTTGTCCTTGGTGTTTGTGATATCGCACACAGGACATTTCCACGAGCCTTCGGCAGGTTTGGGCATCGAGAATCCAACAGCTGCAAAGTCGAACGCGGGCTTGGGTTGAGGAGAGCTGCTCGTCCTGATCTCAATCTCGGAGATGTTATCCGGATCCTTCTGAGAACCCTCATCGGAATCCGTATCATCTTCATGCTCTGATATGCCGTAGGACTCGTCCTCGGAATCTTGGCCAACATCATCATAGTCTTCAGATCCATCGAGATCATCTTCGGAGACATCCTCGTCGCTGGCAGAAACATCAGACAGGCCCTTGGAGTTGTCAGTCGTTGTATCCGCTGAGGCCGATGCAGGAATCGAAGGGACGCCACCAAAGCTGAACCCGGCAGTAGCGGCCGTGGAGGTTGAGACCCCGGAGGCCCCGCCAGTGCCAAATCCAAAGCCACCGGCTGCATTGAATATGCTGCTGCTGCTGCTGCTGGAGCCAAACCCTCCATTGGCCCCAAATGCACTCGATCCAAATCCGCTGCTGGACGATCCACCAGCCGCTGCACCAAAGGAGAACGCAGGGGCCGGCTTCTTGGCGGAGCTGTTCTCATCCGAGCCATTCACACTTGCAGAACCAGATGGGTTTGGTGCCTCACAGGCGGCACACTTGACCTTGTCCTTGGTGTTTGTGATATCGCACACAGGACACTTCCACGAGCCTTCGGCAGGTTTGGGCATCGAGAATCCGACAGCTGCAAAGTCGAATGCGGGCTTGGATGCGGCGGGTGCCTTTTGTGCTCCTTCCACTGGTTTTGGAGCGGCAAACTCGACGACAGAGAAGCCAAAGATCAGCTTGGGGGGCTCGGTGTCGGCCTTTGCAGACACTTTGCCGGATGCGTCCTGGACCTTTTGGTCGGCCTGGTCACCCGAATCTGCCTGTGGTTTGTCGGTGGTGGCCGCTTCATCGGCGGGGGCACTCGGCAACGCGCCAAACTTGAAGGGTGTGGCCACGGGTGACTGTTCTGAGGGAGTTTGAGTCGCTCGCGCCACGAATGTTGCAAAGCCCGGGGCCGGAGGCGGGGGAGCCGCTTTGCTACCACTTTCGGGAGTAGAGGGGCAGGCCAAGTGCTCCGGCGAAGTGGTGGCACACATGCATTGGCGGCTACACATGGGACAATGCCACGAGGATGCGTCGTCTGTGTCATCAAATTTGACAGGAGATGACACTGCATCATCCGCAGTGGTAGGCGATGTCGAAGCATCGACTGCTATGGGCTTGGCCAAACTCTGTAGCGACAACTGCTGCTGCTGTTGCTGCTCCTCGAGCGCCTTTTTCTCGGAGCTTGATTTGTTGGCAGCGGCGACGATCGCGTTGATGTGGCCACGCAGGCCGAACCGCGGCTTGAACTCAATCGTCCTTGCGACCACTCGCTCTTGATGCGCATGGTCGTTCAGTCGACTCTGCAGATCACGGCGGGCCTGGATGTTCTTCTGGAGAGCTTCGACGGCCTCGCTGCGGTTGGGGCTGAGACTGGGCATCTCGTAGTCAATGTCATCAAGCAAACCGTATCGACCGCTGTGATGGGCAGCGCCGAGCGAGTCTAGATCAGGTCTAGAGGCGCAGAGCTCCGCCATTCGCTTGCTAAGGTAGTCCACATCGCCAGCCACGGTTCCGGCTTTTGTGCGAGTATAGTAGGCAACGCGATAGGCCTGTTCAAAAGTATTGGGCCTGATGGGAGGGATGGCTGAGTCAGACTCTCGGCAGCGATATGCAACTGGACGGAAGCTTGACTTGGACGGCCAGTATAAGCTACCTGGAGTGATTGGCCGAGAACCGGTCGATGGCGACATGCTCCTGAAGTTGCTGAAGCTGGGCGCGAATGGACTGAAATGAAATAGATCAGTTGATGCGCATCAGGACATATATTTGAAGACAGCAAGGCCTGCAAACAGGTAGGACTTACACTCTCTTTTCGCTCAAGATGTTTCTTTTGAGACAGAGTCTCGGCGCCAAGTCCTCTGGCAATCACTTGCTGTTCGGATTGATCGGCAGACTCAAGGAGGGTCTCGAATTGGCGTTCATAGGCCCGCGCTGCTCACCGTATCAAATTGACATGGAGAAAACAGAAGGCGCGGATGGTAAACAACAATGACAGAACCGACTTGACCAATGAGCCCGACAAGTGCCTGGGAACAGGGCCGCATATTTAGTACCTGAGGCAGTGAGGTTGGCTGGATTGAGGCATCTGTCCTTCAAATCAAGAGTTGAGCTGGTGTCGCGCTCATCAAACCTTCGTTTGAGCTCGAGCACTCGCGCTTGAAGGTCCTCCACTTGGGCAACAGACGGCGCTTGGTCAAGCTGTGAGCCAACGCGACGGTATTCGTCTTTGAGCTGAAAGCATGGGGAAGTTGGCACAAACATCGTCAGTGTCCAAGTATAAAACAAAGCTGCTGTTGCTATCGCAATGTACCTTCTGTAGAGTTTCGTTGTATTTTTGCTCGATGGCAAGAAAAGCCTCGACGTGGGTCTGGACAGTGGAGACGCTGTTAGATTGGAGTTGTTGTGTTATGATGGCCTCTAAATCACATACCTTTTGCTTCTCTGAGAGCGGAGCTGTGTCGGCAGCTCTACGAGGAGGGGATGCAGGCGGCAAGTTTGAGAGGGCGGGGGCCGAAATCTTGACAGGTTTGGATTGATCATTGGTGGCACTTGGCCCTGTGGTGAGTGCACTGCCGATTGGACTGACGGGAGCCTTAGATGGGATGGCGTCTCTTGTGGGAGGGGTAGCCGCAGCGGCAAACGACGAATCTTTAGGTCCGTTCGATTGTTTGATGGGTGTTGAAGGTTCGCCCGAGATTGGTCGGAGATTCGATCCAGTGGTTGGGCTAGCAGCCGATTGGGTTGCGGCAGTCAACTTGGTACCCAACTTGGAGGCTCCTGCAGGAGTGGAAGTTGAACCGAAGGTGGGAGCAGCTGCAGGAGTGGAAGTTGAGCCGAATGCAGCTGAACCATTCTTGACAGAGGCCGAGCCAAAGGTGGGAGCAGCTGCAGGTGTGGAAGTTGAACCGAAGGTGGGGGCTGCTGCGGGACTAGCGGCTGAGCCAAAGGAGAATGCAGGCGCAGGAGTAGCGGCTGAGCCGAGTGCAGAGAACCCATTCTTGACAGAGGCCGAGCCAAAGGTGGGAGCAGCTGCAGGTGTGGAAGTTGAGCCAAATGCAGCTGAACCATTCTTGACAGAGGCCGAGCCAAAGGTGGGAGCTGCTGCAGGTGTGGAAGTTGAACCGAAGGTGGGGGCTGCTGCGGGACTAGCGGCTGAGCCAAAGGAGAATGCAGGCGCAGGAGTAGAGGCTGAGCCGAGTGCAGAGAACCCATTCTTGACGGCGACTGAGGCAACGGCTTGGTTGGATAAAGAGCTCTTGGGCAGCGCAATCGGTTTCTTCATATGCCCATAAGCAACCCCATCCTTTCGAATGCAATAGTAGCCACGAATGGTGCCATTGCTGAACATGATGTATAGGACTGGCGACGCTGGAAGGGGTGGCTCATGGGGATTATCGTTTGGAACTTCATCAGTCGAGGTCAAATCGATGGCTGCGCCTATGGGCCAGACCTCCATGCCATCGGATCCAAATGGGTAGGAAATTGAGCTACCGTCGAGGGCCCAGCCGTTCCAAAGCGAATCGTTGCCCTGGCCAAAGTAAGCGCCGTCGCAGGCACCGGTATTGAGAGCGATCATAAAGTGCTGGGCCTCTTGATCCCTGGTGTGATAAGTTTGTTGACATGGTGAACAGATGGTGGAGCGGTCAGCGGGGGAACAGGCACCGCTTGGCGGGAAGGGCGGAGCCACAGATGAGCAAGTAATGCCAAGCTAGGGACCACGTAGTATCGGGGGGGGGAGATCGTACCAGTTCCGAATAAGCGGCAAAAAGCAGCGGCCCTTGAGAGTATTCATGCTCGGGCAGGGAAAGTCCAGGGGACGGTAGTCAAATTTGTCATCGTCTTTCTTGGTCAAAATAACGAAGGATTCGGTGTCGACTACGGCGTCAGGGTCGCTGCGATCGACAGGAGTCGCATAGAGGACTCCCAAGGACTTTTGCGTGATCCAGATGACTTCTTGGACTGATTGCGCATGAGGATGGTTAACATACCATGTCGGCTGACAGAGATCCCACACGTTCGCTGTGGCAGTGGACGCTGCGGTGCGCCGTGCCCAGGGCTCAGAGTCGAGACATACCTTGGCAGTCGCATGGCGAAACGGGAGGAGGGATGGTTTTCTTGACGGCACCGTCGGAGGCGCAAGTTATAAGGTTGCCCTCCGAGGTTCCCACGACAAGACTCTTGCCCTGTGGGCTCCAGCACACTGAGCACAGATGGTCGAGTAGAGTGGTGAGCAAGTGCTGTGTAGACAGTACACCATCACTGGAGAGACGCATGCGTCGATGACGAGCAGGCTTACAGGACGTAGCAGTCGCATTGATTGCGAGCTTGGAGGCGGTCTTGGTGGGAGAAGCGTAGTCGACGAGACGGACGTGGCCGGACTGGGTCAGGACAGCCAGGGTACTCTTCAAGGCGCCGGGGTTGACACGCAGATCCGTGATAAGGTCATCCTTATCCAGGGCAATCTTCCACAAGGGCTGGACACTTGCGGGGCCCTAGAGACATTCGTATGCAGAAGGTACGGTCGAGTAAATATAGGCACGACGTCGGAGGATGATATCGATCAGTGCAGGCAGGCAGGCAAGCAATCGATGGAGGCGGTAGCAGATGACGCGAGTATGGGGGAGGGTGCTCAGAAGCTGACGACGTGCATATGCTCCAAGAGGCTCGCCCTGAATGCGGCGCAGGTGCCGGCTGATATTCGGCAGGTGCAGCCCCGAAAACACTTACGTCAAGGATCGCCGAGGCAGAGTACCCGCGAATGGCGCCGGCGGTGTCTGCAGTGATCACAGTTTCCTCGTCGACACTGAGAGCAATATGGAGGATACGGTCGTCATGATCGACGGACTTGATGATTGAGGCGGCGATTGGCGTGTCCTGGTTTTTGGCGCCATTTTTGAGGGCGGCGAGGAGATCGGCCGTCTGAACGAGGCCAAAGCCTTTCGTGGTTCATGTGAATCACAGGCGGAGTCCATAGAGGGTGCAGAGGGGACGGGCGAGTCAGCGAGGTATTACTGGAGCACAGCGAGCGACAGAGGCATTGAATAGCGCCAGACAGCCGACTCAGAGCCGTGGGTACGCTGAAAACCCACCTTTTGCGGTTCGAAAGGCAGAGAACCCATAGAGCTGGGAAGCAACAAAGAGCGATACATATTCGGGCTGCTCGTCGAGCGGAGACGGAAGAGAGAGGCTACCGCCGACGTTGGGTGGCCTAAGGACGAGCCACTGTGGAGAAATGCAATCAATTCACAGGGCACCCTCGGTTTTCTCAGACAACCATAGCCGACAGGACAAAAAGCGTATTCTGGTAACGGCACGAGCGACAGGAACGCTGCACCCGGCTGGGGACGCTTGGGCGGGCGGCCCCGGGACTCCATGGCTTCAAACTAGTGCACTGCATCGAACAAAGAGCCTGGCGAGCCTACCTCGACGTCGGTTGCATATGCTGAATCGGCAAAGTCTTGCATATCGATGGTGGAGATCAGCAAGCGGGAGCAAAGACACCAGACAAGACGAAACAAACAGAACGCCGACGACCGAAAACCGCGGCCCCGGATCCAGCCAGGCGTGCGACACGGATCCAGCCATAGAGCCAGCCACTCAGCGGCGGCCAAGCGATCGCCCGCTTCGCTTGGTCCCGCCCTTCTCCTCCATCAGCACCCGGCACCGACACCGGCACCCAGCCTTCGAGTCAGCCAGCCAGTCCATCTGCCTGTCTGCAGCATGTCGAACTTGCGCAAGAGAACCGTTGCCAACCCAGACGAGGGATCGGCCGTGAGCACCCTGATCGAGTCGTTCAAGGGCCTGGATGCCTACGCCAAGCCCCTGGACGACTTCAAGGTCAAGACGAGTTCGGGCGCATCCATCACCCTGGTCTCGGCCTTCTTCATTGTGCTGCTGCTCATTTCGGAGTTTGTCGACTGGCGCTCGGTCAAGCTCCAGCCCCACATCGACGTCGACAAAGCTCGGAACGAAAAGATGACCATCAACATGAACATCACCTTTCCGCACATCCCTTGCTTTCGTGAGTTGCTGCATGCTCTGTCGAGCGTCGTTCCCCCGCAGTCTATCGGCGCTCCCTCCATTCCGCACACATGCCTGGCTGTTCGAGCGCAGATCTAAAGACGACGGCGCCTACAAAGCCTTCAAAGCCTTGCTGAGCGGGTCGGCCTGAGCGCTGCGGCCGGGGCAGCGACCGAGGCAGCGGCCGCCCCATCCAGCATCCAAACAAGATTTAGGCGCGGCAAGCTGACACTTCCTTCGCTCGATTCCTTGCGACCAACTAGTGCTGAGTCTCGATGTCATGGATATTGCGGGAGAGCACCAGAACGACGTCTCGCACAACGTCTACAAGGTGCGCTTGTCCCCAGATGGAAGCGTCATCAACAAATCGAAAGGAGGTTCGTCATCACCGATCGCGGCTGTGTTCCCTAGCCTCATGGACCAACAGGTCCCAATGGACGATCGGGGTGTCCAAGTGCGGATATCTAGAGAGAGTGCTGCGTTCTTGATCATCCAAGGTGTTTTTGGTTATGGACAGCGAGAGACGACGTTCCTCTGCTGGGGCGTTGGATGTGGAACACGTAGATAGTGGCCTTTTCTCGCTCGGATATCCGCTGCTGCGTGAAGATTGCCGACTACAGGCGAATCGTCTCGGCGTGAGGCAGCTAGAAGTCTCTGCGCGAGCATTCTGCCCTCGGGGTTCCCGCAAGGTCCAACCCGCCGATATGTCTCCGCTAACACAGATACCGCGCTGACGATCGACAGTGGTGGGCGAGCACGATGGTGGCAACCCTGCGCCCAAGGACCCGAACTATTGTGGAAGCTGCTACGGCGGCATTGCAGACAACGAGAAGGGCTGCTGCAACACTTGCGACGACGTGCGACGGGCCTACGAGGCCCGAGGCTGGACCCTGAGCAATCCCGACGCAATCGAGCAGGTAATGAGTGCCCGTGAGCGTCGAGCGTCGAGCGTCGTGGGCAGGAGCGAGCGGGGATCGGCAAGTGGCTTTCTGGGGCCAAGACAGCTTGGTCACATCGTAAGATACGGGCTGTATCAAAGTGCACCGGGAGGCACAGACAGTTGCGAGACACTCTACCGTACCAGGCCTAGCTGCTCATGTCCGCGTCCCATCTGCATCAACCCTGCAATGACTATTGCTCTGGTGTCCACGGATGCGATTCCAATGCGCCGGGATATGTGTCGCTCTACTGCGTCGAAACGTACCTTGTACGTCTCTCGAAATCCACTGCTCCGGACGGCGCTGCTGTCGCTGCAGTGTGTCAACGAGCATTACTCGGAAAAGATCAAGGAGCAGTCCATCGAGGGATGCAACGTCCACGGCCATATCGAGGTCAACAAAGTCCCTGGAAACGTGCACTTTGCCCCGGGCCGTCCCCTGACACAGGCCCGGATGCACGTTCACGACTTGAGCCAGTACTCTGTCAACGAGAACTTCAACTTTGGACACATTATCCACTCGCTGTCGTTCGGAGAAGAGATCCACTACCTCAAGAACCCCCTGGACAACACCTCCAAGCTGGTGTCGCACAGTACGTCTTTCGCCAGAGGCGCGTGTGTGGGCTGCATGTCTCCGTTGGAGGTTGCGGGCGTTGTCATGGTGGAGTAACATACAGCTGATTGTCTTGCCGAATGTCTGCTTGCTGGTCTTGTCGGATGTCTGATTGCTGGTCTTGTCTCGCTCCAGGCCACTACACTTTCCAGTACTTTGTCAAGGTTGTCAGCACCAAGTTTGAGCTCAAGAATGGCTCCAAGATCGCCACAAACCAGTTTTCGATCACCGAAAACGATATGGACACCACCGCCAAGGCTGGCATGCCTCAGCAGGGCTATCTCCCCGGTATGTGACGCTGTTTGGGAGACAGGAGTGTGGACTGTGGCCAACGTCCGCAACATGGAAATTGACAAGATGGCTGCATCAGGGGGCGCGTGGTCGCAGTGCGTGCGCTGGGTGATGTATGTGGGCAGCCACTGCGGCTTGAACGAAGCCGGGCAATGATCGGACGGTCTTCCACCACCCCTCACCTCCCACGTGCTCGGCATCGCCCGCGGTTTGTGGTTCTCGGTGGATGGATTGATGGATGGCGGAAACGTGTGTCTGGGATCATCATGACTCTGACTCCGACTCTGACTCTGACTCTGACACGGCACTCGGCCCGGTCTTGACGACTCACTGACCCCGGCCCCTCCGCATTTGCAGGCGTCTTCTTCAACTACGACATCTCGCCAATGCTGATCACCTATGTCGAGTACCAAAAGCCATTTGCACACTTCCTGACGGACGTGTGCGCGATCGTCGGCGGAATCTTCACCGTCGCCGGCATCGTCGACTCGTTTGTCTACAAGGCAGAAAAATCGTTCAAGCGCAAGGTCGAGCTGGGCAAGGGCTCGTAAACCCTCAGAACGGAGCGGAAGAGCAGAAAACAAAAGCAGAGAAAGGAAGGGGGGGGACAGAGATCCAGAGCCAAACTGAATGCCCAATGGCTAAACGAAAGGAGTGGGAGGAAATGCATACACTTTTTTGTTGTTGTGGGTCCCACACGGCAGCAACACCCATGTTGCTGTCCAGGATCGCACAGCCCCCATAGAGCGTGGCAGCTTGCATCAGAAGAATACACTATATTCAGAAAAAATGTGACACCGCACCCACTCCCACGAACGTGCAGTATGTGACGAGCTTGCGTCTGATGGAGGCATATGAGATTCAACAGATCACTTCCGAGTGAAGACACCGGTCGCTCTCCGGTCTCCACAGTCGACCTGCACTGCCCCAAAGTATCGAGCAAACCGCTGCCTCCGAGGGCTGGCTGCAAAACCCTTGCCTTGCCGCCATGGCGCATTGCTGGAAGCGATGACCACATCATTCCCCTCAGGCGTGCTTCAGGGTGGCAGTGGGGAGACATCCAGTTTGATCTGGATGCTGGGGGGGCTGTATCGGTGAAAGTGCATCGGTCGGTGTCGTTCCACGGACTCATCGCCTCGGCTGTTATTTGCTCTAGATATGCAGCGCCCCAGTTGGATTCGCCAGGCAGCTCTCTTGTCGGATAGGTGCTTTGGTTGTTCGGTCGGCTCTCTCAGCCGCAGTGCGGGGCTTCGTTCCCTGAGCATGTTACATGCTTCCAACGAACCTCACACGATATGGTATCGGTGCCATCGAGTTTTTGATATGACACCAATGCAAAGTCACCAAAGGGATATAAGCCATTGTTTGCATCTCGAATGGCTTGATGATCAACCAGCTGGGATGGCAGAAGCTGCAGTGGAACAAAAAACCCCACTATTATCGTACACCCAAGAAAGGAAAGGCAATGCCGCTCCAACTCCCTCCACCTCCCAGTGCAGCAACCAAAGCGATAGCACAAACTCGGGCATTCATAGAATTCACACTATATTTAAAAGACTAGGTGCCGGCTAGCCTGAAAGAGCAGACTAGGGTACAAGGCCATATTCACAACCAACGGTTTAAGGACGGGATAGAATAGCACAGCAAGTCAAGGTCAGAGGATAGGGAAGGGAGGTGTGGGTGGCAGAGGGGCAGTTATCGAGCTGTCGCTCTGGAGGGGATTCGAAACTGTAAGTTGAGGGAAAGAGAGCAGGAGGCATGTCATACACTCGCATCTTGGGCATTCAGCGCACTTTGAGCCCCGGGCATCTGGGATCAAGAAACAGGCATCTCAACCAGTGAGCCTGATTGATGCCAGGTAATGGGGGAAAGACGGATGGCCGCGGCAAGCGAGCTTGAAGCGGGGCCGCTTAGATGCAGACGTAGGAGCCGGGAGAGCACTTGGTGCCCGAGGGGCAGACGGTGAGCTGGATCCAGGTGTTGACACAGACAAGGACGTCGTTCTGGTCACCGCAAGCGTACTGGCCAAAGGTGGGGCAGGCGTTGCCACTGTGGGGCATGGAAGTCGAAGTAGGAGAGGCAGCAGTGGTGGTCTTGGTAGTGGTGGTCTTGATGGGAGTGGTGGTGGTGCTCTTGCCAGTAGTGGTCTTGGTGGTGGTGGTCTTGGACGAGGTGGGAGGAGGGGGAGGAGGAGGAGAGCCAGAGGGGAGGTAGCAGGCGTTGTGGGCGTTGGACCACAGCTTCTGGACGACATAGGAGTTGCCATCGGTGCCAATGACACTGCCCTGCTGAGCGTTGCAAATATCGCCGATCTCACCGTTGGCAGAGTTGTACCAAGCAAGAGGGGCGCCAAGAGTGCTGCCAGTGGCGACACCGACAGCGGCATCGGTGATGGTCTCGGCAAGCTCGTGGGACGAGACGGACTGGAGGTTGTTGATGGTGGAGGGGTTGCTACCGCAGCCGCCGGCGCAGGCACCACCCTGATCGGGGAGGACACCGTAGTAGAGGTACTGGGTGGAGCTGATGTCGGAGATGTCGATGGTGCCGTGGTAGGCACAGAACTGGACACAGGACGAGTCGGAGCCCATGGAGATGGAGTATCCGGGAGCAAAGTGGATGGGGAAGTAGGTGTTGGCGGTGGGCTTGATGGAGCCGCTCTGGACGAGGCTGCGGAGCCAGGTCTGATGCGTGGGATGGCGCGATTACCATCCAATTCAATGGCAAACCGGGAAAGAATGGGGGGGGGTAGATAGAGAAGCAGAGTCAGAAAGGCGGGTCTGAGAGAACTCACCGGCGCGCAACGATCCACGACGCGCCATAATCGAGTGCCACGAGTCTGGATGCACTTTGGGGAGACATGAAGGAGCGGGGCTATGGCAGAGCGAAGGGCAGCGCAAAATAGTGGAGAATATCATGAAACAGAGGCGACATACCTGGATGGCAGTATCGGTGGTGGAGGTGCTGAGACCCGAGCTCTTGGAGATGGAGCCGCCAAAGGAGCCAGCGCCAATGTTCTGGGTGGGGGTGTCATACTCGGAGAGCATGCTGATGTAGGTGGAGCCGGCGATAGCGCTGTAGAAGGTGTCGATCTGGCTCTGGTAGTTGACGCTGCCACCGTAGTAGATGGGGTTGATCTGGACGTTGGAGACGACCGGGCCACCATAGTAGGTCAGGGTGTTGGAGGAGGCAGCGGCGCTGTCAACCTTGGGGGCGGGGAAGATGCCATCCTTGTAGTGGACACCCTTCTGGCGAACGGCACCGACGTTGGCGTTGCGGTTGCCGTTGCGGGGACCAGCAGCGACAGCACTGGCAAGGGCCAGAACAGCGACAGCAGACTTGACAAGCATTTTGAGATGGGGAGTAGAAGGAGAGAAGGAGAGAGAGAGAGAGAGGATGAGGCGAAGGCGGGAGGAGTGTCCGGAGGCGTTGGCTGGAAGACCTTGGGTGAGGAGCTCTGGGAAACGGGCGCTCGCCCGGGTATTTATCTGCCAGCGACGGGGCTGGCACCGAGGCGGCACGCAGGTTGTGGATGGCCAGGGCAGAGCGCCTACCAGCCCCAGCAAACGATTCCCATGGGCGCCTCCAGCTGCGCGGCTGGTCGGGACCTGTCACCAAGTCATGCGGACGGCAAATGAACCGGCGGCCCACCGGGCGCGCCTGGGCTTGAGACAAGAGAAGGACAAGTCGAAGGATGTGGAGTGGAGGAGGCACGGAAGAGCAAGCGCTTGTTGGCCGGAGAGGTCAGCGGGGGGGCACGACGGACCTGTGGAAGGCTCGTTGGAGGGGGCTGCTGGGATGGCCGATGGGGGAATGGACGGGGCCGCAAATGCGGATGGACAAGGCCGGGAGGCACTGGACGGATCCACAAGGGATGGAGCCGAGGCCGAGCATCGATCAAAAGATCTGCTCAGGAATAGACAAGGTGCGGATGAAGGCATGGCGGACATGGAGGACCACACGACGGAGCAGAAATCGACGACGCGGCGCGGATCCGAGGGCTGCGGGGGCACATGGGCAGGACGAGGGCGGTCACCGGACGTTCTTGTTCTTGTTCTTGGAAAAAGGGTAAAGGGTCGCGGTGGTGGGGGGAAATGACCGGTCATCGCGCAGTGGAATAGAACGGAATGACAGGAATAGAACGGGGACAAAGAGTCTGTGTCGACGATTGACAATAGTTCGTAGTTGCCGCCGACGGCCAGCGATGCGATGGCAACCGCTGGGGTGAAGCTTTGTGCGAAAGCGGCAGTGGACAAGATTCAAGTAACAATCAAACAACACTCACCTAACAATCAAGTAACACTCAATGACACTCACGTAACAATCAAGTAACAATCAAACAGCACTCACGTAACACCCACGTAACAATCAATGACACTCACCCAGCGCCGAAGCGAGCGCGCGCGGTGGCTCTGGCAGGAATCGTGGGGGGTGACGGGCAGGCGAATGTGACCTCGGCGAACAAGGCTGCGATCCGCCGTGCGATCCGCCGTGCGACTGCCGCCATGGGCGCTGCCCGAGATCATTCCGTTTCCACCCAGTCCCCGCCCCGTTCCCAACCCCGTTCCCACCCACGGCGTTCGTTCCCACCCGCATCTTGTCTGTTTCCACCCGCATCCGCTGCGTCGCTCTTGGACTCTGTGTCGGCAGGCCGGGCCGCTCGGCCGCATCCGTTCCATCTGCACCTGGCCCGGTCCATCCCCACCGTCTCGTCGACCATCCTTGCGTCGGCGAGCAGAAGGAACGGACTGACCCCTCTGGCTCCGTCGCTGTGCTCGTCTGCCGCGCACACGGCCCCTCACATGGTCTCGCCAACACATGAGAAAGCGCCACCGCACTGGCGCACACAGGCATGTGAGCCCTCGCCTTGAGGGCCCCTGTTGCTCGTGCGCCTTCTGGTGGGCGGCTCGGCAGCGAACCCACACCAATCAGGCACCCTGGCAGCAGCTCAGCAAGCGCCCAGCAAGCGCCCAGCAAGTGCCCAGCAAGTGCCCCATGTGCTCCGCCTTGCGTCTTGGGGGTGCATCTTGGTCGTGGGATCCCGCGAATCGAGCGCATCTTGGAGGCTGCCACTGCTGTCCGTGTCGTCGCTGCTGTCCAGTATCACCGCCGGTATTGATCTGGGTGGCGGCAGGGTCATGCGCTTTCCTTTCGCAATGGTGTCGCACCGCCTCCACAACCGAAAGATCTCCACCGAGTGCATGGGGCGCTGTTCGTTCGTTCGCAGATCCCCAGCTCGATCAGCAGGACTGACCATGCGCGGCAAATGAAACGAGATGCGCTGGGTTCAAGGCCGACGGCGCCTGGCATCTGCGTCTCTGGGTGAACATGCCTGCCCCACACATCCGCCTCGACCACCGGCGCTTGGCTGTCGAACGGGTAATGAGCTGGCTGCCGAGAGTCCTCTCCTTAGGAACATCCGATTGAGTCCAAGGGAGAGGTGGATTTGCCTCTGGACCCGCAGCCCCACCAGTCATTCAGCGAGTGCCTCCAAGCCATCCAGCAGAGCCTGTTCTCACCATCCACAAGCCTCTCGCCAGCATCGATCTGCTTTCCACTACCCAGGAGTAACAATGGTGGCGATGAATAATCCCCAGATGTATTCGCAGCCTACTCGCTCGTTGCAGTTGTCAGACGGCCATGCCGAAGCACCCATTTATTGGTCCTCCGTTAGTACGGACTGTCGCCGAGCGGCTGGTTCAGCATCTGCCTTCGCTCCTGCAACTCCCGCAACTCATCCGCTCCTCTCCGACAACGGTAAGTAAAAGTTGCAGTCGAGGCCGGCCCTGAGTCGGTCTTCTTGGTTGAACGGGGGCTTCAGCGGGCCCCTGAAGTGGTCTCTGACGATCCCATGAAATGTCTCGTACCGGTCGACGCCCTGTAGAGCCGTGATCCAGGTGAACCAGCGCTGCCCGCAAGCTACGTGGGTGATCTCGTCCTTCGAAGCACAAATCGCATCATTAAAACCTCTGGGAGGACACCGGAGCCCATGAAGCGCAAGTTGGATTGTATCGAATGGCTGCACCTGAGGGTTGTGTCGACAAGCTCGGCACGAATGACTGCATCGCAAGAAGCCTCTCTCACCTGGTGGATAATCTCCAGCTTCTCGACCGACTGGGAATCGCCCGCTTTGGCAAACTTGGAGATGGTTTGGGGATTGACGTCCAGACCACGGGCCTCGTGAACCCTGTGCAAGTTGAGGCGACATTAGTCGCTTAGTGACAGGAGTCAGTGTTTGCCAAAGCAGGCGATGGTGTGCCTGCCATATGGTTCATTCGCCGCCCTGCTCTCGCAAAACAAACCAACGAACAAGACCGTGGTGGCCACTGCTCCAACCAGGAGGCAGACGCCATCGTCGATCGCGATAGTTCCTATCAACCATACATGTGCACAATCGCCAGTCGGTTCAGAAGGAGATCGCTGGTTTCCAGGGCAGACTCCCAGAGGCCAGCATGGACGGCCAGGTCTCCAAACTTGACACCGAGGGCTTCCAGGCGATCTTGCAAGAACCCAAAATGCTTGGCTTCTTCGCCAGCGACTCGAACAAAGTCCGTGAAAAACTCGCGTGGCAGCGTATGCACTCGCCCGGTGGAGTCTACGACGCTCGTTGACGAAAAGCGTGCGATGATGTCCCAGGCGAGGTCGATGGCCCATTGCTCAATGTTGGCCAAGGAGTGCAGAATTGCGATGCGACTTTCCTGGAGGGAGGGAATCATCGCCCAAGGAGCATGTCAGCCTCGCATCGTTGGGGTCAGAGGCACTGCCCTTGTGCTAAATTGTCGGGGAGGCGGCGACCGATGCTGGCTCGTGCTGTTGACAAGACACTTACAAGGCTACCGCCCTTTCCAAGTCGTTTAGTTTTGTTTGGGGCAATGAAATTGAGTCTGTCATGGCGGACAGGTCGTTCTGGTGGAGCACATGCGCCAACCTGGGCAGAGCAACGGCCGATGAGTGCTGTGAAGGATGTGCGTGTGACTGAGCTTGCATTTCGAAGAGTCGACTATTTATTGACGATGGAGTACCTCGATTGACTCTGAGTTCCAGAGATCCACTGCTTGGAAAGTGAGACGGACCTGAAACAGCAGCGGCATTGTCGAGTTATGTCCACAGAATCGGGTACAGAGAATGCACTCAGAGCCAGGAGCACAGGGCCCTTCCAAAAAGTCGATCGCCCGACTGATCCGCCTCCAAGACATTCGTATCCCGTATCCCGTATCCCGTATCCCGTATCCCGTATCCCGTATCCCGTATCCCGTATCCCGTATCCCGTATCCCGTATCCCGTATCCCGTATCCCGTATCCCGTATCCCGTATCCCGGCCGCATCCGCCATCATCACATAGGCTCCATCAGCTTCGATGACAAATCGCCAGCCAACCTTTTCGTATGGGTCTATCGAGCGTTGCAATCCGGAGAGGAGCGGATCCGTGAGGCTGTTAGCTTGGTCAACATGGAATCGAGAGGCTGCAGCCTCAGAGACTGGTTACGATGTCTCGGTGCTTCTGGGCAACTCACCCGGAGAATGTAGGATCTTGACGGCCCATTCCGTAAGCGTCGTCGGACCGCCGCTTGCTTCTGGCACTCGATCGCTGCGTCCTTGGACATTGGCGACGTTGCCGACAGTGATGTCGGACTTGGCTTGCTGAGGATTCTTTCGGCATCTTGGTGTGTCCACTGGCGGCGGCGACGGGTGGTGGTGACGATGAGTTCAAAGTTGGGCGGCATCGTCGATTCGGTCGTCGGAATTATATGCATTCCACACCAGCCCTACCGCTGAAAAACTTGATCGCCGAAACAGAGACATTGTTGCCCTCGCCAAAATCGAGATATATGCTACCTTCTGGTTCTCTGAGGACCTTGTAGACCTAGAGGATATGTCGTTTCAGGATTGTTGCGGGCATTGCATCCAGCCGGGAAGACCCGAGCCGCCGGTCGGGTCTCATCCATGTCCGTAGAGCAACCCACCACCTTCGTCTCTGGACCATACGGCAGACTCACATTGGCTTTGAACAGCTCGCATGATGTACTGAGACCCGAGACTAAGCTGAACCGATATTCGTGCCAGGGACAGACAACATTGATCTCGGAGCCAAGATCTTCGATGTCGCCGAGGTAGAGCGGACCACCGCTATGCGGACACACTGCATCGCATGCGTAGAAAGTGAAATTGCCGGCGTCGCTCTGTGAGACCGTAGCGATGATCATGATGTCCGTTGGTCTGGACTGCTGGGGCAAGTTCAAGGTGACGAGACATCGCTGGCGACCGCCGTTCCAGAGATCCTCATGGCCGATCAGTGCTGTCGCGGCTGTGGTCATGTCTGCGAAAACAGAAGGGCGTCGTTTTGGTTCGAGATGAGAGGGTTTGTGTGCTGCAAGCCCTTGTGAATATTGAGTCAATGTGCCTGAGCGCTATATGGTCCGGTATCAGTCGGTCGGTCGTGAGAGGAGCGAGAAGCGTCAATCTGCGGCCTGCGGGTATTTTGCAGCTGTGCATCAAGATCGAAGGGAGCAATACAATGCAATGCAATGCAATGCAATGCAATGCAATGCAATGCAATGCAGGGAGCAGGGCCCGGGAGAGGAGCTGGCTGCTTCTCGAGACCTTTTTGGCATCGCCCGATGCAGATCTGAAAAACGAAACGAGCCGATCAGGAGCAAGCACCGAGGCTTCGCCCTTGGCCACCCACGTTCGAGCCAGAGCCGACAAAGCACTGGACGCACCGCTCTGATTTGGTCTCGACTGATCTCAAAGAAGCCCCCCACCCCCGACACCTCGACCGGCACTGTCGGCCACTCGCATCATCATATGTCCAAACGTACAGCCAGCGGCCCGAAATCCCGGGTGACTGCCGGCAAAACTCGGGTCAGCGATTCGTCTTGGATTCAGACAAGTCTCCACAACCACTTTGCAGCCCATCGCACGAAGCCAGCGTCGCAGCAGCCAGGAGCCGCTTCGGTGAACCGTCGCAGCTCAGAGGCCAACCAGCCTTTGACAAGGTATGGAGGGTGGTGGATGCCAGGCAGCAACGCCGCTGGACGGCCGACTGCTCTGGCCATTCAATGCAGACTTGCTTGCCCTGGCTTTAATCCGAGCACGGCGAGTTCTGCCTTCATCCTCATTCGCCGACCTCGCTTTCGCTAAGCAAGGCCGTTTGCTCATCTACCGTTTGGATCATTCCAGAATGACGAGCGAAAGCTTGCGAAGGTGCTTCGACGATCACTGCCAGACATTTGGGGTGGCCATGTCGAGCCAGTCTCTCAACAAAAAGCTCAAATCAGATAGCAACAGCAGTGCGATGAGCCTCGATCCCAGGCCCAGGAGCCTCAATCTGCCACAGCGAGCAAGCCCTCCGCCCGACTCATTTGAAGACGATCTGTTGTTGTCGAGTCTCGGCTCCATGCCGGACACTCTCTCCGATGCCGCAGCCGCGGAAGAATCGATGCAATACGAAGTTGGGTCGGCGCACTGGGAAAGCGAACCTCAAAATAGAGCCTCTTTGCTGTCCGAAGATTCGGCACCAGCCGAACGCCCAGACGAGTCAACGACACAGCTGGATCCGTCGTTCCAGCATGTCATCTTGTGTACAGTTGCGTGCTTTCCAAAGCTATGCATACGTGTGTCCTTGGAGGACGCTAGTATTGCCTTGGAGGGTTGCTAACGCTAACGTCGACACTTGGTTGTCACAGATCCCCGTTTCGCCAAGCAGGGACTCCCAAGCTGGACTGTCTGCATGGGATTCTTGGGATGAACATCATGTTCGGCTTCCGTGCTCCGAGTTTAATGTCTTCATCGATTCCTCAATGCGGCAAACCTGGCGATGGGCTTTGATTCGGAAGGCGCTGTCGCTTCCCATTGGGACACCCAACGATCTCAAAGTAAGCAGCACTGCATTCTGCAGGGCAAGATACTGTCCGAGTGTCATGAATAGACCTGATTTGCGCGACAGTTTGATGGGCAACTGGGGCAATCGGAGGTCGTCATTGCGTGCATGAGGGGCTGGGGGAAGCCGGAAATGGGGCTTGGCGATGAAAGATCGATGATGGCGCTCGATAATGGTGCTCGATATGATTATCCCTGAGATTTGGACATATGTCGTGAGTCATACAGGTGGATCTTAACAACCGTTGCTTCCCAACAATTGCCTGCTGGGCCTCACGCGCTGGTGAATGCTCACTGACGGCCCTGATCTGCGTCGGACCTTGTTGATTTATCAATCTCAGGAGGCCATTCTTTCATACAATCCTGTTCATCGCCGGAAGTGGGATTTCTCTGGTTTGATGCACTACTTTTCCTGTCGAGCAAAAGAATCGCGGGAGCTGTTCAAGTCCGTCATTCCGTTCATGACTCGACTTGCACTGGAGCTGCCCAAGGTCCTGGAGCAGCCAATTCCGCTTCTAAAAATCGGCGAGAATAAGGCCATTACTTTGAGTCAGCGACAGGTAGGGGTCGAAGAATCAAGAGGACGCCATGGGTGCTAGGAAATGGTGGCTGTTGTGGAAGTGACAGCAACTGCATCAGCAAGGACATCTGGATGCACACGCTTAATTCCGTCGTGTTTCTTGGTGCTAGATCGCTTCGCTGTTGGCAAATGCGTTTTTTTGCACATTTCCACGGCGGAACGATCATCGGAAATCGTCAGAATATGGAACCTTCCCCTCGATCCACTTCAACCTGCTCTTTGCCGGTGTTCCGTCAAGCGGAGAATGTTTTCCGGCTCAGGCAGCAAAGCTCGATGGGCTATTTCATTACTTCCGGACGATCATGCGCAAAGGTGACGTTGGCATCGCCGTTAGAGCTCACTTGCGATGCTGGTGAAGCGAAGGGGGCTGCCTCTGTCCGGCTTCAATAGGGGACGCGATGATCCGGCGACAATCGAGTAAGGCGATGGCCTATTGATCCTTCCCTTTTATGCATGATGAATATCTTAGACCCGCAAGGCACAGTTACATTTCAGCGTAGGGCTGTACCGCCTGACTGCCTCCCCGTGTGGAACGAATGCCCCGAGCTGCTCTCTGAAATGACAGTTGACGCAGCTGGGAGCATTGAAGATGACGGGCGAGACATGCTTCAGCTTGATTTTGCAAACAAGATGATCGGCGGTGAGTAATGGCTCCAGAAAGAAGCAGACGTATTATATCATCGGGCCGCACAGCCCCGTATGGCGACTAAAACGAAGTGCATTGCCTAACTGTCACTCTTGGATCGTCGCATAATGGGCGGAAGGCGGCGTCGTTGGACGGGTAAGAGGATCAGTGGCTTTGGTTGCAAGATGAGCATCGAGAGCCCGAGTCGGAGCTGAGCCTCAGGCGAAAAGCGATATCCAAAGTCGTTGAGGCGCAATCGATTGTGCACATGGATCGCGTATCCTTATGGCGTTCCTGGGACAGTTGATTGTCTTCTGTATTGCTATTGGAGTATCTGCTTCTGATGCTAGGGCTGACTCTGGTCGGTTCGGAAAACGTTGTAGGGGGCCGTTCAAGAGGAAATCCGGTTCATTCTATCTCCAGAACTGATAGTGTCACGACTCTTTGTCGAGGAGCTTCAGGACTACGAATGTGTATTGATTGTCGGAGCACAGCGATATTCTCGTCACCAAGGGTACAGCTCCACGTTCGAGTGGGTTTGTGGCTATGATGATTCGACACCAAGGTGGGACCACCGTTCGTTGTGTGAGCAGAGCGTTTGCTTTTGTATTCAAGTTGTGTGGCGGTACCAGGGCATAGCGCTCCACATGGAGGAGGTTGGATGCTCTGAACATTCGACTGTCCAAGGGATGGTGTGGGAGCAGAAAAGTCCGGGAGCGAGTTGGAGGGTTGCGGATTACACAGCTGCAGCCATTCATTGCGATTTCTCATCGAAGTAAAGCGTGTTAAGGAGCGGGCAGGAGTGAATGTGCGATAGCCCGTTTGCGATCATGAATCTTCAGCTTGGGCGCCAGATTATTCTTGGGTCGCATTCTCATGCACAGTCTTATTGCATCGTAGGGATAATCTTGGCCGTCGGACGACAGACCTCTTGGCGATCGATGCGCTGTATTTTCGACCCTCTGATGCTTGGCGGCAGTACCAAAGGAAGTCAGTCATCCGCGAGCTCAACAAAGCATATGGCGGATTTCTTCCGTCACCAGTCTCTTCGCACGACGTAGCAACGCCAATCGCAACGGGCAACTGGGGTGAGTGCCGCTCAGTCATTGGCAACAGGCATGACTTGCAACTGACTGGAGAGAATGGGTCCAGTGAGATGTATACTGACGTAATTGCGCTGTTGCCACGATCCAACACTGACCTTGGGATCCATGACTGGTGTTGTATCGTTGGCGCTCCCGGCTGACGGACTTCAGGCTGTGGCGCCTTCAACGGCGACCCTCAGCTCAAGTCTCTGCTGCAACTTATGGCGGCATCCGTTGCCAAGAGACAGCTATTCTACTTCACCTTTGGCGATTACGAGCTGTGCAGCCAGCTCAGGGCCATTCATACAGGCCTCAAAGAGCAAATGGTGACCGTGGGTCAGTGCCAAAATCTCTGAGCTGGCGGCGCTGAGGAGGGCATTGAACACAACGTCTGCGCATATCCCAGCAGTCGCCGATAAACGCAGCCCACGACCGAACGAGCAGACTAACTTGCCCACTGGGCTTCACATGACAACTCCTAACATGATTGCAGGTCAGCTGTACGACTGGATTCGGGCATACTTCACGAATATCGTTCGAGCCAACATCGAGAGCAATTCTAAGATTTCGACAACACTCTATGATTATATTTGGAGCCAGCTGGAGTGATTTGGCAATGAATGAGTCGATTTACAGATGGACCAGGCGCCGTTGATGGAAAAATGTTAAGCTGATGAGGTTGATATTAGGGCATCTGTTGGGCGAAACGTGACGGTAGTTGATTTGTAGGCCGTAGGGGACAAGCCATGTGATTGCTTCCGATCTTGGCTGACAACCGAGTGATTGTTGTTGGGTTTCTGAGCTTAGATACATTGAATTGACATCGTTTTGCGAGGATCAACTGGGATCCCGAGAAGTGTTGCACGATGCGAGGGCGTACCGCGTCTATTCGACCGATCGGATGGCTTCGAAAAAAGTTGTTTCTCGACCCTGGGGCTGTCGGGCTGAACGAGTCGCTCGTCGAATGCTATAGAGCATGATTGTCTCGAGTGGTGGTGAAATATTTCAAGGTACTGGGTAAATATGTGTCACCAAGGGCTCGCTTGCATATCCCTTGGCTTACTTCCATGAGATGTTCCCCGTGGCTGCCCCAACGTTTGACTCCCTGGACACGCTGTTATGGTGATGGATCGGGTGTATTCGGGATCCAGAAAGTGATAGCTCTGGCCACAACATGGTGGTTTGTTCGGAAGCGCTTTGGGATGGGAGTGAGCAGAAACCAGCAAGGGACTGGCGCAACATGGCTATCGAGTGTGATGGTTGACATTGTGGAGTGGGTGCCACATCCAGCCTTGTACTTTATCGACACAATCGAACTGAATACTTGAAGCAATGAACCCGCTCTGTTGCTCATACCAAGGCTTGCGATGCACTGAAGAAGCTATGCATGGGAAGGATCAAACCAGCGTGTATTTGAGATTCTTACTGAGCACCTTTCCAGAGCCCATCACCAATGTAATGGATATTGTCGACCCCAATGCCTTTGTTGGTGGATATGCTATGGATTCCAAAAAGCAATTTGCGGGTCAGTCCAAAAGATTAATGTGCCAATGCCAGTACTTGGGCCACGGTTTTGATATGAAATATGCGATGAAAGATGGTGGCTGCCCCAGCCAAATGCAATCGAGACCAAGTGATATGAAACACGACGATTTACAATCTCAGGAGAATCTCGCGTCTCTAAGATTCGACAAGATCATCTGCCATCGAGTTCCACGGATCACTCGGCGGTCTAGCTTGGAGATTTTGAACATAGCCGAATGGCAATGGCCAGCAGCATGGCGGGGCTCAGGGTGTGTCTAACTCACATGTCGTCCGAAGACATTTTCATGATCCCAACAGCGACTGCCGACTCCTTAGCTTCTGCCTGGATCGCCACAACAGTTCCCTCGGGAATGCCCGCATCCAGTTGGGCCCCAGGGGAAGTTAAACCAGGACACATGATATTTGCACCTCTGAGGACAAACTTGATGGCGCCGCGGTCGACTTGCACCTTGGGAAGAATATCGGGATCTATGTCGAGGATGAAGTTAATATAGAGTGCGGTGGCGAGAATGCCGGAGGCGGAAAGTATAGGGATGAAAGTGCGCATGAATCGGTGATGACACAAAAGTCCTGAGAGCTGGCTGCGGAAGCTGGGGGGGGGCGTCCTGGTGAAGGCCCGGGAGAAGGAGAACGAAGCCTACATTTGTGCAAAAGATGCAAGTTGGGGTAGTATGACCCGTCATAGTGGTTGAAGAAGAGCATCTCTCCATTGTGAGAAACGATATTGAGGTGCTCCTCGCTGTTGGGAACAAAAGATCGACCATTATAGCTTGCGTTAGAGGGGTATGATCGAATTTCCTTCATTAGCTCTCGATGAGGGAGAACAATAGAAGATAGAAAGAAGGAGGAAAACAGCATATCATGCTCCTGGGATACGGAGAGCTAGGTTCCCCAACACAATCAACCGATCGAGTTTCATGAACTCAACGACGGACCCTTTCAGGAGGGTGATCTGGGCTTTCTTCGGTAGGATTTCCTCAATATGAGGGTTGAGGGCGGGATACTGCTCAAGAATCTTTGATCGGATTCCACGGGCGACCGAGGATTTAACCAAGGTCTGGCCGGAAACCCCATCCTTGATGGTGAATCTGGTGGATGGGAGAATGGACAAACGAATGAGGCTTGTGGCGAATTGAGGGCGGATGATTGGAATAGAAGCGGAAATGAACTCAGGCCGATCAAACCATCCGAAGTGCCAGACGAAGTGCGCTGATGCAATATGATCGTCGTGGAGATGGTGAGACCTACGTCTTGAACATGGTGGGTCGGGATCACGAACTCTGAGATCAAGAGCGAATAGATATGGTGGCCGCAAGATCCAATGAAGCTGAAAACGAAACCTGCCAGATCTCGGCTGGGTCTCGGCTGGGTCTCGGTTGGGTCTCGGTTGGATCTCGGTCAAAAGAAACAGTCAACCGAGAGCGAGAGGGGAGCTCAGCTCTGTGATTTGCCGAGACATGAATACGTACCCATCGCCCGTCGTGTCCAAACATCATCCTCGGCCTGCGTCAAGTTGCCACCATCTTCAGCTGTCCAAGAGCGCCATCTATCTGGTACCTGGACACTGGTAACCCACACCTCCCCCAACAGGGAGGTGGCGACGGTCGGACAGATATGTGGAGCAGGCACATCTATTCCGCGATGCAGAGGTCGGGCACCGTCGACCTTTAAACCAGCACATCTCGTTTCGTCCGTTTGTTGGCACTGCTGACAATTTGAGTGGCCGCGAGACAAAGTGAGGGAAATGTTGTTGTCGGGCCAACTCGGTCTGTATCGAGCCAACTCGTTCTACCACGGGCTGGCAGAGACACAAAATCGTCGGCAGCGCATTTGGTTGAGCCAATAACCCGCATAGACACGACCCATAATCTGGAAGTGCGGGAAGCGAACCTCCCGCTGGAAGACAGGCTCGCCCATGACAATGCCTGAGAAGTGTAGAAGCTTGGGGTCGTTGAGATAACGGTAGATCGTGTCGACTCGAACAAGCGTGGGTTTGTCGCCAACATTCGCCCAGATATGATCGCCAAGGAACAGAACCTCGCCACCAATCCGAGCGACCTCAAAGAATTGGATCGAGTTCCGAAGTGCGCAAGTCTTGTGTGGGAGATGGGTCGCAGCCAGCCGGGACTCGGTTGTTTTCAGCGACAGCAAAAACTTGATGAGAATCGGATCCAATGGCGCCGTCGTTTCAGCGAGTTCCAGCGATTTGAGGTCGACGGAGTCGAGGAACGTATATCCGCCAAACGGCGGAACGTAGGCGCACGGGCAGAGGCACATTTCGGGGAGTCGCAGCTGATCCAGGTTCAGACCATTGAGCCGAACATCGTAGGTTATGAATGAAGCTTGAACGATTCCGTCAAAGATCTGGGGAGTCTGGACTTGGACGACAGCTTTACCTAAATCTTCGGCAACTCGTGAGGCTGGGTTCGATGACTTGATCACCAAGGGGGTCGACCAAACATTGTGGTGTGGCCCCTGATCGTGGACTCTATAGATTATCGCTGGCCAATATATTGGGACGCCGTTGAAATCGCTGGGGTCGACACGAATGCATGACCTGATATCGAGAGCTTCAAACTCCAGCGGGTGATGCTTGTTTAACTGAAGGAACACTGAGACGAACACGACCTCTCCTCTCCGGAAGACTGGGTGCGAGGAAATGGGACTCGACATGCGAGCGTGCCCAGTAAATAGGACAGCGGCTGTGGATGATTTGGATTCAGCGGCGTGGTCAAGCGATCGGAGGAGCAGAGACCACAGGAAAGAGTCGCAAATAGCCGTCTGAAGGATGGATCCAACAATGGTGCTAGAAATATGAGAACAGAGCTGAATCCATCAAGCGCAGGGCGTGACAGCGGGTGCCTTTGAGGGTGACCTTGGATTTGAGATGGGCGATCCGAGAGACGCACTGGGCCAGACCGATCAAGCCAAAGGTCAGCCGATCATTCAGCCAAAGGAAGAAGGCTGCCGGTTGGACACGGTGTGGATGGGGGGCGTGGTGTTGGCAAGACGGCAAAGCACGGTGTTCAGGCTACAAGATCTCGGCAATCCCCTATTGCCATCCATCAACCCACCCCGGTCCGAGCATAGATGTTGAAGGAGTCTGAGATCTGACACAACAGAGAAGCTGATCGCTGGCTCTTCACATGGTTCGACAGGATTCAGAGGACGGCGCCAAGACCGGCCATGCCCAGCCCCCAGAAATGTGGAGAGTTGCTCTGGTTGTGCTCCTCCATTCGCTGCCGACCGGTCTCTCATATCTCCCTCGAATTATCTCGCACTCATGCAGACGTGTTATCCAATAACATTATCAAGAGATAAAATTGCAAGTCCAACGTGCATGGATGGGACTGAAACTGCAACGGAACGTGCTACGGAGCGCAGCACGGAGGGCTGGAAAAGCTTCCAGCGCCAAGCTGTGCTGCGTCCCACCGGTTTGCCTTCCGCAGGCCCCCGCCGTGATGCCCGCCATTGCAGATAAAAGCTGCTGGGTTTTGGCCCTCAATAAACCAGCAGGGATACAACGCCGTTCAAACCAGTTTTATAACGAACGGGCAAAGAAGAGAGTATAACCCAGCTGTCGAGGCAACGGGATGACGGGCAACGGGACAACGGGGTAACGGGGCAACGAGGTGTTAGAGTCCGAAGGGGACTCAACGGCAAAAGAGAAAGTGAGGTCGAAGTGAGCTCAGGGAAAGCAAAGGAAAGGTCCGAAGTGGACTCGGAGAGGGAGCGAGGGAAGCAAAGATCCGTTCAAGATAAGACTTGTCTCGAAATGAGACGTGAGGAACACTCAGAGAATAAAGTAGAAGGCACTTTATTTAGTCCTATTTTGAACGCTGAGGTTCGAATACACATCGCGGGGGTCAGGCTATTTATAGACAAGTCCGGACCTGGCAGCGAAGGGCGGCCAAGGGAGGGAAAAGTGGGCGATCGAGCGTGTCATGAACCATGACTTGTTCGGGTGTGCAAAGACTGACCCTGGCCGCCAACCGATACTGATTGGATGGTGAGCCTTGCTGTGCTCGAGGAAATCAAGATGCACAGCCCCTGTCTGGACGCACCAACTCTCCAGGCCGAGCATTCTCCGCGGAGCCTTCTTGGCAGTATTGCCCCTTTCTAGATGTTTGTCAGCACAGGCCACCAGCCGGTTATATACCAGACCTCAGCCGCGCTTGTTGTGATGACCAGCATCACAACGGACCAATGAGATTGTCCCGCATGCTCTCGCCCTCCGCACCAATCATGAGTCCCCACGTGTTTGTTTGCCCCCATGCATGAGCACGCGCCGTTGCCACCCGCGTCTACTGGTTTCCTGCCTCCCCCACCGCTCGGCACATGTCCCCGGGCTGTGCCAAGCCTCTCTCGCTTGCACACCAGCCACTCTCGCACCCCCTTCTCGCTTCTCTGTGATGCTCCACCCTTCTCGCCCACTTTTGCCCCTCGACCTTCTCCCGGTCTATAAATAGCCCTGCATGTCTGAGCCTATGTTGAACACCAGTTCGAACAAAACTTGTTCTTTGGTGTTCGGGGCTAAAAGCTAATAAAGCTCATACCAAGCACTTGGTCTTCGTCCTTGCGCTTGTTCACTCCTTACACTTTGTTCGAACTCTCTTCTACTGATACCACCTGCTTGGTATCTTCCGCTCCTAGCCCCGCCCCTTTCCTAGTCCTGTCCGAACCTCAAGCACACTTGTGTCTGAGCCCTCTTCGCTCTCCTGTTCTTGAACCTCCTCGCTTTTTTTTTTTTTCCCAGTCCCAGTCCCAGTCCCGCCATGGATCCTGCCCTCGTGGACCGCCTCCGTGCCTTGGAGGCCGAGCTCGCCGAGCTCCGGACAGCTCGCGATGCTCCTGCCGCTGGGTACAGCGTGCAGATGCCGGACCGTTACGACGGTAACCGGCAAGGGTTCCGGGCATTCGTAAATCAGTGCAAACTGTATATACGAATGCAGCCCCACCGGTTCCCTGCTGACCCGATTAAGGTCGGATTCGTCATTAGTCTGCTCACTGGACCGGCTCTCCAGTGGGCGACTCCGATGCTTGAGATGGGTGATCCCCGACTCAACTCTTTTGGCGATTTCCTAGAACGCTTTTCCAAAGTGTTTGACGACCCTGATCGGGCCAGGACTGCCGAGTCAGTGATCACCACACTGTCTCAGGGCAACCGCCCGTGCGCAGTCTATGCATCCGAGTTCCTTCGTATTGCCGCCGATACGACTTGGAACGACGGTGCAAAGATCTCGTTCTTCCGACTTGGCTTGTCGGATGATGTCAGAGACGAACTTTCGCGAGTTCGCCCTCTGCCACGAGATCTGGAGGAGTACATCGAGCTTTGTAACGAGCTCGATGCACGAATCCGCGAGCGCCGTCAAGAGCGCCGAAGCACGCCTGCCCGCTACCGGTCTTCCCAGTTCGCCTTTGGTTCCGCCTCCGCTGCCGTTCCCGCCATCGCTCCCGCGCCCGTCCTCGCTCCGCCGCACCCCTCCTACATTGTTTCCGAGCCCATGCAAGTGGACTCTGCCGTCTCTGGACCCCTGACCGCCGAGGAGAAACAACGCCGCCGCCGCTTTGGACTCTGCCTGTACTGTGGCAAGAAGGGCCACTTGGTACGAAACTGCCCCGTCAAGTTTGGATCTACCAGAGCTACCGGACCGCCCCCTGGACCTCCCGGCCCGAGGATCATCCGCACCATCGTTTACGAAGATGGAGAAGTGCAAGACTTCAGTTCGGGAAACGACCAGGCCCGGTTCTAAGTGAAGGCCTTGAACCGGAGCCGTGCCCACCGCCTTCCGAAAGTGAAGACATTGGTAAGGTGCCTTTGGTAAGTACTGGGGAAGCAGTGATGTGCGGACAGCTTCGCCTTGCCTCTGGACCGGCGGACACTCTCAGCTCTGGCATAGTACCCGTGGCACCTCTGGTGTCACTGGGAACTGCACCTCATCCACAGGTGCAAATACCTGAGCTGTCCTGCCAACCCTCGGCAAAGTTAACTGTCTGTGCTAGCCGCAACCCTGGTGCCGAAGCTGGTACCGAACCAAAGTCTTGTGTTTCGTCTGTTCGTCGTTGCTCGTTGGTTGTTCCCGTCGCTGTTCGTCTTCCTTCTGGTGATTCTCTGTCGTGCGAAGGACTTGTCGATTCTGGTGCCTCTGGCAACTTTATCGACGAGGACTTTGTTGCTCGACACTCTGTCCCCACCTGCTCCAAGGCTTCGCCCTTGGCAGTGGAAGGCGTGGATGGTAAGCCGCTGTCGTCTGGCCCCATCCTCCGCGAGACTGCTCCACTCGAGGTGATTCTCGGGGACGTCTCGCAACGCCTTCGGTTCGATGTGATCAGGTCTCCACATCAACCACTTATCCTTGGCTTTCCTTGGTTGCGCACCGCCGAGCCCAAGATTGTCTGGTCTCGCGGTCTTCTTTGTCTCCCTCCTTCTGTTGATTCCGACCCCTCTCCATGCACTACTTCTCTTTCGTCTTGCTCCACTTCCTCCAATGTCACTCCCCTTCTTGATGATTCCACTCCTTTGATTGATCTAAGCTCCTCTCCTACGCTCCCACCTTCGTCTTCCCCTTCTTGTCTTGTTCCTCCCGAACCCCTTCGCTCTTCCCAAACCCCTTCTTCTGTTGTCAGTTCTCTTTCCCTCCTTGATGTACCTCCTCCTGTTGTTTGTTCTTCGGACATTGTTCAGAATAAAGTAACCGTCGAACATTATTCTGACCTTGTCCACGCCCCTCCTCTCAGCTCGGACGCTCCTCTCCGCGTCTGCAGCATTGATTACCGCTCGATGCGCGAGTCTTTGGATGCATGCAGGCATGGAACGCAACCCCTGACCATCTTTCAGGTCCATGTCCTGCCCACTGACGAGCCGAGCACTGCGACTGTCGAAGTGCCTGCGGAGTACAAGGACTTCCTGTCTGTTTTCTCTAAACAGGAAGCTGACTCCTTGCCTCCGCATCGCCCTTATGACTGCCCCATTGACTTGGAGCCGGGCAAGTCGCCAAAGTTCGGGCCTCTGTACTCACTGTCCGAGCCCGAACTTCACGCTCTGCGTGACTATCTCGACGAGAATCTTGCCAAGGGATTCGTTCGTCCTTCGTCGTCCCCAGCAGGCTCACCAATCCTCTTCGTCAAGAAGAAGGACGGCTCACTTCGTCTTTGCGTTGACTACCGCGCACTGAACGGTATCACGGTAAAGAACCGTTACCCTTTACCGCTGATCGGCGAGCTGCTGGACCGACTTCGAGGCGCGAAGGTGTTCACTAAGCTGGACCTTCGTGGAGCCTACAATCTGCTGCGCATCCGCTCCGGGGACGAGTGGAAGACAGCTTTCCGTACTCGATATGGGCACTTCGAGTACTTGGTGATGCCCTTTGGGCTCACCAACGCGCCAGCGACGTTCCAGCACTTCATCAACGACGTCCTGCGCACCGAGTTGGACCAGTTCGCAATTGCGTATCTTGACGATATCTTGATCTACAGTGCTGATCCGTCGCAGCATGTAGAGCACGTCAAGCAGGTCCTCTCGAAGCTCCGAGCTGCAAAGCTGTATTGCAAGCTGGAGAAGTGCGAGTTCTCCAAAACCTCGGTCTCGTTCCTTGGTTTCATGGTCTCGCCCGAGGGCATCGGTATGGAGCGATCCAAGCTCTCTGCGATCTTGGATTGGCCCATACCGCGCAACATCTCGGATCTTCGATCCTTTGTCGGGTTTGCGAACTTCTATCGACGCTTCATCGATGGATACGCAAAGATCGCGGGGCCCATGACTCGGCTCTTCCGGAAGACGCATGGCTTCCAGTGGTCCCGCGAAGCCGATAAAGCATTCAGATCCTTGAAGGATGCCTTCGTTTCGGAGCCCGTTCTGGTGCATCCGGACCCATCCAAGCCGTTCGTCGTAGAGTCAGATGCGTCGGACTTTGCGCTTGGATGCGTGCTCTCCCAGCGGGGTGCTGATGATCGCCTTCATCCTTGCTCGTTCCATTCGCGGACACTCTCGAATGCTGAACGTAACTACAGCATATACGAGAAAGAGCTGTTGGCGATCAAGGAGGCTTTCGAGGCGTGGCGACACTACCTCGAAGGCGCCCAGCATCCCGT